TCGGTTACCTCCGTACCTATGCTCCCGTCGTTGGAGCTTTCGTTCGTAGAGTCGGTTATCGTACTTAACCGCGAGCTCGATCATCTTATAGAGCTCGTCAGGTCGGTCGACTCTTATAAGCTCGTCCTTAATATCCTCCTTGAGTCCTCGCTTAAAGAGCCAGATATAGGTATCGTCATCGAAGTCGAGATACGAAATGATCTGCTAGAATTCAGCGGCGTATACACTAGCTAATCTAGTTTGTCGTAGTCGGTCGAGTCGTCGTTCTGCCGTTCTAGCAGCGTCGATATCACCGAAGGTTTGCTCCAGCTTCTTCTTAAATATAGTATAGGAGGTAAAGATTGCGGTAGTAACATCGCCCTAGTCGTTCTGCGGCTTGTCGTTGACTTCCCTAATAAAAGGTTCAAACTATTCGAATACTTATCCTCGGAGGTAGGTAGAAGCGTAGATAACCTTGTCGGCTTCTTTAGTATATCCGATAAGACGAAGCTACATATCCATCTAAGTCAGGAAAGAACGAAGCTTAGTCCGTTCGCTATAGTAGAACTTAGGCTTAGGTGGTTTAACGGTGGTAGGACGCTAGTTACTCTGCGCCTGTACCAGTTATTCCTGTAACTAAGAGATCATCTCCATAAGTTACGCGTTAGTGGGTGCAGATACCGATCTACTCGAAACGTTACTTACGGTGCTATCGTTGCCTACCATGATGACTTTGCTTCACGGTTCAAAGACAGGGCGATCAATGTGTTACGCGGTGCCAACTAGTCACTGTGAGTAGACGTAGAGTAGAGCGATAATACCTTATTATAAATAAGGACAATCCAAGTTTACTAACTAACGGCCGATTACAGCTTCCGTACTTATCGACTACGAATTCCAAGAGCGTCTCTCAATCGTACCCTTACCCCGCGAGGCCTTACTTCGGATTAGATCCTATTAAGCGTCTTACAGAACGTGCCAGAGTACGCGCCAAGTAAGTCAATCACTAAGTGTTACCACAGAGTAATTCCCCTACTTATAGGTTGGGTTATCTTAAGGGTGAACTATGAAGTGTAAAGTACTAAAGGTAGTAACTAAGTAACAATATGTAATTAATCGCGAAGAACTAAATATATAGTAGTGAAAGAGCGTCCTTATATATCCAGTCCTTCCTATCAGGCGATAAGTCGGAACTCATCACTCGATGCTATCCGGACTCATCGCTAGATAAGTCGAGCTCATCACTTAATGAGTCGTCACGTGACTACTTGTTTAGGTAATTCGTTGTGCCAGACACTATCCGAGATATATACAGCTATACACACAGGATATTGTCTGTCCTAAGGGCACGGTGTCCTTGATCACCCTAAGCGATCACTGATCGTGGTTGTGTAAAATGCCCTCTTACACGGACCCACTTTGCTCCTAGGAGCACCTTTTCTATATGATTTCGCTCCTAGGAAGCACATATGTAATACTTCCTATTGGTTACACGTGACTCCTGCAGGTGTCGTCTTTCTTGCGGGTTTGGTTAGCTGACGTTATCCCCCGCGGGTTTCTGACGGTCTGCCTCGTAACACTAACCTAGTCAAGGTCGTGCTCGGAACGTTATTAGGTCTAAATCATCTTACCCTGACCTTGCTGAATCGGAGAGAGGCGAAAATATCACTATAATTGAGTGTATTGCCGCTGATGGCTGGCAGATGGCCCCTCTCTTTATATTTAAAGGTACTAGTAAGAATTTAATAGAGGCCTGGTTTAAGGGTGCCGAGGCTCTTGACCTAGATACCATAACCTCGATAGCCCCTAACGGCTAGGTTACTGATGAATTAGCCATGAATTGGTTAACCTACTTCCACTGCTATACTCTAAATCGTGTGGAACCTAGTGAAAAGCGATATCTTATATTCGATAGTCACGGCTCGTATCTTACTCTCGAATTCCTATAGTTATGCGAGGATTTTGATATTATCCCCTTCGGATTTCTACCTTATTCAACCCATCTTTGCTAACCTCTCGATAGCAAGCCCTTCTTAAATTATAAGTAGCAATTTCGATTGATGAATAACGAATTGGCTTTCTGGGGCGGCTAGCCATATAGGAAATCAGATTTTCTACGAATTATTAGCCCGATTCGCAAGAAGGCCTTTACACAGCGAATTATCCGTGAATCTTTTAAAGATCGTGGGATCTATCCTGTTAATAGTAGTAAGATTGTGGCAAATCTTGCTAATCAATTAGTGGTTCCTGATCTTATACTAGACCTTCGCTCATAGGGATCGCATACACCATCACCACTACTAAATCTTCAGTCTTCTAGTATTGGAAATAGCCCTCCAAAGTCTATTAAATTACTACAGAAGAATCAAGCTAAGATTCTTAAGCACCTTAATGTGATAGATAAGAAGTTGCAGCGAAATATCAGTAGGGTTCTTGCCCATACGAAGGAAACGGCCGAAGAACTCGAGATGACGAGGGATACAATTTAGCGTATTCGAATCGCACAATAACTAATTCAACGCAAAAGAACTAAGCGGCAGGTTAAGCTACTTAGCCAAACTGGTATATTGACTACACGCGATGCGATTCGATCTATTTCGAAGAGAAAGGAAGGGGATTTAGCGAAGGAAGAAAGGAAGCTGGCTAAGCAATTCAAGAAAGTATATGGATATGAGCCCACACAACGGTCGGAGGAATCTATCCAGCGGGCAATTGCAAACGAGGAAGCAGCTAGGCAAGCAGGAGAGCTTTTTTTTATTGATAATTAGGTAGTTAGGTAGTTAATTTGATTATTTCTATCAAAAGTGACGGGGATTGTGGAATGACGGGGATTGTGGGCACACCCATAAGCGTAAGCGGTGGGTGGGCAGTAAGACACGGATAACTAATCTTGAAATTTTTTAGACGGCGTGGGTGACCCGGTCATGTGGGAATTACGTTAACTAAACTACATCATTGTTTACCTGCGTGAAACCTATCAGATTGATCTTCAACGATCTTGCATTGAATTGCATACTCGCATTGAATTGCCTACCTAGGCAGGAGACTATCTAACACTCCAATACTCTATCCTTTCTCATGTGATATTTTACCATGTTTCTAAGGTATAAACACTGCTATGTTTCCTAGCTAAATTGAATCAAGTTTGACACTGTTATTAAGTTTGACATCCCTTTTGATCTTCTCTTCTGATCGCTGTCTCTCTTCCGCAATCGTGGTTTTTCTGCTAGAGCGCACGACCTTTAGACTCATAATCTCTTGAGTAACGCGACCGTGGTGCTTTTACTAGTACGCACTGTCAACCACGACTTTATGGCCACCGCCTAAAAGTTCGACAAGTCTTATGTTCAAGAACTATTTAACCGGGATTCTCGGTCCTTCTTATAATTCAAAAGACGGGATAGTCTGGCAGATTCATCTAGTTCTACTAGATTCTATATGACCTAGTTCAAGCATCATATTAATCATATGATACCTAGTGTAACGGGCTGTTGCCAGAGAGTGGCCATGTGACCATGGCCTTCTATATTGCTTTTGCCTGCCTCCCATATTATCGTAACCATGTACGAACGCCCGCTGTTCCTTTTCCCCAAGATTGTTGTAAACAGTTCGTTGCCTAGTTGGATTGAATCAAATCGGCTTCAGCCCTTCACACCTAGTCTTGATATCATAGATATCTAAAAATTCTAGTAGGTTCTATAGGATTCTTTCTTCTATAAATTTAACTGGTTCTTCTTATATATTTAACCGGATCTATCTATATTGATAGTATCGCGAGTAGTCGTTATAAAAAATATTATATATAATACCTAATTTTTAACTATATCCTTATATTTCTAGAGAGTAGCTAGAGTAAGGTTTTTAAGGTATATAGTATTACTTATTCCTATCTATTCTGGATAAAGCTACGTAACGTAGTATATATAGCTCTTTCTTTAAGTTCTTTTTAGATCTCTTTCGGGAGTATTATCTTTAAGATAGCTAAAGGGTAAGAAAATAAGAATAGAAGGCTAAGTAGTTACTTAAGTCTTATATTCATATAGTAGACTCTAAAAGAAGGCCTATAGGTAATCTTAAGTAGAAATTCTTACCTGCTATTACCCTATTCTTACCCTCTCTTACCTCTATTACCTCTATTACCCTAGTCTCGAGACTTCTTACCTATATCACCCACACCCACGCTAGGATGAAATTCGACGCTATTCTAAGGCCTAGGGCGCTTTCAGAATTAAACGCATACTATAAATGGTTTAAGTACGGCTAAGCGGACGTGAAGCCCTGCTCTCCCTATGGTCGTATTTGTCAGAATTCATAGAGAATAGAATTAACCACTCAACAACTGATTGCATTTAAATCTAATGAATGTATTTTCAAGAGACTACAGTTCGCTGTCACTGTTGCAAAATCGGTGAATTGATTCATCAACAGCCGGCGCTATGCTGGCTGAAAGAGCAGAAACAGTTTCTCTGGGATTGTATACGATATACTCAGTAGTCATGACTCGACCTCCTTGAGCTCGTCCTCGTTTGTTTCTGCATGGTTCACCCTGCAGGTCTGTTGATTGCCAGGACCGGGCCTGTCTGTTTATCTCTTGACCGATTTAGGCCTTTCCCATTCTCATTTCCTCTTCCTCCTCTGCTTCCTATGTGATTGGTGTCTGTGACACTATCAGGTGGGTTTATCCTCATTGTGCCCAAAAGACGGAGCTGCAGATTATTCTTGTCGATATGATTTCCATTCAGTGCATCCATTACCCGCTACTCGCCCAGTCTTGTAGGAGAAATAGTTTTCATCTTTCGACAATTCAATACGAACAAATGAAATCCAATCCATGTCAGAACGTAGACATGTAAGCTGTATTGCGCAAATATGGAGAAGAGCTGAGCATGACCATTAATTATCTCCGAAACTCCATGAACCAAAACATGCAAATGACTAAATCCTCCCACCAGAAACCCGAGAAAACCCCAATCCAAACGAGCCGCCCAATTTTCACATTAGACATACATCCCGAAACACTATCACCCCCGATAAGCCTCCTCGTAAAACTCATCATACTCCTTCGCACCCTCCATCCTAGCCATCGACATCCTCCCAGTCTTCGACCTCAAAATCCCCGTTCGCGCATCAACAATGGGCCTGACAAATCCACTGTTCCCTCCCTCCTCCTCCTTATCCTTATACGGGAACCACGTATCCCCAAGCCCCGTCGGCTTACTATTCATATAAATAGCCTCCCAATGACCCCGGGGCACAACATAAGTCTCATGATAAATAGCAATATGCGGACTGTCCTTAGCAATCTTATTCCAGTACCGGACACCCTTCATATGCAATTCGCCATACGCAAAGCGGTGCAGCGACTCATAGTCGCGCAGGTAGAATATCGTGATTGTCTCGTTGCCCGCCGCGTCGTCTTGCTTAATCCACCGCGACGTGCCCAGGAGTCCTGATTTCTGCGGGTCGGCGCGCATGTCGGCGATCATTTCTTGGAAGCTGTCGCCGAGGCCTTTCATGTTTGGCGCGAACATGCCAAGCGGGTGGTTGCTTCTCGCGCCGAGGTGGAAGACTACGATCTTGTCGCGGGACGGCTCGGCGCCGAAGGTTCCGTCTGCGTTCGGGATTTGGGGACTCCATTTTGTGTAGATTACGTTGGTGAGGTAGCGGTTGCGGGTTATTTTGAAGGCCATTAGGAGGTTGTCTACTACCCGGTAGAGGAGGATTATGGCTGTGGGTAGGAGTGTGATTGGGCCGAGGGCTATCAAGCTGAGACCCTGGAGTAGACCGCCTAGCAGTAGCCAGCTGGATAGGGCCATGTTATCGCGGAATACGGGCGAGATAGATGGCCGGACGCTTGGAAAACGTGCTGGAGCATTTGGATTTGCGTCATTGTGTGGGGCGATATGTGGTGGGAGAAGAGGTTTGAAGGTCGCCATGATGTCGACTAGAACTTTGAGTAATGATTGACAAGCGAACCCGGGGGGGATATCAATCTCTTTATATTTGGACGTTGCCTGTCGCAGGAGAGATCAGGCAGGCACCGTCATTTTATCCTGGGATATACCAGAGAGCGAATCAGCGGTCTGCAGTGATAATCAGCTGGCCTGAAGTCGTGGAATAATATAGTACAGTAGTATGCAGCCTTACAGTCCCTGACAACCCCGACAGGGTTAGCCAATCACCCTGTCTCTTAGTTTACTCTATAATGGCTAGTTCGATTCATTATGAGGCTGTGGGCCTCGTATTCCCAACGACACATGTTGGATGAGCGAGTCTACCTATCACAGTGCTTACATCTCAGGATGTTGACCTCGGCTGTTTTCTCCGTGGAGGGAGGTATTACGTAGTCCTGTATTCCCTGAATATAATCTGAAAAAGTAATACGTGGAGAGACGGCCGTAAGACGATGCATCACTTATATTATGTCTTGGCTACAAGAGTTCCTTGGCTCCAAGAGTGGCCACATAATACCGTACGTATTCAAACATACCAGGGAATTTCCCAACGGCTGCATGTATGACGCCGGACATTCGCGGAGTCGGCCCATTAAGTGGCCGAAGGGTCCAAAGCCACCAAGCCACCTGAACATTAGGCATAAAGCTGACGTTGTATAGTCCGGCCTAATTATACGTGGAGCACTGCTTCTTTGTTCATGTTCTATCGCGCTTACTGCCCGATCGGATCTGGTGGATTAACGGTCATCTTAAGGCGGGCTACTGCGCCACTTTCTGATAGAGTTTCAAAAGAATAAGCAGATCAATAGAGGAAGTATTAGCGAAGCCTATTAGTGGCTACTAGCAGTCTGGAACCATGAATTCAACAAGCACAGACATTCAGATGGCCTAAACAAGTCTTGGTAACTTATGCTGGACTTTTGTCCTTGAGATCAGATCGTCTTGACAATCAAGCACGATTGTCATCGGAGAATAACGTCTTCCATCGTACACGATCCTAGATCAATGACTACTAAAAAAATCCAAATTTGAATCAAACTCCAATCTCATATAATTCACATATTAACAATTACCTATTCCAGAACAGGCCAACAAAAAAACACAACACCTCCAAATCCCAGCCTAAATACCAACCCCCAAACCACCAAAACCGACGAGATCGTCAAAGGCACTCAACCGTTATATAGATCACAGATCACAGGTCACATTTCGACATCACTGAGAACATACAACCAACCAAATGGGTAGTAGAGTATCAAGAAAAACAAAAGCAAAAGACCAATCAAAAACAAAATAAAAGCGCCAAATTTCCAAAACGCCATCGCTGCGATGCCAGACGCCAGTATGTAATGCGCCTATATTGCCATTACCCAGAAAACATGATAAAGGATATGGAGGTACAAAACCAAGACCTCCTCCAGACCAAAAATAGAAATATGAGAAATAGAAACAGGAACAGGGACAGGCAAGGGGGATTATGTAAAACGCCTGTGAATGAGTTGTAATAGACATGTTAATAACCGGGTATCAGGGGCCAGCTAACTGGGTTAATTCTGCAGTGAACATGAATGCAGATGAGAAGAGCGTTCAGGTTGAGGTAGAGATCGAGGTGAAGGCAGGGGTATCAAACTATCGCAACTCCTGCAAATCCAACTTCGGAGGAGCCCAGTCCAACTGCGGGGGTTTATCATTCGTAGAAACACACACAGGACGCATCACGTCAACACGGCGTTTATCCTTCAACGCACTCCCCGTCAAAAAGCCCCTCAGCGTCGACGAAGCCATCCCATACGTACTCCGTCCACTGCCAGTCCCAGTTGAAACGGTACTAGAGCTGCGCGCGCTCCGGACACTATTCGACTTTGTGACTGCGGCAGGTACGGCGGGCACGGGGAGAGCTAGGCGTGCGGAGGATGAACTTGATGAGCCGTATTCTGGTGGAAGGATTTGTGAGGCGCGGGACGTTTGGGCGCGGAGGCTTTGGAGGGATTTCTTGCGGGATGTTTTTGGTTCTGCTTTGATTTGGACGGGTTGGGATTCGCAGGTTGTTGTGCGGGAGAGATGGATTAATGAGGTTGTGTCTGGTGGTGAGGCGTGGATTTCATCGGCGGAGACGGCGACTTCAAATTTCAGGTTCTCGAGCATTGTACCCAGGCTTGCGGCTGTGGCGGGGCGGCCATCGCTAGCGGTGTCGTCGATTGTTTCGTCTCCGGTGCCGTTGGCGATGTTGTAGTTGCGGAGGAGATACCGTTGCAGACGAGAAACCTCTACATCCCACTTGCGCTGCAATGACTGTAGCACCAGGTCGACGTTTTGACTGGCAAATGGGATGGATTCCGGAGTGGGAGAAGTGTTCGGTGACATGTGCTTACTGAGTCGGTTGCTAGCACCGCCAGAACGAACACCCATGGCAGCATGTAGAGAGCGACGGATCGATGTCGCTGTCGATGTCTGCACGTTGCTCGTATCCCAGCGAACATTATCCACCTCCCGACGGACCTTGTCAAGTGAGAGAATCCTGTCGCGATCCATACAAGAAAGACTGAGAAGAGTGTGGTTGCACTGCAACCCATTGACCAGCACGGTAAAAGATTGCAGGTTAATATCGTTGTTCTCACAGTGCACTTCCCGAAGCGATTCATTCTCCTCCAGTACTGAGGCCAACGTATTCGCACCCTGAAGACCAAGCTTCTGATGCTCGATCCGCAACAATTTGAGAGACTTGTTCTTCTTCAATCCAGTAAGTGCAAGATTAAGTCCGATTCCGAACCGAGCAACGTCAAGATGAGCACTCTCGCCACTGATATCAAGAGCCTCCAGAGTCTCATTCTCCTCAAACATCATCTGCAGCGAACGGCAGGTTTCCGGGCCCGCATCGTACGGCAGAGAAGCCTTGGAGATATCCAAGTACCGCAGAGTCCGGTTCTTGCGAAGCGAATCAACAAGGAGTCGGAACTGCTCCTCTTTCTTAAAATCGATCATCTGCATAGACAGATGCGAGGGCGCCATATTCTTGCCGATGGCGTCGAAAAGGAACGAACAGCCGTTATCCAGGCGGTTCTCGTTGACATGCAAGTGTAAGCTGCGCGGTGAGTCTGGTCCCAAGGACATCGAATGCATGAACATGGCAACGTCTTCACCACTCAACCCACACTGATCAAGACGAAGCATCCGCAGGTTACGTGAGCGGTCACTGGCGAGGTACGTCGCAATAGAGTCCACAGTCTCGCGATTGAGAGCCGTGCGGCTAAGAACTAGCTCCTCGAGTTGCCAATTGAACAACATTTCTGCCGTAATCAGCGGCTCGGGGCCTGATGTGCGAGAAATGCGGGAGAGATTGATCTTGCGAATCTGGCCAAAGTATCCGATATACTGTTGGAGAACGTCCGGACTCAAGCGACCCTGCACTCCAGAAATGTTGATAACCTCGAGCGTGTTTTCCTGTGCGACAATGGTAGACAGCAAAAGATCTAGATCGTGTACGGACAAACCACAGTCGCCAACTTCGAGTGCGCGCAGGTGACTCTGTTTCTGCGATGCCGCATCCACCAGGTAATCCAGATCCGACTCGCCGAGTTTGATACCATTCAACACAACCCAATCCACGCTAGTCAATTCTCGACGACAGACGGGGAAGATAGCCTCTGGAATTCCACACCCGGGATCCCGACTGCCCCTATCCAAGGTTGGCGTGCGAGTCAGGCAGTATGCAAAGTCGAGCCGGCGCAGCCATTGGCTCTTCAATGCTAATGCACGCACCTCTTGCGAGAGGACGGTCAAGTTTCCTTGCCCTGGGATATTTACAAGACATCCTGATCTGTCGAGGTGTACGTCGGCATCCACACCGTGAACATCTCGCAAACCCTGCAAAGCGTCGAGATTGATGCCACGGCATGAAATCGACCGGAATGACTCGTTATATCGGAGAGCGCGCATAACTGCAATCAATTCCAGAGCACTGTATCGCGGATTCGTCGCAGACGCAGGTCGCAAAAGACGGAAGCACGGAGCGTCCTCGCATTCCAGGTCAATCGTGTATCGAATATTGGAGGTGTCCACATCGTAGCTCGCAGAATAAGCAACCAAAGTTCGATCAAAGCAGCCGTAGTCTTCATCCAAAGTGACGGGAGGGAAATTCTCATCATTGTTCAATTGGCGCGGAACAACAAAGTCGTACGGTTGTCTTGTCCACAACGGGCGTAGGAACTCGGTATGCTGTCGCACCCAACAGGCCACCTCCACCGAATGAACGGAAGCCAGGAACACGTTGAAAGATTTTCGAAGTGGGATTCTGAAACGAGGGATGTCTCAGCGGGAGAACACGGTGAGACAAATGGATCCACGAATGATTCACGACTTACCTGAAAGTTAAATGCAGACTATCATCACCGTACTCCATAGACAACCCTGTCAAATTCATCAGACCAAACGAGGCACCCGTCTCTAGGTCGGACAAAGACACGAATGATGACCGATTGGCTGTCTTTTGCATAGGTATCAGATGAACCTTGTGTAATCCAATAGCCAGGTAGCAACCCGTAGGCGACAGTTTCGTCAAATCATCCGAGGACGAACGAGTGGGGGACTTGCTAGACGCAATCTGTATGACGCGGAACATCCGGAATGCAACCGGATCGTAATCTCGTTCGTGCTCCAACATCCTAATCACGTACTCGACGGAACCCCGATTGAACGCGAGGGGATCGTTTGACCGTGCCATTTGCGCAGCCTGGCGAATTCCAACCATCCAGAGATTCAATTCTTGAAGATCGGCGGTCTGCATTTGTATCAATGCCGCCTTGTGCGTGCGTTCGTCGAGATAAGCCACTTCCACGGTAGGCGATAGTCGACCATCTTCCAGCATGTACACTGCGATGATACTGTTTAGCGGAATACCCGCCGATGCTTCGGTTGCAACCATCAGCTGCATGTCCTGCAGCGAATTGAGCGAGGCGATGGATTGGCGGTGCGATGCCGGGGCTCGGCCATTGTAAGAATGCAGAATCGAAGGAAATGTATCGGCAGCCTTGGCCTGATTCTTGAAGCGAACCAGATGCGTGTCTGTGAGAACGAGGTACTGGCTTTTCCGCTTCCACATACCACCCATTGTCTGGATTTCACCGTGGTGGAGAATCGCAGATGACCAGGTCCCATTTCCGGGACTGGTTGCGTTGTGTGGTTCATCTCCCATGGAAGCCACGGCGGCGCTGAGGATATCGTCCTCATCACCGGCGTGCATAGACTTTAACGAGCCAAATACCGATGCTCGTTTCTTCTGTAAAGATTTCCGTGGCCGTGCAGTCTCGAGGGGTGCCGCCGCAGCGGACCAGGCGGCGGTGTCCGAACCGGCGGCACCTGGCCGACGGAGGACATTGCCGCCACTGGCCCATCGGTTGGGACTTTGGGACCGGCCAAAGAAACCCGAATTGCGACGTGCTTTCTTCTCTCGTGTGAGGGTATCATCTGACGGAGTGCGATCATGAAGAGTAGGCCGAAGAGGTGGAGCCGATGTGGAGGAGGATGGACTAAAGACGCTTAGGCTTTTTCTTCGTTCTTTTTTGATGATAAGCTCGGCCATGGTCGAAGGTGGATAGGCGGTTGGACGAGGAATTGGAGGAGTGAGAGTGAGAGTGAGAGTGAGAGAGAGGTTGAGAGGACAAGAGTTAATTGTTATTGAAGCGAGCGTGAACGTCGGAGATGGAGATCTGCGGCGCGAAGAGGAAAAAACAAGTATCTCATTGACGACCCCAACGTCGTTCTCACTAGAAGAGGAGCCAGTTAGAATTGCAATTCAATGGCCATCTCCAGACCACCCAGGAGCTCGGCCAGCTTGCAGGAGAGTCGGGGAAAAGGTGGGATTAAAAAGCGGGGGAGAGGAGGAGTCGACCGGGGGGTGGTTGGTTTAGTATGAGGGGGTTGGTGATGAAAGGTACGTACAGTCAACCTTTACGGCGCCATGAGAAGCAATTGAGATGGTAGAGATTGGCGGTTGGAATCTTCGGTGCAGCGGAGAGTTGAGAGAGATGGAGTGGAAATCCAAAATCCCCAGCGACGTATGGCGTCAACAAAGGAGGTTGAGAGGGGGAACGGGGGAAAACAAGGGTGGGTTGATGTGGTTGCACCGAAGAAGAAGCTCAGCTGGTTGAAGAGGGTCCCGGAATGGGGGAATCCGGAGTTTGAGCTTTTCTCAAAGGGCGGTGATCCAGTCGGCCAGTCCGATGCAGTGGCGATTATTCCCTGACTTGCGTCAAGAGGAGTGCTTCAAAGCTAATCCGACCGGAGGATGAGATCAGAGAATGCCGATCAGTAAAATCAAAAAACGAGGGCGAGAACCGAAGATAGATGATTGGAGAGGGAGAAAAAGGCGGCTTGGATTAATCTTTGCCGAACGCTTGGACGCGAACGGGAAACGAACCGAGAGCGGCGATAAGAAGAGTAGGAAGAAGTAAAGAGAAGAGAAGGAGAATCGTGATCCTCGAAAAGGAGGTGAGGAATGGACGGATGCAGTGGCCCAGAGAAAAGAACATCTCCATCGTGTTTCAGGTGGTCTTCGTTTGCTTTGCAGCAGTCCAGATGGCTATTTCTACAGTACGACTTACTACTACTACTCTGTAGTGTAGTTACTACTCGTGAGTATCCAAATAACTATCCCCTTAGTAGTTAACCCTCATATATCATCCTTGAACATAACCTATCATCTTCTCCCACTTCCTCCCCGTGGACAACGCCTTGCTAAGACATGCGTTCGCGACCGATCAAATGGCCATTCGGGTTCGGCTTCTCAGCCACGTAAGAGGCGTAGTCTCCACCCGAGTACGAAAAGAATTAAATTAGCGCCTATCATTTTTTTTGACTTTTGGTGTTATGTCCACTTTCAGGGACAGGGATCTTAACTGGCCGGTCATCTCGCAGGAACCACTGCGATCCTGCGCTAGCTGATTCGTGGGATGGTTGGGTATATAGTTGCCCATAGACAGGAATAGTACTGGTGTTAGCCTGATATACTACAAGTATACTAAGTCCACAGTCTTAATATCCCCCTCGTGCCATGTCAAATTGATCGACACTTGATATACCTCCATTCTCATTTCATGTACGGAGTACAATCAATATTCAAGTCCATCCTAATCTCCCCCCGATCTCCCGAGTCTCCACCCTGATCGCCCACTTACGCGATGGATGCTCCAAGGGGAAAGGGTCAATCGGACGTCCCCAGTCCACGAAAACGGAAATCTCAGTAGATCAAGCATGAACCGAATTTCAATTGTCCCCAGACTTGATTGTCCCCAGACTTGATCACCTTCTCTCAAGTTACAACTCTCCTCGAGCCAACAATTGACGTCATATCCGAAAAAAGCAAACCCCCTCTCCTATCGGCAGTACGAAGAATTCCTTCTTTCCTTTCTTTTTTCGCTCTCTTAACCCTGTGGCTGTGGCGGAACTGGCGGTATTATACAACTAGATTTCGAGGCTGTGCCGTTCATGCCCAACGTAACCTCCTCCGTAACTCTAGATCGAGATCGGCCCCTCACTTCTTCTCACCCAATGAAGACTCTACCTCCCAGATCCCTGCTCCCACTGCGCCTGAAGTCGCTCAGCTCTCTTAATCCGCCTCATAAGCTCGATATACTCATTGACACGTCTCTCGGCCCAAATGCACCCTCCAAGGGTCATCGCGGCGATCTGCAAGAACACTTTGAATTGCGGTGTCAGCCCCCGGTATACCCGGGACGCGGGCGATAGCCACTCGGAGAACCCTTCGATTGGCCTGTAGAAGAGGCGGGAGCGGAGATATTCGCGGGAGAATGGTGATGGGCGTGGTCGGGGTTGGGATTCGCTGGTGGAAGGTGGTGTTGGTGCGGTAAAGGTGAATGGGTGCGGGAGGATCATGATCATGTGTGCGAGGATTGAGACGGAGCCGAACTGGATAGTTGGGATGAATGTGAGTAGGGATTTGTAGAGAGAGAGAAAGAGAGAGGTCAAGTATCTATTGAGGTACTTGGTGGAACGTACGCGGAATACGCCCGTCATGAAGCCCTTGGCGGCTTCGGTGGTGATCTCCTCTGGGGGCTCATTTTCGGCCCTGTGGTTGGATGGTGGTGGCATATTGATAGTGGTGATATGGGTGTGTGCTCATGAGCTGTGAGGCTGTCTTGTTTAATTGGCGATTCAATGTGTTGATCTCGGAGGTGAGCTCTCGGCACGGTGCGGGGAGTAATCTCGATCGCAGAGAATAATAGTTTCACAAATCAAACCCGAATATCAAAGATACTCGAAGCTGCAACAAAGAGAATCACTCAATAAGATCACAAAAAGAAATCTCTGGACCAGCCAGATTGTATCGAATCCCACGTTGATGTCAGAGCAAACCCCGAAGTCACCGAGCCACGGATCAACGATGATCCCGATAGCCACTCCGATAAAAGACAAATCCGATTATCACCAGGACCCTCCAATCTGAAATTCAAGACCCTCACTCACTCCCACCCCAATTCACACTCTCACCACAACTCACCATCGCAATGCCTCTCCCTGCTCGTACTGCGACCGTCTCCCGGTCCACCAACGAGACCAAAATCCAGATCTCGCTGTCCCTGGACGGCGGCGTCCTGCCACCTTTCGAGCCGATGTCGCACTTCCCCCATCAACGGACCCCGCCGAGGCCGAGGCCGAGAAGAAGGGCATTGTGCCTATCAAGGGCGCCGCCCATGCGACCCAGTTCACGCCTACCCAGCAGATTACTATTAGCACTGGCATTGGCTTCTTGGATCACATGCTGCATGCGCTGGCCAAGCACGGCGGTTGGAGTTTGGCTGTGCGGGCCAAGGGTGATTTGTACAGTGAGTCAACAGAACCAACCTCGCCAATTGCGCCACACAGCAGCACACCATGATCGATTATTCTTGCTGACTTCTTTCGCAGTCGACGACCACCACACCGCCGAAGACACTTTCCTCGCCCTCGGCACGGCCTTCACAAAAGCCCTCGGCGCCCGCCAATCCCTCGCCCGCTTCGGCCGCGGCGACGCCCCCTCGACGAAGCCCTCTCCTGGGCTGTCATCGATCTCTCCAGCCGTCCCTGGGCCGTGATCAACCTCGGCTTCAAGCGCGAGAAGATTGGCGATTTGAGCACCGAGATGATCACCCACGGTCTGCAGAGCTTTGCGCAGGCGGCGGACGTCACGTTGCACGTTGGTTGCACTTATGGTGATAATGATCATCACCGGGCGGAGAGTGCGTTCAAGGCGCTTGCTGTTGCTATTCGGGCGGCGACTGCGCGCAGGGTTGAGGGGGAGGTTGGTGCGGGTGATATCGTCAGTACTAAGGGTGTTTTGTAGAGACCCTTGGGGTGGGTTGTATGATGATGATATGGTGTGATGAGTTGATATACCTGGTTTCTTTTCTTGTTTATGTTTGGCGGATAGATTTAAAAGTTGTGAGATATAGTATATACTGGAGGGAATTGAAGTTCTCTCGTTTATTCACTGCTGGAGGTATTCATTATTTGGGTAGCTGAGAATTGCCGAGTCGGGATTTCCTCGTTGATGCCAAGCCCCAGATCCCGGGGCCACTCAGATCCACATTTCCAGTAGTTGGCCCACCTCTATAAATTGTTGACCATTCTAACGTCATTTCCTCTGTACTTCTTCTTTTTACTTTCCCCGACATCTTGACTATTGTCTTTGCTCCATAACAGTAGTGTCGTATAGAGATAAAGTACACTCGAGCTACACCACTGACACAGTAACCCTAGAGACTTAGGTCAAAATCTATACAGAGAAAGATCATCGACAAGGAGGAACCTCTAATTCAAATGCAATTCTTTCCATTTTCTATCCCCAAGCTCTGCATAAATGAATAAACTAGCAATGCAGAACATCATGTGACACTCCCCCTCCTCGACCTATACTATCTCAACCTTCTCTCTCCACGCAACACTTACCCCACCCCGCCTTATCTAAAATAGACCATCATCAATAAACCTGTCTACACTCGGGAGCTCCATAGCCCCAGCTTTCTCCAAAGACAACACCCATCCTGAATACAAGCTACAAGCTACAAGCTCGCAAAATGCCCCACAGCAGTGATGCTCTACGTACAACCCAGACCTTCCCCATTAAACGAACGATGTACTAACACTCATTCTAGAACCCCCTCTAACCCCCGCCGAGCGGGAAATTATCAAGCCCTACGGTGGCTGGACCCAGTTCCTCATGTCATACGGCCTTAAGCCTTGGAATGGGGAGGATGCTGAGGAGGGCATGGGTATTCTCAAGGGTCTGGCTGCTATTGAGGTGGAAGCTGAGGCTAAGTGATAGACATGGCAGGATATGCCGAGTGCAGAGGCATGGAATCTGCGTGATCTGAGCTTTGGACTTGTCTGCCCCGTTAGCTCGTGAGGAATTCTACGGGTATGTCCTCGGCAATATCGAAGGAATTAATGCAATTGAGACACGATCAGAATATCAAAAACGCCCTTCCATACGCCGGTAACCTAAACCTCCTGAAACAGCTCGGTAACCCTTCTATCGAAGAACCAGCTCCGATATCCATACCCAAACGCCAAACAAAAGAAACAAATAACACCAAGAACCACCACATACCACCCTCAAATCACCATCTAAACACCAAGCGCCTTAACAGCCCTCTCCCAATAAGCCTTCCTGTCATCCGTAACAGTCGTCCCCACACAACCAGTAATATACCCCTGCCACCCAGCCTGATCACCCTTCTGCAACGCACTCCGCACATCAGCGGTACACTGCGTCGTCAGGAACCAAGCGCCCGAACCGAAATCGTAGACCTCGTTGTCGCGCAGGAGGTCTAGCAGGTCGGCCGGGGAGTTTTGGACGGAAGGCAGTTTGTCTGCGAGGGCGGGGATGGAGGAAGCGTATTTGGAGTTGTAGGTTGGTGATTGCATGTTTCGGGCTGGTCGTATGTTAGCTTGTTTCTTTCCTTTTCTTTTCTTTTTTCTTCATTGAGTATGTAATGTATATAGAAGAAGAACTTCATTTGAGTTGACATTGTAGGTTTAATTCCGGTTGAGGGGGGTTGATACTTACTTCCCTGCCCCGCAACACCGGGGAAATGATTCTTATTATACTTGAAATCCAAACTCTCAAAGGCCATCAGACTAATCACAGCGGCTTGTTCAGCCTTGCTGGTGACACCGTATTGATCGAAGGACTTGGCAATGTTTGTCGCGGCTGTTTTTGCGGTTGCGCATTCGCCGGCTGCGGGCGCGTCCTCGCAGGTGTTTGATGTTGGGGCGATGGTTAGGATTTGGGACTCGGTTATGCTTTCGGTTTTGAATTTGGTTTTGGTGAGCGGGTGGGCTGTTGTGAGGGTGAGGAGGAGGGTTAGGGGGGTTAGGAGGTGCATTTTGTTGATTTGATGGTGTTGATGGTACGGTGGTTTGTAGTCGATTTGTTGGTGAGTGGTGGTTTTGTTGTGTAGGTAGGGTGTTGAGTGGATGGTGTTTGTAGAAATAGATAGATGGAACAATGGATGAAGGACAATAAACTCGAAAGTGAAAGCGGTCTATTAGCAAATCTCGTTGTTTGTCGCTTTTACCGTTCTGTTCAATGAAGCAGGCAAATCACCACTTATATACCCTCCCTCCACACCGACCACCCCATAAAATGTGGTCCCCAAAACAAGGGCAAATACCCACACAGAACAACCCACCTCCGTAAGGAATCAAGAGCTCCAAAAACTCAGCCCCTGAGAAAAACCCACCCAGATCAAATGAAGGCGTCCTGCAGGGCGGGTTGATTGGACGTCCGTCATGGGGAATGCGGCTCGAACGCGAACTTGAATGCCGGACGGGGCTTCGCGGACGGTATGAATGCTACACGTCAAGCATTGGGCTACTGGGAAGGTAAAAGGTAAGGATGTCCACATTCAGGCCCGCACAGGAGCATATTCCCCAGCCTAACTATGGGCTGTGTCTATGGGCTGTGAAACCCCCGAAGTACAAGGCGTACCATTCTAATTTCGGATTTGTCAGTTCTAGAATCCATGAAACTCATGACAAGATCTGCGATCCAGTTAAACCTACGAAGATCTGTTGTAAAGCGGTAGATATAACTACACGTCAGGGAGTATTGCAGTCGATGTATGTGTTTGGCTTTTTATTGGTTAGTTAGAGTTGTAGGGAAGGTTTTAGGGGTCGCGTTTCAGGAACGCTGAAACTTGGAGATGGTGGGGAACTTGGCGGTTACCCTGGGCGAATCGAACCCCGTAAGGGTACTGTTGTAACCCTTAATTATTCTTGTACTGGTCTACTTAAGCGGGGTGATAGGTCGTTTGGTTTCTTGTCAGAAACTGATGCTGGTCCTATGGTGACTCTCGCCAAATTACTTTGTGGAATATTGACTGTATACTAGTCCAGGGTCACATCTAAGTGCATCTCGCATGAGATGGACAGGTAGAAGAGCCGTGCAGTTATACATCGAGTCATGATATCGGATGGAAGAGAAGGACTACCCTTGAGTATCCATTTATCAATTCTCTCAATCATCAAATCCTTAATTTTCACGACACAATCCAAATAGAATCCATACATCCCATCTACCACCCCACGAATGAGGGTATCTTACAACCAGACCAACCTTGCTAGAAAAGAGTCATACTAAAAAGAAGCTGTTTGAACTGATGATTGAATTTGATATTATTCAACAGAGATATATCCAATCCACAAATGTCCATATCCACGTCCGAGTGCAAATGCAAGTGCAAGCACAGCGCAAGTGCAGTCCGATCCACAAGATCCAAACGACACCTGATCAACCCGAGTGTATCACCCTTCTCCCTCCCAAGAAGAAAAATCTAGGTGTGGTTTAAAAATCGATAGCGAATAAATAGAGGGGAGGTAGAAGAGATGAATATGCTCGTCCAAGGCGACCGGTATAATCAGGATAATCGGGTATGGAGTGTTGAGACTCGGGATCGGACGCTGCACTTTGGATCGCGTTATGACCCATCCACTCTGGGTCACTCGCGGATAGCTGCACGTCCTCACTCCAGCAAGACAAGTCAGAAATCAGATTCCAAGCGAATCAAACACAAAAACCCAAGCTCCAGGTTCGAGCTTGCAATCCCGGATCCCGCCACGGGACAGCCAAGACAGGACACCATGCATGCGCTGCAAAAAGAACTCCCCATCAAAGTTGGGAAGTAAACGCGTCAACCTGCTCGAAAAAAACATCTCCAAACCATAATCACGGTTGAGATCCACTCCGAGCAGGCCGATAAAAGACAGAAACGAGAGTTATACAATGCATTGTATGTAATGCTGATATGATGCAGATCGTGATCAGGCCGTATCGATACAATAGACGGGTAAAAGTGGTAGATTGCGTCAGTCGGGTTGGTAGTCGCGCCATTGTAGACGTCAGGTCGGGGTGGTTGAGGGAGGCAAAAAAGAGAGATAGCTAAACAAAAATCGCACGCCAGCTGGGAATCAGAGTAGAGGAACGCCAAAGATAAATCAGTCGTCGCGGCGACCGAGCTCGTAAGAGGTCTCGGTGGCCCCGCCGATCTCTTCGTCCTCCTTGAAGCTCACACGGCGGAGCAGTGTGGGCATTATACGGCGAGCGCGACGCGTAGGAGAGGAGGAAAGCCGCGGGCTGATGATGGAAGGCACCTTGGTGTAGCGGTAACGGTACTTTGCACCGAGGAGCATGATTCGGCCGTATGTCCACCACAGGCAGATGCCGACAATACCTGCGAGGATGAAACCGCAGAAAGTGAGGAACACCCAATGTTGGCCCATCTAAGGAGAAAGTCAAATTAGTGAATGCAACGAACATCTCTAGCGGGGGACTGCCTTACCCAGAAAATCAAGTGCGCGTCCTTGCCATGCCAGCTGTTTCCAGTGTGGTGCGTGAAGAAACTCCACGAGAACTTGTTGTACTCGTCCTGCATCAGAATGCGCACGCGCCCAGATTCACTAGGCTTATCCTGCATATACTCCTTCCAGATGACCGACAAGAATAGCGGACCCGTCGAGTACATCACCGTAATGTAGGGCAGCACCCACTTGCGGTCGTACTGTTGCAGCAACTCAATCACACGGAGGAAGAATGGATGCTGAGGCACGGAACCCATCGCGTCGTTGGAGATACCAGTTGGCACGGTGCGACGAACCCAGGCGGGGTATGCGAGGAGCGGGTCCAAACGGCGGTTGCAGCCCTAGAAGTGTATGAGAATTGGCTCAATTTAGATAGGAAAAAGGATTGGGGAACGTACATCGTCCAGGTCAATATAAGTACCACCGTAATGCGCCAACACAAAGTAGCGAATTGAGTCTGCGCGCTGGATGGGGTACTTGTAGCCGTCAAAGGTGTCCAGGAACCAGGGGTATTCGGCGGCGATAAAGTCGCGAGACTTTTCATTAGTCCACAGCTGCGCAAGAGTTAGCGATACGGAATTCTCTGGTAGATCGAAGCTTCAATGCTCCTCCTGTGTGGGAGTTGGGTGTCCACGTACAATATACTCATAGTCCGGGTGCAAGTCAATGCAGCTCTGTTGGGCCTCACGCCACACCTCGGGAATCGTCTCGTTCTTGTAAGTCTGGTGAATGATCTTGGGAATGATTTGAGGCCTTGTCTCAATCAGACTGGAGTTGGGAGACGGCAGCTCCGCGCGGTGAATGGCATCTGCGGCCGCATCCTCCACTAGCAAGGAAAGCAGAGTCGAAACGCTGCGAACCAGAAGTGTGAGAATGAGCAGATTCACCAGGATGAAGATTAGGAGACCGCGCCGCATGGTGGGTGTATGTTGCGACGAGGTGTCGCGTTGTGAATTGGAGGTGAGAGAGGGCTTTTGTTGTCCGCGAGCGAGGATGCGACGTCGACAATTGAAGGGCGAGAGTACGTATTGTTCAATTGAATGTGTACACAGGGCAAGTTCGTCAAGTCGTGTCGTGTGAAGGACTCACGGGCCTCCGTGGGCCGTGGGGGGAGAAGGTCGATCTGGAGAAGCGATCTCCTCGGAGAAGGTCGTAAAGGGGAGTTTGTATTAGACCAGGGTTATGACCATGGAGAGCGTGTGAGTGCGCGCGTATATTTTCGGAGACGGGGGTGAGAAAGAGAAGACGGCGAGGGAGAGTCTCGAGTTGAGGTTGAGGTTGAGGTTGAGGTTAAGGTTGGGGGGGGGGGAGAAATAGTGCCGTCGGTTAGGGAGAGGATTGGAAGAGGAGAGGCAGAGAGAAGAGAGACCCCCAATAATTGAAAAAGGGTTTAGAGCCGAAAGGAAATCAATAAAAGAGAGGAACCAAAAAAGATACGAGAATAGGGGAGGATCATCGACGATAATAAGGAGCGACAGGTGGGGAAGGGGGCTAAAGCCAAAGAAGAAAGGAGCGAATGTTTGAAGGTTGAGGAGAGTTGAGTTGTGAGGAAGAGAGAAGGAACTGAGAGACAAGGTAATTTAGGGAAATACCAATACAGACCATCAGGGGGGCGAAAGGCAAAATGGTCAACGATGCTCCGTGATTGGTCGAAGCTCCACTCGGTTGCGTGGAAATGCGTGGTAAGTGGGGGAGGAGCTTACTTTCTTTTTCCCTTTTGACTTTTCTTTCTTACCAATGGTTAGAGAGAATTCGCGGAACCACAACTTCAAGAATCGATGATGATACTATCTACATTTCCAAAGTGTGTACCTATACCCAGAACCTTGGCCAGACTACGATAACTGTTTTGTACTCGACTGCGCAGAGGCTGAGCTGTGTGGCTGTGGCAGATTACCTCAAACTGTACCTCTCTGATTGGTGGGCTGACCAGTCCGGTGGGGCAAACTCCAGACCGTTGTATTCAACGTGTAATTCGCCGTAAGGGACGGTGGTAAATGGTATTGACTATCGAGCAGGTCTGGTTCACTTCTAATGTGGTGGCCAGATTACGCAGGCCTATCCAAACGGGACATGAGTTACTTGGCTGCCTTGCGCCCCCAAATGCCCAAACCGGGCAGTGCATGTGGCGCTCAACGGGAGCTAACCAGGGAAGGAGTTATCTTTAGCGAACAACACGTACATGATCCTCGGCAATGAGAATTGATATCTTTGATGATAGTAGTCGACTATCATGACGGAGGATATTCCATAAATATCATCTACATCTTGCAGCCTGCAGGAGGCCTCATATACTTTGATGACTGGTATTTACGTGCAGCAGGCACGACATTTCTTAGCTAGTGGCCACAGTATCACTATTTTTACCATGGGTCCTCTATCCTCCAGACAATGAACAATCAACGATTCAACAATAAACTCCACGCCTGTTCAAATCTCTAGCCCACCCCTCTAGACCTCATGAGGCAACTGATGCCTGAGGTTGAGATGCTTGGCTACGCCCCGAGGTTCCTAACGTGTGCCAGATCCCTTTATTCCTTGGTACCAGAGCCACAGCGAATCCACCTGGACTAGGCAGTTGGCTTAAAGAATTTTTCCTATTATTCAACTTACCCTTGAAAGAGATTTTCCCTCGGTTGTGCATAAGCGGAAGTCGGGGATCGGAGTTCTCGAATGCCTACCAGGACCACCACAACGGAGAATCCGTCCATATCGGCGTCTTTCAGCCCGTTCCCGGTGTGGCGGTCCCCAAGTTGACTGCTCCGAGACTATGCGACCGGCCACCGTTGCGGGATTGCGTCAAGGGTTCGCCGATAAGCCTATAGTGCTGGCCCGGTGACATTTGCATACTTTGGAGAGTACTGCAGAAGTATGGAGAGTAGGAAGTTTATGTGAGATTATGCTGTAGGTGAGGCTGTGAGCAGGCTAATTCAACGCAAAGATTACCTAAAGAGGTAGTCTGTTCGGCCGAACGGTCTCGTTGATTTAAGATTGATTTATTTCCTTGTCAGCCAATAATACGGTCGCTCCTCGGTCTAGGGGTCGTGTATTTATCCGTTGATGCACTCTAGTCTACCGAATTATTTGCATACACCGGTGGTTATTGAAATTAAATACGCACGGTGCAAGGAGGTTGATCGAACCCTCAATAAACACCATCCATACGAGTATAGGCGCGTAATTAAGCCCGCTTAACTAATAATCTACAGTGTTACTTGCCCGAAACTAGCAAATCTCCATACAGTAAACCTCCGTACCCACTCCACTACGGCCGTACTCGTATCCTCGTATCCACCGTACGCCGTAAAAAATCCTCCTCCATCTTTTTTTCCCTTCTCCAACGCGTCGTCACGGGCCAACCAGTCTAACTAAACTAGGTATAGTATGTCTAATCGTTCCCCTGTTTCATCCCCACAGGCCCCAGGAGCGCGAATAGTGAACACTACTAACTGGGCAAGTGCTGGTCCGTCCCAAGACTTGAAGACTCCGTGGTTAAACTAAGTTAACTACATAACACTAACGACCGAGGGGAAAGTTGAATACTGCCAAGTGGAGGAGGGTTCTTGGGTTTCGCTTTGCGCTCCACTTCCGGCGTGCGAGTGCGAGTGCGAAAAATGTATGTGAAAAAACTATGGAGGAAAAGTTTGGCGCTGGTGCTAGCCATGGTTCGGTGAACGGTTAGGCTTGGTTTTTGCTCCGCGGGGATTTTGCGATGGCGACGGTTACAGGATGCGATTTGGGTGGGAAGTTGGAACTACAGTATATAGGAATAGTGGTAGCTCGATCTCTGGTATTTAGTGAAGATACTGATGAGTTTGAATTGAGAGGTTAAGCTATATCATGATTCAAGATTCCAGGTCTCGGTGATACCAGCATCCATCTTGTAGTCTAATATCCTATTCCTGAAACATACCATGTTCAACATCAATCCCACCAGTCCTAGGTAACCACCTCGATCGGCAAAACCACTCTCAAGCATCTATGATCTACCCCATAAATCAAGTTCCAAGTTCCCGTTCACCTCAACAATTTCCCTCCAAAACTCGGTTCTCTCCAGACTCACTCCAGATTCCTACCCTTTCCAACCAAGATCGGCGCTTAGATCGCGATCAATGACGTGAGTGGACTGCGCTTCCTACTGTACTAGTTAAGTAGGAACCCGCCAGGAGAAATGTCGCTAGATTCGCTACCATTAAGTTTTAACTATGTAATAGCTACCAGCTTGCGGAAGTATACCTCCGCATCGTTGATGGATGGTTCGGTTCATACCTTAGACCTTGGTTTATGTAGGACTGTATTAGTTATCTTGTTTTACTTGTTGTATTAAATTTATTATGACGGTGTCGTATCCACTACGACGATAAACCCCACGTTTCCCTCCGTCAAGCCCCCCCGACGACGTGGCGTTGGCAGACCCTGTTTAGACACAGTTTTCGTCGTCGCACGGTGCTTTCGCTGATATCATATCACCGGCGTGTCGCGCCTCTTTAGGACATCGCTGTATCTCCAGCTGATTATGATTAGCTAGATACTGCTATCACAACAGGCGCATTATAATTCGAATAGAATCTGTCCTGCAGTACAGTACCGGTGTACTGCTGGCATTAACGAAAAGTCTTGGTTATTCAGGAGTACTTCCCGACCAATAGGGTTGTGTATCAGCGTAGAGTGATCAGATAAGGGAATGCGAGTGGTTGGTTTTACTATCGGTGGTCTTGGCTGGTGTCCGGATTAGGGCGGACGCTGCTGTCAGGGCTGCAGGTGGCCTTGTGGGCTATGGGTATGATGTGATGTGATATGATATCCGAGGGAGGCTGTGCTACAGTTTATTAGAACGAGTGTGGTATAGAATACGAAGTATTGAGAGAAGTAATACGGTTGCCTGAGAGTAAGTGTATGGAAGGAGGGTGTTTCACTGGACGGTGGATTGAGGTCTTATCCGTGTATACAGTTAATCGTTGCACATTTAGTGCTTATGATAAGTCTAAAATTGCACTTGGCTAATCATATCTGCTCTTGAACCATTCTGATTCCAGAGTCTTTCTCGATTGACGAGTATTAATCGGGACTTTCAAGGCTATGGGATTTCTGAAGGTAGCAGTATCTATTCCACCTATCTTGAGAGATTATTCTAGTGAGTGCTTCTGTTTTATGAGATAACGAGTGAATGAGTTAAAGCTAATAGGGTATCTTCGCTATGATCAACTTGAAATAAACATGCATATTTTCCAACAATTCCACCTACCACCCTCTGTCCTTCTCCACCATGTCTTGTCATCAAACCAGTAGGTTGCACGTGTATAGGGACCAGCCCTTGCACTTGAGCAACCGCGCCATCCGAACCAAGTTAGGGGCTCAATCCATGCCATGCCATGCCTTGGGATACGCCAGCGTCCCAGAACCAAACTCTGCTCCGACCAAATCCAATACCAATATCCACAGTGATGCTGACAACGATGTTGAGCCGACCACGTTCAGCCTTCTTCAACATATACAAAACCGATCAAATGTTCTTTGCATACTCAACGAACCTCCGGCGCAGCAGCAGCCGCAAAGTCCGGATTCACATCGATAGCATCCGTCGGACGCTCCCTTGCCGGACCAGTCTCAAACAGTCTCCGCCACCACATGGGCGGATCCAATGGCCGATGACCACCATGCAAAGTCGGGTAGACATCATTAAAGAAATACCAGACATGGCCAACCGCCACACCGAGCATTTCATCCTTGGGCACCGTCTGGTACACAATCAAACTAAACGCCATAAGCACCCACGGCAGATACGGCGCGGGAAAGACCAACAACCCCAGGAAACTCAACCGGGTATCCGGATTCCGCCGCGCCCAGATATACACAAGACTCGAGCTCAACGCCGTTCCCAAGAAGGGCAGCGAGAGAAAGGGTGAAATAATCAGGAGTGTGCTCGTTGCGTAGAAAATGAGCCAGGCGAAATGCGCGGGGGACCGGCCGGATGATTCTTCTAGGAGTCGCGAGTATCGTTGGAGAAAGAACACGTGGAAGATGAGGTCGAGGTTTAGTTTGCCAAAGTAGAGGAATGTGGTTAGGAGGCGCCAGTATTGGGATTTGGCGTAGACGGCGCGGAAGCTGTAGAAGAGTTGGAATTCGGTCACGATGTGACAATGCACGAGGACGGAGGTTGCCACGGTGGCTACTGTCCACCATCGTGTGACGGGGGGCATTTCGTAGAACCATTGTTCGAGGGGGAATTGTTGGCCTATTTGGCCATTGTTTCCCCAGAGGTCAGCCATGATGAGTCTCGGTGCAAGACGGGAGATGTCTGAGAGAAAGTAAAGGTGGGATGGAAGTACGAAGGGGAAAGACCAGATTGACGATAGTTCCAGCTCCATCGATAAGCCGATAACCATCTTATCAATTACCACGTGACTGACGCGTCCGAACACCAAAAATCACGGGGCTGGACGCTAAAGACGAATGGGTTCATATTGGCCCAGCCCCCTCCATTTACCTTTGTTCACTTTTCTCTCTCCTCTGCTACACCCCGCGCTTGCTTAGAGCTGCTACTGTCGAGATAATCTCTTCCCTGCCTCATACCCACCACCCCCTCCAGCTCCGGCTCCCGTTGTACTACTCCGGCAACTCTCCTGCAAGGGCGACAACCCTCGACGCGCGCGCGGATATCCTGCAGGGAAAAAAGAACCCGCAGTCCTCGACCACATTGAGCTCAATTGATCGTGACAAACTTGACGCGCATTGCAGAACCTCACGACTACGGAGTACACCTCTCTCAATCCTCAATCACAATGGCGCCAACTCCCAAGGCAAGAAAGACCACAGCCGCAAAACCAGCCGCAGCAGCACCCGGCCCAGCCAGCGCAGCCCGCAAGACCAAATCCACAGCCGCAGGAAAGCGACCTGCCGGAAAACGTACTTCAAATGTACAACGTACGTCTCGCCCTTGACTTCGTTCCAAAGCCCTCTCCAAGAGTCCCTATCTAACATCCACAACTACAGCCGGCGACCCAACACCAACCGGTAAAAAACGCCGCTACAAACCCGGCACAGTCGCCCTCAAAGAAATCCGCCGCTACCAACGCTCCTATGACCTCCTCATCGCAAAACTCCCCTTCGCCAGATTAGTCCGCGAAGTCGCCCTCGATCTCCTCCCCGCTGAAGTCGGCGCCGAATTGCGCTGGCAGTCTCACGCTATCCAGGCTCTGCAAGAAGCTGCGGAGGCGTTTATGGTGCATTTATTCGAGGATACGAATTTGTGTGCTATTCATGCGAAGCGTGTTACGATTATGCAGAAGGATATTCAGCTTGCGAGGAGGATTCGTGGTGTTTGGGGCGGTCTTGGTTGAAAAAGAAGAGGAAGAGAAAGTGTGTGTGCAATGCCCGCTTGTTGGGGGTGTTCTTTTTTCACCTTCCCTCGCTGCCCTTCGCGCGAGGATTCGTTTGCGGGTTTAATCTTAATCGGGGGGTTTTCTTTGTTTTGCTGCGACGGCTACCTGGATCTCCTCTGTTTGAGGGGGTTGCTACTGGCCCAACTGTGATGGCGTATTATGGGTATGGAGTATTCAAGGCGGTGTTACTTGTCTTTTTGGTGGGATTTTTTCTGTTTCTGTTTCTGTTTCTCATTCCTGGTCCTGAATACTTGGATCTTTCTGATTATACCACGGTTGTTGTACATTAGCATGGATGTGGGGTGTTATTGTTTACCTTTATAGGTAGTGCTGCAAATGAGGAGTGCTGGAAGAGTGTCGTCGGGTTGACGCTCAGTTCAAGGGATCTTGTTTACGAATCTGCGTATTACTATATATCGATCTTATCCGATGAATCTCGAGAGCTGTGTATCAAGTCCAGAATGCTATCTTGATGATCTGTTTCTTGAAGTTTCAAGATGCCTATTGCGTCCATTGTCTAGGATATCTCATTTGGACGAGCAAATTGCGCAGAGAAATAGAACATGAGCCGTCATTGTGGTGAAGTAATATATACGTCCTAATGTTAACATTAGAATATAAGGACCCAAACGCCGAAAATAACAGCTCCTAGCGCCAGAAACAGCCGCATATCCATATTAATACTTTAGTCTGTTTACCTACTATCATGTTAATAACATAGCACGTGAATAGATATAATAAGTACGAAGATTTCTTTAAAGAATTCAATAAACCCATAAGGTTGCTCCTACTTTTACCTTCAACTCTAGATCCTTTAACTTAACGTAATTCCCAGTCGACCCGCGCACCCGGTCGACCCGCGCACCCTCAAACACATAGTGAATGCGATAGATTACGAGTTTATATCTCAACAACTATATAGTATTATTATTTGGGTATTAGTACATAGGCTTTTATTAGCATATAAAACAATATTTCTGAGTTTTAAGCTGCTTAAAAAATTATTTCATTGCTTTACCATACAATACGGCGCAATTTTGACAAAAGGAACATAAATATATATATCTCGTTCATTACTTCAACTGACCTTCCAATACTTCCTTAGTAAGCTAGAAACTATATCAAGATTATATAATTTTAATATCTGATTGTAAATAGATATGGTTGTTGAGATATAAACTCGTAATTTATCGCATGTACTTTGTGTTTGAGGGTGCGTGGGTCGACTGGGAATTACGTTATAGATCATTATCGCCCTACAGCCATCGATATCTCGTTCTTGAAGTAAACATATGAAACCTGGGCTATATACTCAAGTTGATAGTTAGCTTGTAGTTATAGGCCTAGGTCTTACCTGTTTAGGGATAACGTAAGTTCACCCCTAACATGGAAAATGTAGCGGATAGTGTTATATCCTATTATTAACAAAAGCACCGTCGTTAAGGCGTACTAGAATATCTCCTTCTTACCCCGCAGTGGCAGTGGATCAGAAAATGATATATTATAATCATGTATAGGACTAACCCCTTTACTTTATGTATGCCCTTATCCTTCTATCTTTTAGGATATTGGGATGGTCGCTGCTGAAGCTGGAAGCGTTCTTTACCTGTGGCGATTGGAAATGAGAGAGCAAAGGCTGCAGCTTTGGAAAGATTCCGGCTCATCATGGGGTGAATGAAGGGTATTTAACAAAGGTAGAGGTAACTAGGGGATTGGACTTTCCATGCCGATTTCTATAAACCATACTCGTTTGTCGAAGATCGAACACCGAGAAATGACTCTGTGAATATGCGGATTTTTTCATACAACAGAGATCTGTGAAGAGCCTCGTTAGATTACCCTCTGTAGTTAGATCAGATCCCACGTTGGCTGTGAATATGGAGAGTAAAATTCAAAGGTATTGTAAGCAAGGTAAGATTTCAGAACTCTTCAGCTTGGAAATGCTACGACTGTACCGGGGTACACAGGTCATGTCGATCTTTGAGATAAAAGCGGGGAAAGTAGCACTCCTAATATATATAAATTAATATACTATAATTAACACAGATCGTGATGCTACTCCTGATCTGGTCTAGTAGATCTTAGTGTTGGGTTCCTGAAATCCATTTGAAAACCGTACGTGGTACTATAACTATGGTTGCGAGCCATTATTTCTTAAAATAGACTTCCTGGAATTTAATAGTGGTTGAAAGAGACTAAATACGCCCTACTTCAGATAAATTATTGATTGTCTTGTATTATAATAAACGTATAGTAATTTCAAGATTATTGTTCAATAATGCCTATAGAGTTAGTTGTACGTTGTGGCCGGCTTCGATGTTATAGCAGTGAGAACTGAGCAAACACAAGATGGGACATAACGCTATTCTATCGAAGAATGCCCCCCGTAGAACCATATTACCTATCACTTTAGCTATGGCAAGGCCTCTATGTTAAATCAGTGGCTAGTACTTTAAAGTTGAAGAGGAGGAAAGAAAACAAATAAGAAGCTTTGGATACCCAGTTCTTTAGTTTTGCTGATCTCTCACGGCCCCACAGGATCGGCCCATCCTTGACTAATAATTAGACGGCTGTTTGTCCTATACAATCGATGAGCCGCCATTCTCCACATTTTCCGGGTTGGCCCAAAAGCATCCGCAAGTGTAGGATATTATCTCTAAGCACATCATTGGTAATGAGTCATCAACCCTCTGACACGTAACTGTCTCTTTCGTCTGCGGGATGGGTGAACCAATCACCAAGACAAATGACCACTGAGGTAAGATATTGATTAGAGGGCACATTGATCCGAAATATTTACTCTTGTCTGTGTACAGTATGACAGCAACCTTTCAGCCAGTCTACTAACCAAATTACTAACCCACAGGGATCCCTATGATATTGACAGCTGAGAGGACATATACAGTAAGGATTCATGTATGGGCTCGAAGGAGACAGAGCATATGTATATCAGAACCGCATTGATAGATCAGCTTTAGTTGCCCTTTCGGCTTTGCCGCCGGGCGTTAATGAATTGTGTGTGTGTGTGTATGACAGCAACCCCGTTTGGAACTCCGCGGAGTTGGGAATATGACGTTCATGTCACAATGTCATGCATCAAGGTACCGGACACGGAGAAATCCCGCGATGATAACTATTATAGACGATTTGAAGGCACACGCTTTGGCGCTTTGACCAGCTATAATTTGCCAAATCTAGAAAATCTTCAAAGATAGTTTCGGAGAGATATCCATAGCTGATGAAAGGGGTTGTCAGTGCAACAGGGTGCTCTGTTGCCCCTGGTTCCTCAGGTACTGACCTTTCGGAGCACATACTTGTTGAAAAAGCAGGAAAGTAGCCTTTCAGCTGCCCCGAGCTGCTTTCGAGTATGCTTTGCGTGGTCCTAGCTAGCTCATTGTCGATATTTTGGTTGTCGCATTTGGCGTGTTCGAATATCATGTTTTTGAGGTACCAAAGTTCGTCTTTCAAACACCCCACTTCAGATAGCAGGGTATCGTACTTTATTTTAACTTTACAGTAACTCCCCACTCAATTTGAGTAAGACCCTCCGAGTGGGGCCTCCAAAATTTGATAGAGCAGCGGCCAGAAACTTTACGCAGTGAATGCAAAATCTTGCACCGACGATGACGGGAATCTGTTGAAGGATGAGGCCAACGAACAGTTTAAATACTTCGTGGTTGCCTATACTCTCCCTCCGTTTTTGGCAGTGGTAGTTTCTGGAGTAACCGATTTAGTATAGCACACCCAGACAATCATCTACAAGAATTATCTAGAGGCCTTAACCATATTTACACTCAGCCGAAATAACGCATTAGGATTACAAAGTCACGTGCAGCTAATATTCACCGCTGGAACCAGGGAACTATCAGAACGGCGCGGCAGTCATGATGACGCAACCTCCGTTTAATTTTCTAATCCAAACCTCATTAACGCTACAGTAACCAATGTGTATTCATTTAGCGGTCTATATACCCCCCCCCGACATTATCATCCATTTTGTGGAGCTATGTCGGCTATCAAACCCCCGGGCGAGCACAAACAGCAGCTAGGAGGGCTGGGTGGCGATATTATGAGATATTGCTCGACAGATGAAGAGACAATTCTTTGTTCTGATAGCATTGAGGTTAGTTTCACATCTGGCTGTCACAAGTTACATGGTAAGCAAGGCCATAACCAGCGTTTACTCTATCTAGACTATTGATATTCTGCTCGAACGACTCCGTGCATGGAAGCACGTATGTGAATATCTCTGCTCTTATGTTTCTGCAACCGCGAAAGCGCAGAAATCTCAGTCGCTAGAATTTGAAACGATTTTGAAGGTTAGTGTATACCCATCAATAAGCAAAGAACGACTGAACTGATTTCCCAGGCTTAGAGCGTGAAATTTCCCCTTAAGTAAGGTCATCATTTTAAATCAAGCACAGACGGGGTTGCTGGACTTTTCGAAAATATATACACTAACACTAATGTGAGATCCCTCGATTGCATCATGCGGTGAAATTTATATGAATTGACAGTTTTCTCTAGGAAATGGTAAAAGTGTATTCTGTGGCTCAAGGAAACTTGAATGACAGCGTACTGCCTATGCTGGAGCGTCTCCTTAAAGAAATAAAATCTGAAGCGAAGCAATTAAAGGCTCACAGATCCAACGGGCCACACCTGATCGAAAAAGCATGGCGCGCAACACAGAAACATATTATTCTCTTGGCTAAGAGCACTAGGTCTTATGATGCTGGCACCAAACATAAGATTGAGCAGTCCCATGATCCCTACCTCCTTCGCCAGGGCGTCGATAGTCGATTACATGAGCAAGCAATGAAAGAAATGAATGATCAACAAGAAAACCAAGAGATTCAAGAATCGTTCCTATGGTTCGAAATGCATATCTTGCAAACAGTGCAGTGTGTTTTAGCGAAATTCTTCCAATTTATGGGTGGCCAGCTCGATCATCTACATGCAATGTACGGTGATATCCTCGGTACTGCACAACTTATCCGCCCGGATCTGGAATGGCTCAAATTTGTGGAGCGGAAAAACGCGTCACCACTGAATCCTGAAGCTCTGGAGAGGTCATCAGTATATACGACGTTTCCAAATAAAGACCACCGAGCAACGAAACCAATTATTGAGGGCAATTTAATATGCCAATCACATGGTATAAATGAGGATGGCTATTATGTGGTTACACGAGCAGGCTACTTATATGGGTTCGGCCGTGAAAATAACCTTAACCAACGACTTGCTCCGAATTTATCCCTATACTTACCGAACTGCTCGATCGGTTCGGTGGATGATGTGGAATTCAATGTTCGAGGCGTGGATCTTTCCAGCAGGAACCCCGTGAACCCGTTTTATACCACATATGAGTTCATCTTTAAAGCTCAAAGTGCTGATGAGGCCGAAAAATGGCATTCTGCCATGGATGAAGCTATTCGGCAGACGACATTATTTTTGTCAGCGCCTAGAGATGCAGAAGTGGCTTGATTAAGAGCAACGCAGCGAATAATTCCGACAGGCTGTTGTTGTATTGGTCGTTGAGAGGGCCGGGTCCCAAACCCAACAACTACATCTTGAATTGAATAAACTAATTCAAGACCTAGCACCGCCGGGATCAGCTATCGAAAGAAAGCAAGTACGGGCATGTCAAACTCAATCATATTCAATCATAATATCAGTTCCACAGTAGTGATCGGGTATACCGTGTTAGTTTCTCCAGAAGCTACAGTACCATCATTGAATGAGGGAGGTTATGGGCAATCTCCACGTATTGAAATTCATCGCTAGATACTTCAGCAAATTCCTATCATCATTTCGCACAAGATTCTGCATTCCCTGCACCGCGTTTTCGGGCTACCTCTCCATAGAATTTCCTTGGCCCAACCCCAAGGGGCCACTCATATTAAGTGGGGGTAAAAGCTAGACCAATACTGTATTAACCGTAGCGGACAAAGTCTTCTCACAATAATGGCATCCATCGTAGTACAGTATGGATGAATGCATGCATGATTCCATTTACGCTGACCCCTCGCGAGTTAGATCCCAGATTAGGTGATGTATAAATATTGTGGCAGCCGTTGAAGAGGTTTTTTTTATGTACCTTACTAAGCAGACGCCAGGAAGTGTTGGGAAATCAAGAAAAGAATCCGCGTTCAGGTCTTGGCATTTACCTTAAATCAGAGAAATGCCTTCTTTAGGGAGGAAGCCTACAGTGGCAACTGTACCATCTACATTCTTGCTTTTGATCATATAGCTTAGTCTCTCATGTTCTCTGATTAATCCCTGTTCTAGGTAAGGAACGAGCCTTATAGGGAGTATCTACTAGCTCTGTTTAATTATTTAACTATTAACTATTTAGTTAGCCTTACTAATTATTATTTCTATTCGAACTAATCTACAGACTTAATTTATCACGGTAAATATCCTCGCCTAAAGACTATTATAAGTTACTAATATATTATATAGATCTAAATTATAGTAATCTATCTTAGAAAGATAGCTACTTTATCTTATCCTCTTCTCCATCCGTAGGACAACCTAGTTATATAGAAGCGCGTAAAAAGAGGATAAAAATCCCTAAAAAGCACGAGGCTCTAAGAAATTATTGGCTGATACCTCTATATCCTAGATACTCTCGAGCGCCTTTTCCGGTGCACACTTACTACCCATTCCATCTCGAGCGATTGAATTTATCGAAGTATACCGATGGTAGCTATACTATTCTAGCAAGTGCGGTGGTCTTTCACCGAAAGTGGCCACGACGAGTGTCTACGCTCGACTTATATACATAAATATATAATGTATGCACTTAATGTAACCAATTTACTTGGCTTCGTAGGCCAATAAATATCATGGAGAGCTTATAAGCGGTCTTAGGTGATAAAGTATCGACACTTAGGCGTGTGTATAGTCCAGAAACAACCATCTGTAGTATAGTTTAGAGTATAGTCCCTCCTTCAGGGAAAGAGTAGGAGTATCGACCCGAAGTCTCGTGATGCCACTCTATACTAGATTATCTTAGTGGTTATATCCCTTACGACTACTAGTCTGGCGGGAGGAGCGAGAATAAGCTAGGCGTCGGATCAAGCGCTACGTTAAGCTAAAACCTAAGGCGTAATAGTCGGTAGGGGATAGAATGGAAGAAAGAGGCCGGCGAAGAGTGCAAAATAGAGGAGTTAAAGGGAGAGAGATTGAGGGGGGAAAAGTCAAGAGGGCAGGCGTTATCCTTTATGTCGAAAGGAGAGGTTACATGATAGTGTATTAGGGCACTAAGTCGGGAACAGCAAAACTAACCGGATATAGTAATAGATACGTCCCAGTGTTATAATACAAAACATTATCATTAATCATTAAAAAACCCCCGCAACATCCTCAAGCCGGACGCTTCAAGCTAGGCGGCAGACCCGTGATCAACCGTTGTCCTTCCTCCCTCACACTACGCGCTTCGTCACCTTTTCCATGTCGCTCGAGGGTCTCCGCAAGCATCTCATCGGTGACACTGGCCCAAAGACGATCGTTGGCTCGTTTAGCCATGGCGCGGCCGGCTCGGACACTCTTCTCGGCTTGCTCGCCGACAACGCCGCGGAAGTACTTCCAGCTCATGAAAGTGAGGGTCATGCAGGTGATTTGGGAATTGCTGATGGTAGTCGCAGACTGCAGGGCGTGCTGGAGGAATTGCTTGGTCTGGATGGTTGACTCTGTCTGTACGGTGGCACAGACGAGATAATAGGCGGCTTGGATGTACTTGTTTGGTCCGTTCTGGCAGAAGGGTTCGAGGGTTGCTTGGATGATGGGGAGGTGGGAATGGGATGGGTGAGAGGGGTCGCGAATGATGAGGATGGTGTTGAGTGCTGCGAGAATGCAGGTGTCCCGGCATGGGTCGTTGCGTGCTGTTTTGCTCGCTGATGGTGAGAGCAGGAGCAAGGGCGATTGGAAGATGCTCAATGCCCGGGTTAGATCACCAGTGGCCTGGGCGATAGTACCGGCGGAATATTCCATCAAGCATTCAATAGACATAGGCAGGTTGGGACCGCACTCTTGGGTGAACTGCCGGAGCTCTTTCAGAGACTGGGTAGCCAGATCCCAGTCGGTGCGGGCACAGGCTAGGAAGACCCGCTGTAGAAGGAAATTGCAGCAAAGGGACCGGCGCCATTCGACACGTCTCGTGGCGTTCACCATTGACTCGGAAATTTCTTGTGGGGCTGTGAAGCCTCCTAGGATGTTATGTTAGAGATTGCTTCGCTTGAAAGTTCGGGATCGTGACTTACCTTGAATCATTCGAAGCCCTTCATCGAGGAATTGCTCCGCCTTCCGACCATCATAAGAGTTCTTGGCACTGAGAGTGATTGAGCTCAAGAAATATGAGAGTGCATACAGGTCATGCTGTGGAAGCCAATTGAAGCTAAGAAGTACCGTGCCATTCTGCACCTGAAGAATATCCCCAGTGTCGATAGAAGACGGGCCGGCAGACTTTCCATTCAGAGGGATGGAGAACGATCCATCGGCATGCCAGTTCGGGTCATGAAGGGTTTCGTCTGCCAATGTTTGCAAGACCTTGAGTTTCTGAGAAGCCTGGGGCACGTCGTATTCCAACAGACTGCAACAGATATCAACCATCTGGGTAAGGGTGGCGAGCTGTGGAATATGCCGAAGCTCATCATTCAGTTGATGGCTTCGCGCAACGGCTACCGCACGCTGTGCTTGCTCAATGGCATCGGAACCTGTACCTTGCTGCAAGTGCGCCAAGGCTTCGATGACGGCAGCCATTGCTGCGACAGCTTTGTCTCCATTGCGACTTGCCATGGCTGAGATTTTGGTCAAATGTTGGAGAGCTTGCACAGAGTCTTGATGTGATGAAGAAGATAGTGATAAGGTTACGCGAAGGAATCGAAAGGTGTACTCCCAAGCCGCATGGCGATATCTGTAAAGGAATTAGGAGCCAGATAATTTATTGAGGAGGGAGATATCACATACGCTTCCACGTCCTGGATCATGCCGTCGACCGCCTTCAGGGAAGCCTTGGGATTGGTCTTATGGAGCATGCGCGCCAAGAGATGCTGCATGCTGTATTTCAAGTCTAGCATTCGGTTCTAAGAAAAGTCAGTCTCTGGGGAATTCTGCCATAGAGGACCAAAACCCACTCGTTCGCAAAGATCAATCTGTTAACGGTCAGCTAACTGGTCTAATGAAGGGGAAATTCAGACCACATACGCCTTTACTCAATGCCGTTTCAGCCTCGAGGTCATTGTCAGTTTCCTCGAACAATGTCCGAGCATAACGAAGCCGCACAAGGGCTTCCTTCCGAGGTTGTAGCCGCCAATTCTGGAACTTCAAGTCAGTAAAGATTTATATCTAATCAACTAAACACGACTAACCTTCAGAACTGCCTCCAAACACCCAAGCCCCGTTGAGACTAGCTTGTAGTACTCCTCAACATCGGCCTGGCTGGTGACAAGAGCCGTCTTAGTTCCATGACGATGCGCAGCGTTCAAGTATTCATCCGCCAATGAAAGTAGCAAGACCTGGTAGTCAACTGGGGGTTTCGACGGTTTCATGACTTTATCAGCGATCTGCTGAGTTGGCTGTTTCTTAGGCGGCAGTTTTTTCGGTGTTTGTTTCGGACTGCTGGAGCGAAAGTCTTGAGAAGGCGCCGGTATCATCACTTGCGGGATGGCATGCTTCGTAGGCGAGGGAGTTGGCTGGGGTTGTATTGGCGTTGCTGCCGCAGGTTTTGGTGCGACCGCAGCTTGCTTCGGCTCTTTCTTTGGTGCCACTGCAGGTTGCTTCACTTCCTTTTTCGATGCAGACTTAGGCTTTGCAGACTCCGGCTTCGCAGCTGGCTTCACGGCTGGCTTGACGACGGGCTTCAGCGGAGGCAGAGGCTTAATCTGTACATCTGACTGCCTTTCTTCCAACTGCATGGGAACATCTTCCGTCTTTGGTTCCAGACTAGCCGGTGGAGGTTTTTGGTCCGAGAACTCAGTCACTTGGGGGGCTTTGGGTTCGGCTGGTGGAGGAGTTGATGAAGTAATAGATGGCATCGGAGGTAATTCAAGCGAGGTTGACAAGTCACTTGGGTCGACAAATTGCGACAGGGAACCATACCGTGACCGAGGGGCGGTAGGAAGTGGCGGTTGGACAAAGAGCTCGGCTGGGTTGATGAACTGATGCTGTGGCTCTTCTGGTGGTAGTGATGGAGGAGGCGCCGGCGGCAGAGGTGGTGGCCGAGGTTGAGGTGGAATGGTCCGAGGTTTGGAGATGGGGGATTGTTGTGCTTGGTATTGCGGCTGTTGGAGCGGCGGTTGCTGAGGTTGGAGCTGCGGTTGCTGGTGTTGCGGCTGTGGCTGCTGCTGTCGCGGCTGTGGCTGCTGGTGTTGCGGTTGCTGATGCTGCAGCGGTGGATTTTGGAGCTGTTGATGCTGCGCCTGCTGATGCTGTGGTTGCTGGTGATGATGTTGAGGATGCGGCTGCGGCTGCTGGTATTGCGACTGCTGATGTTGCTGCTGATGTTGCTGCTGATGTTGCTGCTGATGTTGCTGCTGATGTTGCTGCTGATGTTGCTGCTGATGTTGCTGCTGATGTTGCTGCTGATGTTGCTGCTGATGTTGTGACACTGGCTGCGGCTTCAGTTGCGGTCGAGGAGATGGCTGCAGCACCTGAGGTCGAGGCGACAGCTGTTGCGACGGAACAAGTGGTGACTGCTGTTGCAGCTGGACAAGAGGAGACTGCTGTTGGAATTGAGGACGGGGGGAAGGTTGTTGTTGAAACTGCGGCCGTGGAGACTGCTGCTGAACACGTGGTTGTGGAGAGTGCTGTTGAAACTGTGGGCGTGGGGATTGCTGTTGCTGTTGCTGCAGCTGGGGTCTCGGGGATTGTTGCGGCTGTATCTGAACTCGGGGAGACTGTTGCTGCATCTGTAGACGGGGAGAGGGCTGTTGGGGTTGATGAAGGGGTGACTGATGCGGCTGGACTATGGGGGATTGTCGGGGTTGAGAGATAGGAGGTTGTTGCAATTGCGACACGGGAATCTGCTGCGCTTGAGAGAAGGCCGGATGCTGAGGTTGCGCGAGGTGTTGGGGGTGGATGAGGGCCGCCGGCTGGAGGGTTGGTGGTTGTTGTTGTTGTTGGTGGTGGTGGTGCTGCTGATGTTGCGCTTGCGGAGACATCGGCTGTGCATATTGATGGCCATATTGATTCCAGACTTGTTGTGGCTGCTGCATCATCCCCGGTGGATAGCCTGCCGGTTTACTGTAGCCGTAGGGCGACTGCGAAGGGGGCGCGACATGATTGTATGGGAACTGCGGCGGGGCGACGTGGCCAGGCTGGTATTGCGGTGGAGGGATATATTGCGGATATTGACCGGAATTGGGCGGTGGGAAGCTCATCGCCCCGACATGTATTTTGAATGAGAGAAGCTCGCTATAATCTCCGATCGACACGACGTTGGCCTACAGTTCACCGTCTTCCCGGGGCGGAGAAACTCGCGGCGGTCAGCTGATGCGACGATAACGCGATAACGTGGGGGAGATTGAGAGTACTTGGTAGATATCAGAGAGAAGGTATAAAGATTGTAAGTTTTTTTAATTACTTGAGTAAAGACCAGTATATGAAAAAGAACGTACTTTTTGCCAGTGGTTCATCTTTTTTGAAAGACCTGTACATGCTGCATCGTATGCCATGCTTGATTGATAAAGAGCCGCTAGTATATTTTAGGTCCCCTTTGATGCATACTTTGTACTATTCGATAGATCACAGCTTGATCCAGCTTCCAGGATAAAACCAAATTATTAAAAATAAATAAATAAATATCGAGTGCCTTGAGCATGATACAAGAGATCAAATCTCCAGACTGCATTGAAATTTGGTTGAATTTATTCCTCAATTGTCGTTCTCCAATGTATGTGAAATTCCCGATATAGAATGATTTAGAATTATAAGAAGCATCGATTTTAAGCAGAAAGTCTGTAGTATTCCTTCCCCATTGACTCGGTCTAGTAAATGAAGACCAAATAACCTCCATTAAACACAGTACAAAATCATTTGTTCTACCCCATAACTCCCTATCCAATGCAATAGAAACAAACCCAATCCCTCTTAAACTCCAATGCGCTATAATGTATCCGGAATGTTCCCCAACGCCAGACTAAAAACCCACTCAAACAATAGGAACCCCAACCAACTCCTTTACAACATGCGAATCGACGAGTAGAGTGAACTCAAAGGCTGCGGGTTCATCGCCGGCTCAATAACCTCCTCCCCAATACTGGGCGAGAATGTCAAAGGAGGATGTTCTCGCACCGTCCAGGGGCACAGCTCGTTGCAGTTCTCCACGCCGATCGATGGTTCTGCGGGATGAATGCGTTGCGCACCCCACGCAGCATCGGGGATGGCATTTGAGCCGCCAAGGTTGCGCTGCGTCCAGAAGTTAAATGTATCTTTACCGGACTCTTCAGAATGGAACGGCTGTTTTCGTGGACACTTCAAGGTAGTGTTGCAGGCACCGCAGACTGAGATGCGACGGCACGAGGTACAAAATGAGTCGAAGAGGCGGCAGATAGTGGTTTGGTAGACGCTCGAAAGCCAGAGATCGACTGATCGGTGTGCGCATCCAAAGCGCGGTGTCATATACTCTTCTTTACCGACTTGGCCCGCTTCGGTCGTGAGTTGGTACTCGGTGCGCATAATCAACTGATCTTCCTCGTCGAGTTCCGGGAAGAGAGATACTTTCAGCTCGGTGGGTCCGTACTGCTCTGTACATGAATGCCAGCAATATCGGTCTCCAACTTTATCACCAAACTGTGTCTTGAGGGCGTTCACAGAGATCTTTCGAACTCGCAGGTGGTCCATTAGATCCAGTTTATCACGGAAGGTGATCTTCTTGCAGGGACACAAGTCGACGATCCCTGCTAGTTCGCCCACATTGCACGATCGATGATCCGACTTGCGTCTTAGTTCGCGCGTGGAAAATGCCGTCCGCGGATGTAATTTCAAGCACTTGGAGCAGACGCGCCACTTTGAATTCTCCAAAAGGTTGATAAACTGCCATCGCGGCGTAACAAAGTTGTGACCATTCCGATAATGGTGGAAAAGCGGCGCAAAGTCTCGACCGAACCGGAGGGATTGTGATTTGAGGATTTCGCCGGAAATTGCCAGCATGCGCTTACAGGTCAGCGCAAAGGCCGCCTCCGGCACGAGCGTCAAGTGCGAGACTATCTCTAGTAATAACTCCGTGGGGAGTTCCATGAGATAGCAGCGGCCCGACTCGTCCTTTTGCTGCTTGCGCGAACGGGTGGGCGACCAGGACTTCATTCTCATGACGCTCCGAAACACTTTTTCTGTTGCTCGGTGGATGCGCTCGGGCATGTTGGCGGAGGGGGACTCTTTTAAAGCCATGGGGAAGAGGGGCAGCTTCTGTTCTTTGTCTCGGAAACAGAGTGCTTTCAACGTTCTTTTATGACCAGTCCGCATGAGTAGTGATGGGTGATTTTCTTCGTTTTTTAATAGGATTATAGAGTTGTTTATAATGATAGATGATGCGTTGGTGGCTTGTGCTGAAAGATCATATCGTCATGTCGTTGATAGAGGGGCGCTATGGGGATCGTGTGACGGAAAAGAAAGCCGCAATGATAGAAAAGAAAAAGAAGATAAATAGAGGCTGAGGGATCTGTTGACCTTCAAGTAGGGCATGGACCAAAGATAAAGTTGCACGAAAACGGACCATGGGATGGGGTCACGGCAGGGCTGGGCAATGTTATCAGCATTACATGGCTTGAGGGCTATACTTCTGACTTCGTAAAGATTAGGGATTATCTCCATATACGGACGGATACAAATAGAGGCTTCCCCCCCCCAACTGGATTATTAGCCCCTTATTCAGTCCAAATGCAGTGATATAAAGCCACCAAAATATTTTTTCCAATATCGGATAGTCAAGCGTAGATAATCTACATTGTCTACGAACGTGGAATACCGGATGCTATCCAGGGCAGTTCCGCATGCGGCAATCAGATTGCCGCATCAAGCATCATCGCATCATCACTCGGAACTCCTCCCAAAACAGATCCCCCTCCTTTAGCCTAGCCTGTTTAGCCTAGTCAGCCCGGTACTTGCAGGATATTCTCGTGCTCTTTATACGATGACCCTGTCAACTGACTTTTGGTCGTTTCTGCCTCGGAATTAGTCCCATGACCCTCCTTTACAGGTTCGTGGCCTGAGGCATTATGGCTGACTAATAGGGGCAGGGGCCTTGCCCGGCTGAGTCAGCGGGATGATGTTCATCACGTGGAGATAAGACGGAGATCGGGGCTTAGTCACACCGATCCGATCGGGAAGTACCGAGGTTGGTATCAAGGCTTTTTTTCATTGTTGAAGACTTGGCCTGATTAGATGTTGCCTCCCTGGACGCCTTTCTTTTCTTTTCAATCTCGTTAATTCTCTCAGCGTGTTTGAATTTCTTGCATAATAGACAAATTTCTCTATGTCGGATTTTGCATCAGCGCTGCTCAACTCGTTTCCCCTATCGCTCCTCTTATCGGGTCTCGTCGCAATGGGCCTACTCTCATGGGTACGCCCCAGCGGGCGAATCTCCTTCTTCCACGCCAAGGACAATAAGCTCGTCTTGACTAAAAAGTCTATTCTGTCGGGTGCAAAGGAGCAGACGACCTTGGTCGATATCTGTCGTGATGCGACACCTGAAGCCTGCCATCTGAACCCGCTTTTGTTCAACGGCCATCTACAGACGATGTACACGGTCTTGAAACATGATAATGTTCCCGTGTACTATAAGCGAAAGATGTTTGAAGCCGATAGCTCCATGTTCTCCGGGACATATGCGATTGATTTCGTTGTCCGACCCTATGAGATGCCTCCCGAGGGCGAGTTGACGGATCAAGCGAGAAAGTATACTCAGCCATCTGGTCTGCCTCCACGTACGTCCTTTTACTCGGAGGATGAATTTGCGGGCATTGCTTCGGACGATACAAAGCCTATGCTGGTCGTTTTGCATGGCTTGAGTGGAGGTTCGCACGAGGTGTATTTGCGTCACGTTCTTTCACCGCTCATTGCAGATGGTGCTTGGGAGGCCTGCGTGGTCAACTCGCGGGGTTGCTCGCAGACGAAAATCAGCACGGGGGTATTGTATAATGCGCGCGCAACCTGGGATGTGCGCCAGTCAGTAAAGTGGCTTAGGAAGACTTTCCCTAATCGTCCTCTGTTCGGCATTGGATTCTCCCTGGGTGCTAATATTCTGGCTAATGTATGTCTGATTGACCCTTTTATCTTCAAAGTGGATTTACATACTAATGGCTATTGCAGTACCTGGGTGAAGAAGGCGATCACTGCCAATTGAAGGCTGCAGTGCTTTGCGCTAGTCCCTGGAACTTAGATGTCAGCTCTGTCCACTTGCAGAGCTCTTGGCTCGGCAAAGAGGTGTACAGCAAGACAATGGGCTCCAGCATGAAGAGACTTTTCGAAGCGTAAGTCTTGTTTCGGTGTGATCATGGGAAGAAAAGTACTGATGAAATGATAGCCACGCCGAAGAAGTGATCAAGAACCCTCGCATTGATGCCGAGGCTATCAGAAGCATTACCTACCTACATGAGTTTGATCGGTATGCAATCCTGCTGTCCTGAGTATGTTTATCGCGTTCATTCTAACTTGACCTGAATAGGGCTTTGCAATGTCCTACATGGGGCTACCCGACTGAGGGTGCCTACTACCGTGATGCTGCCTCTACGGATGCAATGCTTTCCATCCGCATTCCGTTCTTTACCGTGCAGGCCGAGGATGATCCCGTATGTCACCACTCCTCGAGTCTACGACCAAGTCACTAATATAGATTCAGATTGCTTCTCGCGACGCATTGCCATTCCACGAAATGACCCAGACCCCCTACGGTGTCATGTTGACCACCTCGTGGGGCGGCCACCTCGGCTGGTTCGAACTTGGTGGTGACCGTTGGTTTGTCAAGCCGGTAAGTGAAAAAGAAGATAACCGCAATCCGGAACTCATGCTAATTGTCTATAAGGTTACGAACTTCCTCAACAAAATGGCCCAGGAAATTGATACGTCGATTCCCGGTGTCGTTGAGCACCCGGAGAAGCTCCCAGGGCATATTGCCAGCCACCCTGGCCCTAACAAAGACGCTGACTTGGCGCCAAAGCCCGAGTTCCTCCCTGTGAACCGCAAGCTCGACATGAAGCTGCCCAAATAAGTTCGGCTCGCTCCTTCAATATTCAAAACTTTCTATGCCTTTCACTTTTTCGGCTTTTGGGTCCTGCGCGGATATTCGTCGTTGTCCTTTTTTTCATATACCAATATACATAGAGTAATTTTCATTAGAATCGGTTCAGTGGAATAGGCGTTCTTTGGCGAGCAGCTTACGTACTTCATGCTTGTTAACAAGAAAAACACATTACCAGAGTCCTTGAATGACTAGACCAGGAACCTCCGCCTAATATCACCTCGCTCACTCTCTTCACGGCTTCAACGTCAAATCATGATCATGAGCACCCTGCAAATAATCATAATCCTCCCCAACCCACTTCACAAAAGGAACCGTCCTCCCAAAATCAATCTTCCCCTCCAAAGCCCTCGGCAAAACCAACCTCTGATCACTCCGATACCAACTCGGAAACTGAATAGAAACCAACATCACCCTCGGCTCATCCGTCTTATTCGGCATACCAGCATGCCAAAGCCTAAGATCCCGAATAATCAACGATCCCTTAGGTAAACCCGGCTGAATAGGCGGACTAATCTTTCTTCGCTGTTCTAATAGCTCAGCCTTGATCTGCAGGTCATCCGCCTCTCGATCGAATACAGTCTCGTCCGTGTCCGTGTGACTACCCAGCCAGAACTCCGTTGCCCCGTTCTCCGGCGACGTGGAGACTAGATTGATATTGATACAGTAACCGAACGGTATGCGGGGCATCGCAAAGTCAACGTCTATATGCGGTGGTTGTCGACCATTCGCTTTGAATGCGGTATTGGCGCTGTAGAAGCGTAGTTGCGGGTTTGGTCCGATCATGTGCTCGATTATACAGGTCGCCCATGGATTGGCGAGGATGTCTTCGAAGATGTAGTCCCCCTCGACGACGGGTTCTTGTTGGATGTTCCCCGTTGCTTGGCCAAAGTTGCGGTGAGTTGTTTCGTTGTAGTAGAGCTTTTGGGCTTCGGGGATCATGCGCGCGTTTAGTTTGTCGAGGTGCGTGGTGTTCACGGCGTTTTCGAGGGCAAGGATTCCGTCTTTGTGGAGGGCTTCTAAGGATGCTTGGAGGGTATGGGAGCTTATTTTTTGAGTTGATAGCTCCTCGGGGGTGAGTTTGATTATTTTGAGAGTTTGTTGGGTCATTTTATTAGTCGATATTGGCGTGTTGTCTTTCGAGTGGGTAGTGGATATCGATCTGGAGATGTTGGTTCGAAGTTTGATATGTTCCTTCTAGCACGTCTCGCTGCTTCTAGGAGGTGCATGAGACTATTTAACAGTTGTAAATATCTTTTCGATCTCGAATAGGCATGAATAGATGTTATCGATGCGATTCAAAGTGGAGATGGCTTCACCTCAATTATGCCCCGCGTTCGCCGGTGAATTTACCGGTTTTGACCGGTCAGAACAGGGTAACCCTAGCATGGTGTAGTATTGAGGACATAATCAGGTCTGATTATGGAGCTTTTACTGTACTTCATTGGTCAAGAAGCTCTAATCTAATTTGGGTTGGACCTTCCCTGGGAATATCTACTAATAAAGGGGGGGTGTTGGCCTATCAGATCGAGTAAGTTATGAAAACTGGCATGGGAGGTGTTGGTAAAATTGAAGTCATTATAGAAGCTGTAAAATCCCGGACGCATCATCAAGCTTAAGTCTTTGCAAAGACAGAATATTTGATCAGAAGTTAGATGTGATTTATCAAGCTTTGGGAGACAGTTCCCATTACAGGTCAACGCTATTCACAATGGTTCGAATCCGAGGTAACAATGAAACCCACACAAACGCCAGACCCCCGTCTAAATACATGGTAATGGTATAGACAATAGCCGCTTTTTCTTTTGGTCGCTTAAGCAAATGAAACGCTCTTGCGCTTTCCCTTGGCCGATTTTGAGGAAGCCGAGGAGCTCTCTGCACCCTTGTCGTTGCCACCCTTGTTCTTCTTCTTGTTCCGAATAGAATCCTTCACGGCATCCAACTTGGACTTCTTCTCCTTCATGCGTGCCTCGGCCTCGGCCTTCTTGGCCTCTCGGATCTCCTCGAGTTGGCGAGCCTTCATCATCTTGGACTCAATCTGTCCCTCCTTTTCGGCGTTGACCATGGCGAGAATTGTCATCATACCCTCCTATTGCAACGAAATAAATCTGTTAGCAAAACACTCCATGCTATAGAGGAGACCATAGAGGGAAGTTGGACAAACCTGGTCGTCAACGAAAACCTTGCCCTTCTTCTTTCCCTTGGGCTTAACAACTCCAACGGGCGTGATCTGATTCAGCTTGGGCAGGTCAAGCTCTGCCTCGGTATAGACTCTCTTCTTCTTGCGCTTCAAGTTCTCGGGGGCGGTGCGCGCCTTGGACTTGACTTCAACTGGCGGGGGACGCTTGACGTTCTTCTTGCTGCTGGGCTTGCTCACGCGGGAGGAAGAGGACAGAGTTGAAGGCTTAGTGCCCTTGGAGCCCTTGGAGGCACCTCCGGAGGAGGCACCCTTGGATGACCCTCTGGTGGGCGCCATTTGGTGTATGCGAAAGTTGGAGGATTTGGCGAAACTTAGGTCGGATCGAGCGTAGAGGATAAAATTTTCACGGCGAGTGAAGAATCGTCGAGCGGCAACCGGTTAATCAAGACTGTCAGTCTCAATTCCAAACTTCGTAGTGTCAATCCGAATAATTAAAGAGAAACAAGCGCATGCGACTCGGCGCCGCCATCAAAATTGCAAAAGAAATTTTGGATCAGGAAGGCGGTGAACAACGCCGATTCCACCCACCCAACCTCAGTGAAACCTCCACCACCACGAAGCTCGCCAGCGTCCAATTCTCTCCCCGCACCCTCCCTCCAAGAGATTGAATTGCACTGGACTGAGTGGACGCAATCTCATTCGACAATATGACCATCAACCCTACCTACCTCGCGCAACGGACGCGTTCCTGTACGTTCCCAGCCCTCCGTCTATCACACCCCGAGGTGTTCCGATCGCCCGCTAGGCGAGCCCTGCAATTGAGACCATTGTGAGCTGTACAAGGGAGCTAACAGAGTATGTTTCTGCTCTATAGCCGTCAACCTTACCGATGCCAAGAACCGTGTGCTCAAGTCCTACCGAGAGTGGCTCCGCGCGGTCAGTTTACCCTGCGATCACCCAGATACGCCTATGCCCTTGCTCCAGCGCAGCGCAGCTCTTGTCCTCTTAGACTTTCCTGAAGATGGATACTGGAGAGCAATTGCTGCCGAGAGAACATCAGACTATGACTCGAATTGAACACCAGGCTAACCCGTGACAACATGTACAGTCCCCGGAGATCCAAACCATGTACTCCTTGAACATGCCCGTTTCCGCCATCCGCACAAAGATCCGCCAGGAGTTCGAGAAGCACCGCTACGTCAGCCAACTCAGCGTCATTGACGTCCTGCTGTTCCAGAGCCACTCCGAGTTCCAGGAGACCCTCAACTACTGGAAGCAGCTGTCCCACGTCATGAAGTACTTCCGGCCCGAGGAGGACCCCGGTGCGCGCCTGCCCCGTAACTTCGTCTCTGGCTTCCTGGAGGGCCGCAACTGAAAAGCCCGTTTTCGATACCTCATCCACCACATCTTTCGTCTCTTTTTTCTTTTTCCTATATCGCAAGTCCGTGGGATGACAGTCGGAGGGACTGCGTCATCGACCCCGGCATGATGTGTAAATATTGTCTTACTAGGTCGCCAAATCATCTTGATTCTATATCAGCTCGTGCAGAACCAGTAGCTCTCTCCCCCGCTTCATAGGACTTGGTCTATTTGGTGTTCATACACACTTGACCCACCTTTGCTTAGCCTCACGGATAGCGTGAGCCAATCAAGCCACGGAGAAACATAAGCATGCATATCGTCTCTGTACTCATTATATCTACGAATGTTAATCTCAATAGATATCTTCTTTGGAGAAGTATTATATTATTAATTAGGTCATTGTTGTAACATGTCTCCGGCATAACTATATCCGGCTCTTCTCATGCACCCTACTCGAGCGAGAGTCGATGCTCTGGCGAGTATGATCGATCAGTCCAACCGGAGAGAGCCTCAAAGTGCGTATCTCGCTTGTAGCTCTTCTCGTCAAGAACCTCTCTCAATCCGTGATTGAAATTGAACACGCAGATAACAGCGCATATCAGGGTGAATGCCATGAGGATCAACGCCGCGAATGCAAATAACAGCATCATATCCTTGTCTGCTGTATTCGCGCGGCGCCCATCGTCGTACAGTACAACGATTCGACTGATTAGATATGCAATAATAGCAGCGTGGCATATCTTTGAGGATGTTAGTACGGAAAATCATTGTCGTCGTAGAGAATGCTATTGACTTACAATCACCGGTATCATTGCGATCTTCCACTCCTTGCGAACGAACCAGACAGCTAATACCATCATGAGGAAAGATGCAGGCAGAAGAGCCAATGTGAGGGCAAACTCTGGCCCCTCAAAGTGAACGTCGATTAAATCATATTGGATCACGAAAACTGTGATGAAGTAGAAGTCGAGCTTGATCAGAACAAGATAGATCTGTTCAGCTGTTAGTAGGTATGCAAGGATGACACGGGGAGGGAGTCATACCTCGTAGGCTAAAAAGCGAGTCTTAATGCTCAGATCACCGTGAATACTCCGGTAAATGGCCCAAGCATACTCTTTATGCAGCCGATAGGCACATGGCCAAATGATAAAAGAGCATATCCCAAAGACAATCGGACAAGCGATCTGAGCTGGGCCAACTCGCTTCCAAAAGTCGACATCGATATCTACCAAGGGCTGCCGTTCAGCATCACGTTCATTGGGTAGTCTTCGGGAAATCTCTATCATGGCGGTTGGCTGCATCGCAGAGAATGCGAGAATGCAGACATTGCTGACGCAGACAGCGAATAGTAGTAGGTTATTCTTGTGATGTACTGCGTCAATGGCTAGAATAAGCTCGTACACGCAAGTGAAGACGAAGATGGCCAGATTGATTGGCACGACGTATGATATAGTCACTTGGGTTATATTGGAATGAACCCACATCTGCCATTCGGAGATGATAAATCTAGACATACGAGTTAGTATAAGCGAGACCTGGCACCTTTGTGAATCACCTTGTCGTTCTAGATGCTTGACTTACAATTCTAGCGCCAGGATGATAATGGCTTGGGCGAGCAATGCCCCACAGAACAGCCACTCATGCCTTGATGTTGGTCTGTACATAGTGTCTTTTGTTCTGGGGAAGTAAGATAGTCCTCAGAGTAGTGAGACAATTGTCATAAGTCTAGAAGATAAATCATGAGATATCTTCTAGATTTTTGAAATCATTACTCTTGACATGGAGAACGATGATAAATTGTAAAAAGCATAAGGAGGTAAAAACTCTTTTTTCGGGCAGTTCCTGGAGAGAATTGCCGTACTGGAGCTACGATGTGAGACCCTTGTGGGGCAAATACTCCATAGTTGGCTGGTAAAGCGTGGTTATTTAAAAAGACTGACGACCCTCTCACGGAGCCCCCGAAACTACGCCGAGAAGAGGGTGTTCATACCCGAAAGGGGAAATAGGCCGATCGGGTTGACCCCGATCAGAATCTGAAGAACTCCTCTCCGCCATATTTATCCGTTTTACAGACCGAGGAAGCTTAACAATTGAAATGTTACATTTCGATTACAATGAGTTCATTATGCTGGTTTTCCTGTGACGGCCACAATCTTTTCAGCGGCAAGCTCAAAGTCTGGCTCCACGATCAAATTACTCAACCCCGATGTTTCAATCTATAGTGACCATTAGCGTGCTATCTCAATGGGTCGATACATATCCTTACCATTTTCAGACCTTTATCGCAATTGGTACCCTGGAGGCGAACTACTACAGGAACTTTAAATCCTCCGGTTGAAGTAGCAGCAGCGATGATAGACTCGGCGATCATGTCGCATCGAACAATTCCTAGGCTTCAGGTTAGCAAAGACATCTTCTCTCTTCTATGCAGCACATACCACCATAAATGTTGACCAGGATTCCCTTGATTCGTGAGTCCCGGTTCAAAATCTCAAACGCCTTTGACACGGTCTCCTTGGTTGCTCCTCCACCGACGTCGAGGAAATTCGCGCATTTGCCACCGAACAAGCTAACAAGATCGTTGGTTGCCATTGCTAAGCCGGCTCCATTCACTATGTTTCCAATGACACCATCAAGACGGACGTAGGAAAGGCCCGCCTGAGACGCCTCGTATTCATCTTCCTCATCAGGCAGACGTTCTTCGAGACTAAAGATCTCCGGTTGTCGGAAACGAGCCGAGTTATCGAACGTGAACTTTGCATCGAGACAGACAAAATGCCCCTCTGGCGTGCGCACAAGAGGGTTCAGCTCGAGAAGTGTAGCATCCTTCTCTTTGAATAGTTTCACCATTTGGTGAAGGATGTGGCTTATCACGCCCATTTCTGCATCCGAGAAGCCGAGCTGTGCTTGGACATATGCAGTGATCTCGGATGTGATGCCGTGCGTCATGTCAAACCAGTAATGCTCTAGTTTATCGGCGTTGGATTCGATGTCGACTCCTCCGACGTTGGAGATCAGGAGGACTGGCATGGACCGGTCGCGGTCGAATGTAAGTGCGACATAGTATTCCTGCGCAACGTCCACGGCTTTGTAGATGTATAGCTTTTTGACGAGAAGACCACCAGGTGGGGTTTGCTTTGTTGTAAGGTAGTAACCAATCATCCTCGAGGCATTCTCAAATGCCTCGATTGGTCTTCAAAAGAAGGGTTGTTAGCTTTGTCTTGATTAGTTCTTCTTAGACTTACGAGTTCATGATGCGAACTCCTCCTTTGCCATCGCTTTCGTATTTTCCCTTGCCACGCCCACCGGCAAGGATCTGTGCCTTTACAACCGATGGGGCATCTGCAGAAAAAAAAAGTCAGAGAGATGGAACACACAGCCTCTTATCTGTGAGATATCGTTCGGATAAATTCTAGGGTAGCTCACTGATTTTCGAGACCACTTCTCTTGCTTCTTCTGGACTGCCGACGACATATCCATTAGGTACCGGAATGTCGAACTAGTAGCTATGAGTCCAAGAAGACAACCTTGACCGGCTAGATTGGACCATACATCTTTGAGTAATTTGTGCGAGTGGTACTCAAGGAGACTCAGGCCTCGCACTTGAATCCTGAACAAACCATGCTTCTACATGTCTATCAGCATCTGAAATCTCCCTATCGTCGTCCAGCGGCAACAAGCACCAACCTGCTGAACTAATCGTGGAATCGTGCGTCGGCAAAGCATCAGGGATATTCAGGATGAATAAATGTATAGATTTTGTAACGCAGGTTCGACGTCGCCATTGAAATCCGCAAATTTGCGGGGTAAGTCATTGTAATAGGAAAGGCTTTCCTAGTTTGCGATGACATCAACACTACGCGTGTGTGGCCCGCGCCGAATTCGTGCTAGGGTTTTGACATTTGAAGTTTATTACCTCGAAACGTGGGGAAATAGAGTTCGGATGGTGATCGGTTTCAACCAGTTGATTTGCTGTCGAGCTGCCTAAAGCTCTTGGGTTCGCCAAATTCGTCAATAGACGTGGCAAATACCCTTCCAGAGTAATATTGGGTTTTTGCATAATTTCTGGAGCCTAATGGGGAGAGGCTAATGGTTTGCTTTTAACATTATGAATCGATAGTCTGTGAAAAAGCAATTTTCATCTATCTTTAGAACATGAGTTCACCGATTTTGTTCCCATAGTCGATAGTTGATGGAAAAGGCAAATTCTCAGGTCCATCAGAGAATGAGTTCACTGACTCTTTCCGGGAGCATCCGATCATCATGCCAGCAAACTGTAAGTACGGAGTGATCCGTACTATATAAGCTTCTCCGATGTTAGGCGATCATTTTCGGTCGCGGCAAATAGGGCTGCTAGTTTCCTGACCCTGCATACCGTTCATTCGTCATATCATAAGGAGCTATCATCCCACTATTGGCCCCTTGCAGATGATCGCCGCTAAAAGTATAATGTGATAGGGGTCCTAGCGATCTGCCAGTTGTACGAGAATGCAAGAACACGAAGCCCACACTAATATTAATAAAAGATGAGATCCTCTTAACTTTAGACGATTAGCAGCGGGATCGACCGCGCTTTTTTGCTCGCTCGACACCTTTCAACGACAATGAAGTCGGAAGAGTCAGCACCCGACGCCTGCGATCGAGCGAGGCGTTCCTCAGACACTGCTCCTTGTGCCTCAGTGCAAGAAGATGCGAGCAATGCAAGTTCTACGGAAACTGTGCAGTCATTGTACTGCGTCTTGTCCGAGAAGGAGAAGATTTTCACAATATGTGTCTGTTCACTGGTGACTTTCTTGGGCCCGGTAGCTGGCACCATGTACCTTCCCGCCCTCGACTCGCTGGCGAGAGATTTACAAGTGTCGACTGCGAAAATTTATTTGACGCTTACAACCTACAAGGTAGACTCTATTCGACCGATGATCATCGATTGTAGCTAATTTAAACAGATCTTTCAAGCGATTTGCCCATTGTTAACTGCTGGCTTATCGGACCTAAGTGGCCGTCGTCCCATCCTCCTGGCCAGTATATTCCTCTTTCTTTGCACTACTATCGGCCTTGCGACTCAAACCAACTATGCGGCTGTGCTCGTCTTACGCTGCGCTCAAGGAATTGTTTGTGGTACGAGTACGATCGTTGCCTTTGCATCCATTACCGATCTGGTTACACGGGGTGAGCGAGGGAAATATACTTTCTACTCTTCAATTGGAATGACACTTGGTCCATCGATTGGACCAACTCTGGGTGGTATCTTGACACAGTTTCTTGGATGGAGAAGTGTATTCTGGTTTATGACCGCCATTGCCGGGGTTTTGCTTCTCGTTATATTGTCAATCCTCCGCGAAACTTGTCGAGCTGTCGTGGGCAATGGTAGTCTACCCCCTCAGCGATGGAACAGATGCATTCTTCAAATCGTCAACCCAATGAACCACAAGCCCGAGCCTAAGACAAAGATTACGTTCAAGAAACGCCCGACAGTACTCCAGACTCTCAGGATTCTGCAAGATCGACATTTCGCCCTCCTTGCTCTCTGCAGCGCTATCTGCTTTTGCACCTCGACTGCTATTTTCAACGGCTTGCCACCTCTGCTAGAGAGGAAGTATCATCTGAAGCCTCTTTATGTCGGGCTGTGTTACCTCCCTTACACCCTCGGTTCCTGCACTACTCGTTGGACAGCAGGCACATTTGCCGATCGAATATTCAAGCATTACGCTCGCCAAGTGGGGGTGGATGTCCGGTCAAACCGACAATGTCCGACGCAAATGCAGCATATTCCTCTTGAAAAAGCTCGCCTAGTGCTAGCAATACCGTTTATCTATTTTTATTGTCTTTGCATTATTGCATTCGGATGGGTTATGAATTATAATGTCCATATAGCGGGTCCTTTGATTTTGTTGTTCTTTTGTGGCAATGCCAGCACGGGCGTTAATAACACCCTCGGCATGTTGGTTGCGGATTTGAATGTGACGAGGCCTGCTTCTGCTCGTGCTGTTCTGAGTATGGTCAACTGGCTGACTTCAGCGGGAGCCTCGGCGGCAATCATACCTTTGATTGATGCCATGGGAATGGGCTGGCTGGGAGTACTTCTTGCGGGAATGATGATTCTTGTCTCGCCAGCTTTGTGGGCGTTATTTTTCTGGGGCAAGAAGTGGAGAGATAAGCAGGCTTTAACCTTGGACTGAGACTAACATTCTTGAATATACTAGATTGGTACATAGAATTATGGGTATTTACAAAAGTTTGGCTTTAGGATTGGTTATCTTGAGAAACTGAAATCATCTCTCGCGTCAGAAAGATGCTGTTCGAACAGAGGCCGCCTACCTCAAAGCAACTCTGGCTCAATCGCCCCAGTCTGTTCCACAATGGGATGATAGTGCTCGGTTCGTCGATGTTTCTCAAATGCAAAAACCGTGTTCTTAAGGCGATAGCAGTCCGACAAATCAATAGATGCAACCACCAGTTCATCTTCTTTGGTCTTTGCTTCCTTGATGATATGGCCAAGCGGATGAACAATGATAGTTCCACCAACCAACGGATTTCCATCTTCGGCGCCTGTCTTGGCAACGTTGATACTGAAGCAGGCGTTCATGTAACTATTTCCTTGGCATGAAAGCTTATGATGAAGCAGAACAAGATCCTCGGCCGCATCCGGGCTCATATCCACCATGTGGCCGCTAGCTGTCGTTTGAAAGGCAGTGGTGTTATACCCACAGCACATAATTTCAATTCCTTGAAGGCCGTATACACGCCATGCCTCGGCCCATCGTCGGTCATTGCATATCAGCATGCCAATAATCGGGTCTCCCTTTCCGTTGTTCTCTGCTGGGCTGGCGCTGGCATCTGATTTCTTAACGGCGCCAGGGACAAGTCCAGGAGCCCTGAACGCGGGAAACCCCAGGTTGCCAGGATGAAAATAGCGCTTTTCTAGCTGCTGGAATGCACCTGGCTCGGTTTTTGGCTCAACTGATCCTGGTAAATGTACTTTGCGGTATTTCCCGACAATCTTGTTTGCGTGTGCAGAATAGTACGCGCTAGAGTTGTAGTCGATGTGAGAGCCGTCTTCTTGGATACTTCTTTCCGCGTAGCCCACGTAGACGTCAATACCGAGGGAATATGCGTGATCAAATAGTGGTTTTATATTGGGAGATTGCTCGATACCACCTTTGCTTGGATCTTCGATGTCAAAGTATTGATCCAGGTCTTCCCCCTCGATCAGATATCTAGGGAAGAAGGTGGTAAAGGCCAACTCGGGGAAGACGGCCAGCTTCACATTCTCTCTCGCGGCTTGGTCCAAAAGCTTGCACATTCGGTTGAGAACATCCTGTCGGGAGTCTGCAAGGTGCACAGGACCTAATTGGCAAGCTGCAACCACAACCGGCCGAGGTGATGGGGCTTCCGTAGTACTCATCGCGATGATATTCAATAAATAGTGGCTCTTGTTTCTATCCAAGATGTCAAGATCTGTGAGACAAGATATTTGTATCACTTACAGTTCCTTAAAAGGTTGAAGATTGTGTATGTATGAAAATTGGGGCTGACCCCGCTCTCGGCTTGTTATCGCCATCGGTATCTTACACTCTGGACCGGGCAGATCAGCCGCCAAAGAGACACATAGGTCCCCACGAATTTGCTTATCTCAGAGTAATTTAGCGAGGCTTTTCCGGCTATTAATCCTACTTGCCGACATGCCACTGCCAAGACGGCAGAGGTGTCTCCTCACATGCGTACGAGATAGCTTTCAATCCTCTGACATAGACAAATTTGAAATGAGGCCAATAGATGGACACAGATACACTTAAAGAGCTAATATTTAACATCACCTTCGCCAGTGCTTTGGAACAGCTACCACGGTGCTCTCTTGTACTTGACCTCTGAGGAGTACAACTCAACTCTGCAGAGGAAAAGAAAACGATTTCCATAACTCAATCCATGTGCCACTTAATTCCAAAGTTGGAGTGAGACAGAGAAGTCCAAGTCCGTTGAGTTTCCTGTTCGCAGCCAGGACAATAGTCATCATGTGGCGATTGGCTAATATACATGTTAGGGCCTTACTCGGATTAAATTCTCCGTAACGGACAGCATTAGTCTCGAGGCCTTTGTAATCCTTTAAGCTAATGGTATTATTTATCAAATTTCAAGTACTTGTCTTGATATGAAATTAGAATTAAGTATTATAATATTCGATAGCTATTCCGTATCTCACGAACAGGATTTTCGTATTTAGAGAAGGTGGTTCAAGCTGCACTGCAGGTTGAGATCGATGTTGATCAGACCGTTCTTTTAAAAGCATTAGCTATCCGAAGTCTTTGTTGAAGACATTTGCAAAACATACCTGCTCCACGTCCTTCTGTGAGCAGCAGTAGACGTCACCACCAGAGCAGCTCTCGCCGAGAAGACCGGCGAGGAGGTTACCCAGGGACAGGAGACCACCGTTTCCGTTATCGCTGCAGACAACTGTTTGGTGGCTCTCGCAGACAGTCTCCTCGGAGGGTTCGCCGCCTGAGTCTTCCTTGTGCCCGTCAACGGTGGGCATGGCCAGGGCTGAGACAGCCAGAAGGGGAAGAGCGAAGATGTATCTCATGTTGACGGGTGGGTTTGGTGACCTAAAGACAGGAATTAACCAATTGAATGAGAGTAATTCGAAAGCGAACTATACATACTGTGTGGGTAACAACTAGGCTGATGGAATTCGAAATATCATTATTAGATATCATACTGCCACTATTTATACAGTGACAAGAAGAGTAGATGTTACAGAGTGATAGAGAAATACCGCAGATATTGACGTCAACAACGAATGAGCACGATAGTGTGCCTTACTACCGTTACATGAGTGAAGTTGGGTTGTGGGGTTGACAGGTAACTGACAGTCTGCAGAGGTTGTTCCTGTTCCGGAAACAGTAACTGTCATGGCTTTACCCGCCAAATGTGCCTTGGGATTTGATACGGGACGCTTGGCGGCCCCACTCTTTTTCCCATGTTGTACAGTGCATGCCTGATAAACATTGTAACAGTTGCAAGGTGGATCGTGCTTTGGTGTATCCAAACTATGGCCCCAGGGACGTAGCAGTTGCCATGTCGCCAAGGCTATTTTCATGGCTGTCCCCTCTGGGTTAACGGAGAAACAATGGGTCCAGACTGCATGCGTAGAACTTAAAGCAGTATTCTGTATGGGTCGTAGGCTCAAAACAATAGGACCAGATAGTTTACATATTGACTAGAGTTTACAAGTCACAAGTCCGGTGGGAGATTCTCAAACATCAGCATGAACGCATAATGAAAAGTTGGGTCATACCTGGACCCGGTAAGACTACAGTTGCTTGAGATTGGTGATTCTAGAGGTTAAACGGCGTTTAATAAAAGCCTTATTCTGGTACTGTGACAGATTTACACAAGATGGGGACAATTTGAGCTCAATTGAGGCAGCATGAGGTAGAAACATGCTGGATCAAAATCACGGAAAAGTTACTACAGTTTTGAAATCTACTCAAATAGATTATCATGGACAAAGTATTCGAAAATAACCAGAGTGTATTAGACTGAGATTAAAGTTCTTCACCAACAATAATTGGCTTTGTACAAATATCATCGCAACGCACTGGAGGTGGTATAGATGTAATATCTGCTAGCCCTTCGAACACAGGGCTCATATCCACCCTTCTCTTTCCCTTTCAGGCTGACCGAGTTGTTGTCGGCCATATTCGAAGCAGCTATGCACCTCCGAGTGGATGTAATGAGGGCACATAAGTCACTTTAAAGCAGGTGGTTCAGAGAGCACTGAGCGTTGACGTCGAGGTTGATGAGGTTTCCGTCCTGAAAGTTTTGTTAGCTTTGATGCGTCCCGTGGGATTGCTGCGCTTGTTGCAATACTAGGTCAAGCGCTTAGATAATTACTTACCTGCGTGGCACTCTTGTCACAGCAGTAGACGTCACCGCCGGAGCAGGAAACACCGAGACCACCGGGGAGGACGTTGCCGAGGGTCAGGAGACCGCCGTTGCCGTTGTCCTTGCAGACGACCTGCTGGTCGCTGGAGCAGCTGGCAGCAGTGCTGCCGGCAATGGCGAGGGCAGAGAGGCCCAGAGTAACGAGGATGGACTTGACGAACATGTTTGCGGTGTCTTGAAACAATTAGTCTGACTTCTCTGGAAATAAGGGAGGCGTTGAAACTCACTTGGGATAAGAGTTGGTTTGTAGAGATGGTAGAGAGTTCACTGATGCTATTGTTGACCGTCCAGGGCGACAGTCAGCCCTTAAATATCTTTTGCCATTACCAACGCCTTAGTCTGTATTTACTCCTTCAAGCTTCCAACGTCATGCAAATTCCAAGCATGGACCTGAAAGCAATGGGCAAGGGTGTGGTTAGAGCGCGGCGGCGACGGAAGGATGCTTGAGGTTGTGCATTCTTTGTAATCTTGGAGCCCCAATATGCTTTATCTAGTAAAGATCATCTTGTTAGCAGGGGTCTCACTGTCATGACCCAAGGATTTCGAGGATGATCCACGAGTTATTCCTGGCAATGATCCGCCACCCCTTGCAGGGTAAACGTGAAATTTCCGTGAGCATCAACGTTGATCATATCAGAGTTACATTGAATGATGGCTAGATTCTTATGGTTGGTATTAAATGGGTTATTTTGCTGGTCAATCATTGTGTATATATTTATGAGAAAGAGGTAGAGGTAATTAGAGATAGAGGGAGTTGGAGTGAAATAGAATGTATACGAGTAGGTGTGTGTCTCACGGCCTATTTAGAACCCATGCTCAAGCTCTCAGGAATGTGAGCCGATTGAATCCGAGGAAATCTCCGTGTTTTAGACTACCCCTTTCTGATTATCTTTGATCACTACACAAACACTTTGAAGGAATTCTTTTCCGGATTTAATCAGCCTCAAACTACTTTGATCGTTTAACACACAAGCATCATACACAACGCTGATCTCTTGTGGTAACCCAGAAGTAGTTACAAGATGTACTACTTGACTTCAAGCTTAATCAAGGGTGAATGCCACGTCAAATGCTTGCGGAAATGATATCCCACTGGTCGAAGCAAGGCCAATGGAATGTTCGGGAGAACAGCGGGATCCCGAGTGGCTGTTTGCGAACGACCACTGCAGATCATTCTCAAACCCAAAATAAGCCACTTGAGCTAATTCGAGGCAGCACTTGACCTGTGGAGATCGGCGGCGTATAGTTTGCACGTGAATTATCAGCTTGTTATTCAGTTGTAAGTCAAGACTAGCTGATGCACTTGGCCAGACGGGGAGTTACTACGACATGTTGCTGATAAAGGCCGGGTCATCTTTCAGGGCTTATCACCTATATGTTTTGCAACAAACTCAGGGAAGTTTGATAGAGTAAGAGTTAGCGTATGTTCGTGATTTAGCCCGTTTTATCTACTGTAGACTTCTTATGAAACCAATGTAAACGATACTTTGACGGAGAATAGCGGAGTACAGTTCGGATCTACAACAAGTTTAAGGTCACATTTTCCATGAAAACTACTCCGTTAATGTCCATCAAGGCAACCAGAAACCAGAGGGCAAACAAGGCGACCAGTGAACCGGAATCTATAACTCTCGCAGCTGACTAGCCTGAAATTGACCAGAGAGTTGGCGATCTAGTACTACGCTCAGGAAATGTTCGAACAGCTGCTTTCTTAGACAAATGCCCAACTTCAAAGTTGACGTGTAACTCAAGATTTTCGATCCTGAAAGTCTCTGAGAAAATCAAAGGCCGGTGTTGATCATGTACCTCCAAGTATCTCACATATACGGCGTGGCTTCTGTGTCAAGGGTGTTGGGACTAGCTTTCCTAACGTTATGTGCACGGCTGTACTCATACCGGCCCTAGATCTGACAGAATCTATGTTCTATCATATTTGATCTTCTGGGTTATGTGTGCCTAACAGTTGAAAGACCTTTAAACAGGGTGTAAGAGATGGAAAATCTGGGCAGTGCCGGTTATTGTCGAGCATTTTTTCGTCTCTAGAAGTTGGGATCTACATTTCATCGAGCCCCAATACGAGGCTCAAGGATGGTGAATATATCGACCCGTGATGCGCTACACATGTGCCAACCTCTTGATCAAAAGTGAAAGACCTTGTCCAGCGATCATCCTTCACGGTCAAATCTACCCAGTAGCCCTCCGTTTGCCGATGCCCCGGGATTTACCTATCACCCACCTCACCATCTACCCAAATTCCCCATGATATACATACCATCCCCAAAAACACCATGAACAAAATATAGATGAACCATCAAATAAAATTTTAAGCTTTAAGCTTGAAGTTCCCCCCAAAACGCCAATCAAGTCCGTAGAATAACGTATGCAATGCAAGACAAGAATTCTTTTCCAAAGCCCAGTCCAAGCTCAGCCCTCCATCATGTTGGCCCGGTCCTCCTTGAACTGGTCGCGGGCAGCGGTGAATTTCTCAGTGACAACATCGCACAGGTCCATCAGGTCGTTGAAACCTTTCTCCAGAGCTTCGAGGGCGGTCGTTGTGTCTAAGAGGGAATGGATTAGTGTGGGATTCTTGAGAGGGGAGGTCTTGGTCCGAGGGCTTACCGTTGGTCTGGATGCGAACGTGCATCTTGGCGTCGGAGGGGTGGGGGATGGTGTAGCCGCAGAACTCGACCGCGGGGCTGGGCGTATGTTAGTAGAGGCTCTCGATGGTCTAGTTTGGGTGGTTCTCGAGTTGTAGTGTTTGACTGTGAATCCTCGAGGGCGCACTCACTTCTTCATGATAGCGTATCGCAGTGCATTACCCATGGTGTGACCCTCGCCCTCGAACTGGAACGAGGCAGCAGTGTCGGAGGAACCGGGCAACTAGAAGGACCGAATTGTCAGATATCTTCTCGTGGAACTACCTCATGTCGCGGCTTCTAAGGCCCTCCGTGGTGCGCGACTTACCACAACGATGCGCTTCTCGTCCAGCAGAATGGGGTTAACGGGATCAGCCTCGGCCTCGACGTCCATCATGGACTGATCGTGCTCCGGGTCTTGTGAGTGAACGGAGGCAGGCATTGTGTCTGGAGTATTTGCGATGAGGGGATCGGGATCTCGAGATCGGGGCGGAGGAGGTTGTAAGTTGTGGGATGAAGCGTGGAGAGCTCGGGGCCGGAAGAAAAGCAGTCAATTACACTTTTAACGGAGTCTTCCGTCGGATCCGTAGAAGATGAGGTGATATGACGAGGTTAATCGAGTCAAAGACTTCGCCGGCGATTGTCGAGGCACCGAAGAAAAAAAAGTGGGTTATCGATAGCGAAGCTTACCGCCTACCGCTTCTGTACGAAGATATACCCTTTTCAGGAACAAGCTTCTCTTCGTACTTCTTTTACATTTTGAATGGCTTGAGTGAATGTAGAATAGAGATTTCATTGTTCCTCAGCATTACACCTGTTTATCCTGGTTCTGCGACTTATGCAGACATCGGCTTTCAAACATGTGGTGCAGATCCCGCCCGTAGGGCTGGCTGCACAAAGGGAAGCTAAGAAGTGCATGCCACGAGAACGAGGGCGACATGGGTCATTTTGGGTTTCGTGTTTGGATTTTTTTGTGATCTTGAAACATTCAATTATTTTGAGGGAAGGGAAAGACGATCCGTGACGATGGGCTGTTTTGCTACAGATTGATTAAACCTGGCGAATTCCAAACATCGGAGGCAGATGCTCGTCAGCTGTTTTTCGTAATTTTCCATCTGAAGTTTCGATATGCTTACTGCCAAGATTCAAGCTAGCATGATCTGTGACAGATATAGGGAATATGTACGGAAGAAGATTTATGCTAAAAGCACTAATGCACCATCGAAGTGGTAGCGATCGTATACTTCAAACATATTCCGCTCAGTGGTGAAGACTTCCACGGAATGCCGAGGCTGAAGCAGTCGAATCCATAGTCCTTCAGACCAAAAAAACCTAGGCCGGCTAGATAATCAACATGAATCATGTAGGAAATACTGAATGGTGATTGGGGAAGAGTATCCTAATTCCTGCAGTAATTAGCCGAGCATGAAGAACCATCCGAGAGCTAACAAAGAAACAAAGATCAGAACGCCACGCGGTCTGAATCAATCCACAGCTCACACAGACCAACATCGAAACCTAGCGGCTCGGCCATGAAGAATAGTTACAGTCTGTACTATGTAATACTGTAGCCTTGAACGTCCAGTTCCAAGTTTATCACCCAAGCTAGAAGTTAAACACTACTTAAGCAGGCAATATACTTCGTCCACCATACCAAGGACGAGTCCGGTGTATATACAACCTCAGCACCCTCTCCCGTAATTCGAAAAAAGATTATACCCTGGACGAACCACCAAACCATCGCCTAACTAATGTACTCCTTCATACATAAGTACTGTACTACTCATCTCGGCAGGGCTCATTCCTACTCGAACCAGTTTAGCGCAGATAAAAAAGAACGGACCCTGCCAACTTGCTCAATGCTTGCCGCATCACCCGGTGATCCGTGCGAGTCGAACTTGTCTCGTTCAAACTTTGCAGTGACGTGCGGGCGCCGGCCAATAGCTTCGTTGCGGCTTCATGCTGGCGGTCTACATTACTTTTTACGGGAGGGACTAATAACTAAGGGGCGGTCGGCAATGGGTTCCGTGAGTCGAGAGTCCACTTTGCCTTGTAGGCTGTACTTAGCTACATTACAGTATGTACTAGCCACAGGCGTCAGGCTGACCCACACGAGGGACCGTGGAGATGTCCGAGTTTCTTTGCGTTCCGTTCCTGAGCTCGGGCAGCTACAGGAGGAAACTTGGTTGGGAGCTTTGCTGGATGGGATGGTTGGTCCAGCAGTTTGGTAGCCAAGATGGTGGGGGATTCGAGTGGGTATACACTCCATAGATGTAAGTTCAGGATCAGGTCCATCTAGGATTTGACTTTTGAGCTCGTCCTCGTTGGGCAGGTCCTTAACTGATATACTCAGAGACTACGGAGCTTCCTCGGACATTTATATACTGTACCAAAGTGATCCAAGACTGAGTATTTACTAGTGACTAGAAATCACTAACTACAGTGCTGTACTGCCCTTGACAGGGATCTTCCTGCGGGTGCCACACGCTATTTGTGAATCCACCCCCTGATCGCCTATAAGCGCCGGCGGCGCCGTGTTGGTGGTAGAATGCGATGTGAGTCGCTAGATGGGGGTGTGATTAGGTGCTGGATTTTGGAGGAGCGCAGGATGGAAGTCATTCGGATGAGAATGATGTATTAGTTGTTTTTTTCTTTAAAAAAAAACCTAGTTGGATAATGTACCGCGTAGGGATTATGCTTGGAAACACTGAGAACAGGAACTTCCACCCGAGGCATGACCAAAACTCAGTCAGCTAAAAACTTTGATCGATTATCAAGCAGAAACACAGAAAAGAATCAGAATCATAAAATCTGGCTTATCTGACGAGCGAGTGGAAACTGCGGAGACATCAAGCCACCAACCCAGCGCCCCAGCACGATTTAACCCTTCCAAGGATTGCAAAAAGCAATAGTACCGGGGCTGAGTGGATTCCCCGTCTAATCTCTCACACCCACACGGGCAACTGATTCATTTCAGATAGATCTACTACTGTACATACTGTAAGACGGTAAGTGTAATTAGAATGTGTTGGGGCTAGTTCAATAGATTCGGATTCTATATGCCTTTTTCGGGACATGACACCTATATAGGTCCGCCCGCAGAAATATGCCATATGTGACAAACCTTTTGCTGATCGTGGGGGCCAGACCATAAAATTAAGAAGCACGGATCGCATTCGTTCTGAGCTTCTGACATGATGCTAAAAAAATTCCAGTGGACATGCTTGTATTATAGTGGGGGGGAGGAGGGGGGTTCCACTGCCTATCGTAGTTCGTGGGGACGTTTCTCTTTTTTTTTTTTCTACTTCGAGAAGTGTTCCTGTTCTTGAATGTATTTTAGTAGGTACTCAGTTAATCTAACTGGAGAACTAGTTGAGATCCTGAGACAAATCAAGGCAGAATCGGGAGGCTCTAGTGACCCCAATTGGGAATAGGATACGGTGGAAGGAGACCGGTCAAGTCATCCTAATAAGCCACCAGGGGGGGGATGTATTTCCATAGATGAAACTATCGAAGACTGGAACACTGGCGGTCGCAGATCCGCACGAGCAGCTTATTGGACAGGATGGTTCAGCTGGTAGAAACAGAAACACGTCGTGTCTCAGCCAGACGATCCTGATACGCCGGGCCCAACTGCGGGTTGCAGCAAATGTTTGAGCGTCGGGTCCACAGGTACAGGTACTTCTTCTCATATACATTATTACTAGTAACTCCAAGTACTTATACTTCTCTCCGCCCCCTGGTTCTCTGCACTTTTGACAGTCTTTCCCTTTTTCCCCCTTCTGGGCCAGACCCTCAATTCATTCAACGACTACTCTCCTCCTCTCGACCACCTCATTTCCGCCCTTCAATCCTCCTTCGGTCCATTTCTTTCGCTTGACGCTCTGGACTTTTTTCCTTCTTCCCTTTCACAGCTAGTCGCTCTGCTTGCCGCCGAACTGCCGCCCTCCCCCCTCCTCCTCTCCCTCTACCCTCTCTCCTCACCTGCATCACTACTCTCTACTCTACAAACGACTGGCAGGCAGTTCATGCCCCTCCGGATCCCAGTTCTTTGACCTAACCGCCGACATTTCTTTGTTCGCGGAACTCTCCGACTTGAAATCATCCCGAGTCAGCCTCAACTAAGCCTCAAACGAAGCCTACCACGTCGGGGTCGCCTTGCTTTCTACGCCTCCCATCGTCCATTGATGCTTCACCTCTTCTTCGAGGGGGTCGTTGGTCGCTGATCCCGCGCCGTTGTATTAATATACCCCAACTCATTCGAGCTGCGACTATATAGTCGGTGCTTGTTGAATCGCGATACTCTCCGGGTTCACCGCAAGTTACGACTGCAAGTCCCCGGGCTCTTTCTTTTCCCCTACGTCGGCAGCAACACCATGTCAACGGCAGTTGCATCCGCGACGGCAGCTCCGTTGTCCTCACCACATACCACCCGCGACCCAAGTCCGAAGAACTGCCCGACCTTGGCTCCGCCAGCCGGCGGACCGGCGAATTCCTCCCCTTCGCGCATGTCGACCACATCTCAAGATGGCCCGGCCAGAGGCACCCCCGAGCGGAAAGATCCGTCGTCTCCGTAAGTTTTGAATTCTGGATATGCGAAGATCGGAGGATGGCCCCGGAGTATACAGAAAGAATGCGCAATGCTAATCTTCGCTCGCTATAGCTCTCAAGGTAGCACCGGCCCAAGGATTACCGTGAAGAAGGAACCGCCATCGTCGCCGCGCATGCAGAGTCGCCCTCGGCCCCGAAAGTTGGACTTGTCGACCAGCCTCCCGTCTTCCAGTGGCCTCCAGGTGCGTCCACCGGGAGGACCAATGACCGCCAGGGAAGGTTTCACCATGCAAAATGTAGGACTGGCTTGTCTGTCGCCCGGCTTCCAGACGCATGATCCGGTGATGAGAGAACAGCTGCAGCGCAGCATGTCAGTACGGGATCAGCAGCGGTCAATAATCGAGGCGCGGTTACAGAAATCCGCCAAGGATGAAGGTCCCGAGGGAGTTAAACCGTCCGAGTCGAAATTCATGGCCGTGCCAAAATCCGGCTCTAAGCGACGCCCTCCTCCCGGTCTTTCCATCGTCCCTCCGTCTGCTTCTCAGTTCGCCAATGAGCGAGTGATTCAATCCGCCCCGTTGAACCAGACTTTTACTGGTCGGTATCAACCTCAGCCATTGACCCGCCATATCGTCAACCAGAGCCCGACGCTAGGCTCGACATCGCATATGCACCACGTTCCCGCTACTCAAACCAACAACCGCCTTCCTCCTCTCTCCGATGTCTTTGGTTCAGATACACTGGGTGGCCGTGACCGTGATCGGGACCGCCCCAGTTTGTACCCAAATGCATCCAGCAGCAACTCCTCCCAGTCAAACCTGGCGCCACTGCCATCCCCCGGTCTACCTGGTAACATGTCCCAAACACCCACCCGGCCACGGGAATACCGCTCCGCCGAGGAGGCAGTCCAGGAAATGTCCGGTGGTCGGGAAGAGCTACTTCCCCGTATCGTGCACTACGGTGGTCACCAACCCCCTACTCCCCCATCGCCCCATGCCGGCCACATGGCCCCCAAGACCGCGCCGTTGGTCTGTGAACCAGCCCCCAGCGCACCCCCGGCTCCTCCAATGTACTCCACCGATCCCACTGCTCGCCGTCGCCCCCGGAGCGAATATGAGCAGGACAATGGAAGCCCGCCCCTAGGCCACGGCCCCGATCCTCACAGCAGACCTAATCCTGCTGCGGCTATGGGGCCAAACTCTACCTTCCCTGGTCCGTTTGGCGCAGGCAGGGACTCGCCAGAGACTCAGCGGAGAAAGAAGGAAGAGTTTTTGGGTCTGTGTGCCCGCGCTTGGGATTTGTTCCACTCTTGAAGTAGTGCAGTTTACACCATCGCTGCACTAGTAAACAGCCTCCACATGATACTGGATGGGTCATCACAATGTGGCTATGTGTGAGACTCATCTGGCTCTGAATGTGGTTGCGCTGACCCCCTCCCCTCCTTCGGCAAGCCCGAATCTAAAAAATGAGTCCTGGTGGAGCATATTTTCGTCGCTCTACCGGCTCTCTCTTCCTCAGCCTCCATCTGGTTATTTGAACAGGATGACTTGCCATGTTCGAACTTCTTTTTTCAATATCTACCTGCCCGCCTCATCTTGATGATTTGAGTATCAGGGTCCCAGGTTTTTCTTGTTCTGTTCTATTTTTTTGTTGTTTACATGACATTGATGTTTATATCCCATCTCATCTATACCTACGGTACAACAGGGGGTGAGCCTCTGTGAAGGCTTACTTGGAAAAAAGGGTCTGTTTTTTTATGTTTTTGCTTGCTCTGTCTTGGGTTTGGTCTTGTCTATGACCGAGAATCTCTTGCATTTGCTTCGCATTAGGCGTTGGGTGTCTTTTTTGCCATATACCTATTTTCTGGATGTTCATCTCCTTTTTTTCATTGGGAATTCAGCATTTTTGAACGGATTTTCTTTTGATCGAGATCACTTTTTCTGATTCCATTTTTCTATGATTCTTATTTTCATTGGAGTATATTTTCCTTGGGTCAGGGTTGAGGGAGAATCCCCAGTAGGATTTGGTTTGTTATTACCTCGGACCTTGATAGTATATTACGGAACTTAATGACTAGTACTCGGTGATTCCATTGAACCTGTTCAAAAGCGTTGTATCGAAAATCAAAAGGCACAAGTTGGGTATCTACTCAAGTCGTCTCCTCTTCCCACCGCCACCTCTCGCAGGAGGCTCACCACCACCACCCATCCCCTCCCATCCCCGTCTCTCCATAGGCATATCCTTCCTCTCCTTTGAAGCAATCTTCTTCCTCCTCCGCTCCAACGCCTTAGCCCGATCCCGCGATCCCATCTCCTCATACTTCTTCTGCATAACCTGCTTCTTCAAATCAGACTTCTTCAAGTAGTACGGCGTACTCTTCTTTCCATCCCGAATAGCCTCTTTCTCCTTCTTCTTATGCTCCGAAATAACAGCCTCCTCCCGCTTCCGGTTTTCCCTCGCCTTCTGCTGATCCGTCGCTGACCGGATCTGTCGCTTCAGCGCTTCTTTGGCTTCGGGGTTCTTCGTCTGCGCCATTTGTCGCTTTAGATCGCGCAGTTCCGAGGCCCGGTATTCTTCTAGGAAGGCGTAGTTCTTTTCCGAGGCCTTGGAGTTCAGTCCCTTGCCGCTGTGGCCCATGACTGCTGCGTCGAAGCGGGGGTCGCGCGCTTTGGCGGTTGCTGGTGGTTCGACGATGACGCGTTTCCGGGAGACGGCGTATTTAGAGGATTGTACCATTGGTGCGTGTTTGGAGGCCCGCGCTGCTTTCTTTTCTTTCGAGGTGCTGTCTTTGGCCAAGGCTGCGGCTGCGGCTTCGCGCTTTTGTTCACGGGCGGCGCGGATTTGGGCGCGGATGTCGTCGAGTGGGGAGGCGGTTGAGGTCGTTTCGGGGGTGGATTTGGTGGCTTTTGTCTTGGTTTTCTTGGGGCCCATGCTGGCTTGGGCTTTGGCTAGGGCGCCGAAGGAGATGTTGCTTAGGGATGCTTGGATGTCGTCGTTTGCATCGGAGTCCTCTTCTTCTTCTGAGAAGGCTGAGGCATTGTCGTTATCCTCGTCTGAATCTTGGTTTGAGTCATCATCCTCTGATCCTTCATCTTGCGACTTTAGCAGGTAGTCTTCGTTAGTGATTGAGCTTTCTGTCATTCGCAGACTCGTACGTACATCACCGGCTTGCAGATCGGCATCAGAATCCTCTTCTTCCTCCTCGGCCTCGTCCTGGGAAGGCTCGTCACCCATATTGGACTGCTCCGAGTACACATCGTCTTCATCATCAGGCCGAGCCCGCACTCGGCGGTTCAGCATATCTGTAATAGCCATATTTGCGTATTCTCGGCGAGCGTAGGTCAATTCGAGTTCGAAATCATCTTCCGAAAAAGAAAAATATTGCCGTGCGGGCGGTCAACGCGATAAGATTAGCACCCTCTTTTTTTCCCGCCGATTGCCCCGTCAACATCCACTCCGTCGCGCAGTCGATGTCACGCTCGACCTGCACCGCGCGATCGTGGAACCTCTTAGCTCAATCTAGGAGGCCTGGTTGCTTTGCTCAGAAAATTCCGGTTAGTGCATGGTGTTGTGGATTTTTCTGGGAGCTGCTGTTACTTACCTTGATTGCCCGGGCTAACACCGATATCGAAATAGCTTATCACCCACTCCGTACCAACTCGGGACGCGATCACCTACCTCCCACATGCAGACGGGTCTATTGTGCGCAGTTCGGAAATATCGTTCAAGCTGGCTCCTATCAAACAGAAACGGCAGAAGCGTGTACATGACGCTGCGGACTTGGCTGCTCCCGTTCAAACCCCGCAGCATGCAAATGCGCCGGATGCCATAATGGGCAACATGGACGGTCAACAGAAGAAGCCCCCATCGTGGCCGGCTCAAGTGCCTGCTTTCAATGCGTCGACCGGTGGTTATGACCTGCCGCATACCGGAAATCACAATGCTGCGTATCGGCGTGTGCTGGATCATGGCGCGCAAGGAAACCCAATGATGCCATATGGGTCCGGATCAACAGTCAACGTGTCTGCTCCATACGCGTCAATGCCCATGTCCAACCACCCAGCTAGTGGAAATTTCAATGATGGAGGACAATTGCCGAGCGGGAATACCCCAGCTTCGCCTTCAAGCGCATTCGGCGCATTCAATGTGCCCATGTGGAATCCCGTGAATGCGAATAGTCAGTCGATGACTACAACACAACTCCAACAACCCTACCCATTCTTCAATCCGATGTTCTTCACCCAAAATGCCATGGGAAATGTACCCCCTTTCCCAATGATGCCGCCATTCAACCCAATGCAGCCTATGCAGACTCAGAACATGAGTACAACGGCTGGACCAACGGCGCAACCTTCGAATGCCGTTCCGCCACGGAGGGCACGATCACCAACACCGCCGATGAAGAGGCCATCACCGACGAAGGAGTACATGTTACAAGCATCGAAACCACCACAGACGTCTCCATCACGACGACCCTTGCTCATCATCCTCGATCTGAACGGCACTCTGATCTTCCGCAAACACCGCAAATTGCCTCCAGTATTTGCTCGTCGCCACGGTCTGGACGAATTCCTCGATGAACTGACCACTAAATACTCAGTCATGATCTGGACAAGTTCAAAGCCACCTACCTTGAACGCTGTCTGTGACAAGTTGTTCGATGCTGAGAAGCGCAAACGCATGGTGGCATTGTGGGGCCGTGACAAGTTTGGCCTCACCCCGGTGCAATACAATGCCAAGTTGCAGGTGTACAAGGAACTGCGCAAGGTGTGGGCTGCCCCTGAGATTCAAGCTGTGTATCCAGGAAATGAGGACGTCAAGCCAGCCGCCCCGCCCAAACGGACCGGAGGCAAACATAGCAAGAAGAACCGAATTCGGCAGCAGGCCGGAGCGTTCCCTCCAGGTCACCGCTGGGACCAGACAAACACCATCCTCATTGATGACAGCAAACTCAAAGCTCTCAGTGAGCCATTCAATATCCTCGAGATCCCCGAGTTCACCAACGACCCCAACATCGACGAATCAGACCTCTTCACCAGAGTCCTCGCTAAACTCGACGTCCTGTCCCGTCACGACGACGTGAGTAAAGTACTCCGTCAATGGAACGAGCGTGTCGCACAAGGTGAAGCTAGCCTCTTGGACCTTGAACTCGGACCTGAAGAAGACTTCGATGACGAGGAAGACGGTGGTATGAGTCTCCTGGCTACCTCGGCCCCTGGTACCTCTGCCAACCCCATCGACCTCGATGAAGTACCCTCCATTACCTCTCAACTCGACCCCAAGGAGGCAACGCGTCTGAGACGAAAGGCCCGCAAGAAGGAGAAGAAGGCTGCCAAAGCTGCCCTCGCAGCCGCCAACCAGCTTGCCCAGAAGACCCAGGCTCAGCCTCAGCCTTCAACTAAAGCCACTGGTAAGGCGGATCCCACCAGTCCCGAGCCTGCGGGTGTCACTAAGCCCACCCGTCCCAAGAAGGGCAAAAAAAGCCCCTCTGGGCGCAGGAACTTGATGTCGAGCGTGAACTCGAGCCCAACGCGCGCAAAAACACCATCGATAACACGGGTGGAAAGCGGCACAACCTTCGCCCTAAGCTTCAATCCAACACCGAGGTCGCTGATGACCCGTTGGAGGATGAGGAGAGTCTTCACTATGACCCCCCATATTCTCCGCCCAACGACCATGCAGGACCTTCCATCCTAGACAATGTCCCCTCTCAGGTCACCGTGGAGCCATGCAACGCTTCTCTGTCCTTGGATAAGTCTTGGTCCGAGTACAACCAGGGTCGGTCGCTTGAGTCAAGTCCACCCTCCATGCGACAGCTTCAGCAGGGGTTGGATGGCCAGGGAGAGCGTCACTTCCCGGCAAACCCAAGCAACCGGCCCTTGTCACCGGTGACCGATGATGGAAGACGCTCCGTCTCGCCGGCTACGTCTACTGCGTCCCGGAATACGTTGCTTGATAGGCTGGAGGAGGGCCTTGGAATCAAGCTTAAGAGGTAAAGGTGGTAAACCTGGAATATCTCTTTGTGAGATCTCTGTTTGAGATCTTTGTTTGATTGTTTTCTGTTCTCTTGTCATGTCACTGGATACCCGGTGGATGGAGTTTTGTGGAGTTTTGAGGTAGCATCGGGATTGAGGGTTTAATGTGTTTTTGAGGAGATATTGTAGGAAGCTATTGTAAAGCTTTTTGTTTGTGTATTTTATGTGCATTGACTCGTGTAAAGGGTGCGAATTAAGGTATGCATTGAGTAACTTATAAATGCCACATTCTGTAATACGGCAACTTTGGCTGCCACCAAGTGGGCTGGTGTCCTCTATATAGGCATTAAACTAGTCCTGATCAATCTTTATCCTCCGTCTGACCCTCTACTCCATGTTCCAGAACATTGCCCCTGCTCTGTTCCCCGTTTCCATCATCGCTCTTATTCTTCAGACTTTTCCAATCGTACAACACTGCACCTAGACTCGAGACTGTTGCTAGTACAAGTCCGACACGAAGAGCATCTTTAATCGCCACAGCATAAACAGCTTGTAACTCCGGTGTTTCCCTCGCCTGTCCATCCAAAACAGACTCAGCATCCAAACCCGGCGCCAGCGCCTTCAACGCTTTCCCAATACTCTGCAAGAAAACCGCCTGCGCAACAGAAACAAACAACGCTCCTCCAAACGTCTGGGCAAACAAAATAAGACCAATCCCAGTTGCAACGTCATCTTCTGCAAGCGTCGTCTACACCATATATAAACCCTGCTCTTCTCCGAGACCAATCCCAGCTCCGCAGAGGATCTGGAATCCGACCCATTTTGCGCGTGTGGTTTGATGGGGATGGACGGTTGTTAGGAGACCGGTCCCTAGGGACATGAGGATTGAAGCTGCGTAGACGAATGGTGTGTAGTATCCTGTTATGGCGGTTCCGAAGCCGGCGAGCATGAAGCCGCCGACGACGCTGAGCATGAAGGGGATGAAGAGGATTGCGGATTGGACGGCGGAGACTTCGTTGACGATTGGAACCATAGTGCTAGATTTGGTTAGGACTTGGCTTATGTGATGAAGATTGTTTTGATACTAACGTATATAGAAAACAGTAACCTGGGACATTGATAGTTTCTCGGTTAGCCTAGTATAATGTGGAGGTAATATTGACAATACAGCAAGTTGAGGAGGGTGATTCGTAATAGAGGTCTACTATATTGAGTGCAGTGAGACTCGAAAGCCCTCTGTTCTTGGTTACACTCAGCATCTGTGGTTTACGACGACAGATGGTATCAAATTGCTCATTCAAAATTGTATGAGACTTTCATGAAAATCTCAAGGGCAATAGAATCATCTCAATGAGCAACATTTGCTAGACAGAAACTAAGAAAAATCGCAGTAGGCCCCTTCCGTGCCTCTCATCTCTCTGCTGATTCCAATAATCCAGATTGTTCCTTGATATCCAAGTCCTCCATCCGCAATTTCATGAGAAATTCAGCGCTTCGCTTAGTGTCAGGATGGTCTGGATCTTGGATTCTCGTCCGCATCTCCACACATTGTGTCATCAACTTTCGACCATTCGCATCTCGATCTATAACACTCCAGGTGATGGCAAGATCATTCATAGAGTCCAACGTCACAGGGTGTTCGGCTCCATGTACGCACTTGTGAAAGTTGAAAAGGTCTATGTATAGAGGCTCTGCCTCTATCCATCGGTCCTGGTGCCCGTATGTTTGTGCCAAAACGGCCATCAAATTCAGAGTGAAGGGGTGCTCCTCACCGAGTGCCCTTTTTGCATGTATCTGTGGCTTCTATGAGTATCACTTCGGCCTTTGACCATGAGCCTTGTTTCATATGCCATGCTACTAGTTGGACCATGGCCGAAATAGTGATAAAATGACCGGTCCCAAGCGCCCTGCTGCCAGTATCGATGACTTGCGTACATAGCGCTTCGGCCTCGTGGTATCTGCCTTGGTCGTGGTATACTGATGCCAAGCTATTCATGCTCTCTAGAGTCCTAGGATGCTCAGAACCAAAGGTATTCCCCTTGGTGCCCACCACTCGCTTGAGCAGTTCCTCTGCATCTTGCAATTGACCCTGTGCTCGATACACTCTTGCCAGATCAGCCATACCAGATAGACTTTCAGATTGCCCAGACTCCAACAATCTCTTTTGGGTCGTGGCAACTTCTTGGTACAGTGCTTCTGCCTCCTATAATCGATTCTGTTGCTAGTATATTGCTCCCAATGTATATATACTAAACAGTGTATAAGGGTCTTCATCACCCAATATCCTGCGTAGAGCGTCCACGGTTAGAACAAGTAATTTCTCTCCGTCTAATAATAGTCGTAACATTTTGTAACAGAGACCTAAATCGACCGCGCTATTTAGTGTCTTTAGGTATACGGGGCCGAGTAGCTTTTTGAAGTGATTGATTTTGCTGCGATTAGCAAGTTCTGGGCACCCTTTTTGAAGTTTTGCATCGCAAAAAAACCTACATTGAGTTGCAAAATTGACAAGTTATCCAGGCAATCATCCAAGTCCGGCTATTGGGACATCGTCAATTAGACATGCGGGTACAGAGAGTGACATTTCCTCCAGCTCTCACGGTCGAGATCTTCTGCTGGAAACTTGGCAAGTTGCACAAGCCGATGCATTACAAAGATGGCCGGGTCTGAAGTGGGAAAAACCAAGGAGAAGTTTCATAATTTTCGGATATCTTCTTCAAATTCTTCATCGTCAATACCTGATACCGCGGAAACACTATCAGCGACCTCTTGACTCGTATCATTATCGTCTTCAACCCCTGCCTGAGTTCTGGTTTTTCGAAGACAACATTCGGGGATCCCTTGTCGATCGAAGAAACTCATCAGAGAGAGTAGATCTGCGGCAGATCTCCTGGTCTGCCGGAGATGGTCAAATGTCATATGCCAGGTAACCATGACTGAGTGCTGAGCTTCCTAGTCTCGGCGAAGTCGTCCCCCTTCTTTTTCCAAAAGTTTGGTTCTTTTGCGGTCACCCTTGCGGAATTGCTCAAGGTACTGCTGTACAGAGCATTGTGGGGCCCTTTGCTTGATATATGCTGCTGCTTGCACAATAGCCAGTGGTATCAGATCTAAGGCCGTGACAAGCTCAATGACAGCTTCCTCTTCAGCCTGTGTTCCTAGCTTCTTCTCGAAGAGAGTCACTCCATCTTTGTCAGTCATCGGTTTGATGTCAATAATGTTCCGATCTTCGACGAGCCTAGATGCCACTTCTCTGCTTCGGGTTGTGATGATAATTGTACCATTTGCACTGGAGAAGAATGTATTGGACTTGGATTTCCCTAGGTAGTTTGATATGGAAGGTAGGATTAGAGTTCATGGCGGGCCAGGTACAAGACTTTATCACAACGCACGACATACTACCTAAGCCTTCATAATCAACATCCTAAACAAATTAGACAGCCCCTATGGAGGTAATCGCACGCCATGATTCTGGTCTATGGTAATCAAAGTCATGTATTGACTAGAAAATACCACATGGGTTCTTGGGCAAGGGGCTTTAAGCAGGAGGTAAGTATATAGTTCAGCTGTTAAGAGGCACTTATGCCGGACATTAGCCATCACAGGCACGCAGCCTTCCACAGGACATACTCGGGAACGTTACGATTTACATTGATTCTACAGTTTACGAAGAAAGTATTCCCAAATAAATTCATCAAGACCAAGTCCCGATTCGTTTATTGATAGCTAGACGTAGTAACCTAGCAGCGACCACGCATCCAAGTGCACTATGGCAACCTAGACTACGCAAGTCATTCATCTCATCTCGCATCACAACATATCATAACCGTGAACATGAACCACATCGACACATGAAAAAGAAGATGGGTGGGGTAGGAGTGTAAAGGGGGGGAAACATTTTAACTCCCGGCCCCGAAATCGAGGCGCGGGTAGCATGAAAGAATAGGGAGAAAGGATGAGCGGGACACAAATGTCAGTAAATGATCAGATATCGCTCTCCAGGGGGTATTCATTGAGAAAGGAGAAAGGAGTGCTTTATGCACACGCTTATTTGAAGACGTGGCCGTCAGCGTGCTCGAGGGTCTTGCCGTCGACAGTGACGGGGACGTCCCAGGCCCACATGTCCTCGACGTACTTGCGGTCAGCCTCGGAGGTGTGGTCGAGCTTCTCGAAGTTGTAGGACTCCCAGTCGGGAGCGACATCGAAGGCGGGGAGAGCCTCCTGGCCGCGGACAAGGAAGACACCCTTGATGACGCAGGCGTAGTTGGCACCGTAGACGGACTGGGCACCGAAGAGGTACTTGCGGGAAGCCTCAAGACGGGCGTGGAAGCCACCGATCAGGTTGTTGGCCATGAAGGTGAGCTTGAGCTCCTCGTTGTACTTGTAGTCAACCTTCCAGAGGGAGTACTCCTCGGGCTTGTAGTTCTGCCAGAACCAGGGGAGGGCAACGGGACGGGTGTCCTCGTTGGAGTACTGGCGCTTCCACTCATCGAGGATGAGGGTGGGCTTGCCAAGGGCCTCGAGGGGGTGCTTGGCCTTGGGGGCGGGGGCAGGCTCCTCAGCAGCGGCAGCGGGGGCAGCAGCGGGCTTGGGCTTCTCCTCCTTCTTGGGGGCAGTGTACTTGATAACCTCCTCGGCGAAGACGGGGGAGGGGACGACAGCCTTGAAGGCAGCCTGGGCAATGATGGTGTTGTACCAGCGGGTGACGGCGGGGTTCTCAGAGCGGAACTGCTTGTCAAGGACGGTGGCAAAGGCACGGGTCAGGAGGGAGGCAGTGAAGAGATCAGCCAGGGTGATGCGCTCGCCGACCAGGTAGGTGTTGGCAGTGAGGTGCTGCTCGAGGACGGCAATGGTCTTCAGGGCAGCCTTGGAGATCTCATCGACGGTCTTCTTGTTGTAGGGGTCGAGACCGAGGAGGGGGCGGTACCAGGAGCCGACCTTGGGGAGGAGCTCGCCGTTGGCAAAGGACATCCAGCGGACGATGGAAGCATAGTCCTGCTTGGTCTTGCCGAGAAGGGTGGTCTTCTCGTTCTGGGAGGTCACTATAACCAAAACAAGTTAGTTGAGGTTTTTTCTCGGCAACAGTAGTGGGATCCACAATTTGAATCATGCAATCAGGGGCAGTGATGGGACAATGTGCTCAAGGGGAAAAGGGGGGAAGACAGGTGGGGGTGGGAGCTTAGTCGGAAAGCCCAAGTTCCGCCCAAAAATCCCCCCTCCCGAGAAAAAAAATTTCCCCCTCAAGATAGCGGGGTACTCAAAATTTCTCGAGTAGTGTTTTTGATCAGAGTGTGTTAATCTCAACAGTGTAGTTCTGCCAGGGATAACTAGTAATTTGATTGATCTCATCATGAAAAACAGGGGGCAATTTGATGGTGGTGGTGGCGTGAGAGTGGCAAAGTGGTAATTGTCCGAGCTTGAAAAAAACAGCTGTCATCAACATACCGTAGATGGCGATGGCGATAACCTCGGAGAGAGTGAAGCCATTGGAACCCTCGAAGGCGGGGATCTTTCCAAGGGGCTGGACCTTGAGGTACTCAGCGCTGTTGTTGGCGGCAGAGTTGGGCTTGGTCTCGACCAGCTCGATGTCGAGGTCGTTGTGCTTGGCAGCGACCAGGACGGCGATGGTACGACCGTTCTCCTGTGAAGAAAAGCAGGTTAGAAGGAGTCAAGGGGAAATCAGAAGCTTAAGAAGGAACGTACAGCGAGACCGTAGAGCTTTCCGAAAGACATTTTGAAAGCAAGGGATGTGTGATGAGGAGAGAAAAGAAAGGAAAGTCGAAGGAGAGGGGCAGATGAAATTTTGTGCGGATCCCACCCGTCGGGTCTCGGAGGAACTATTCTTGCACAAAGTCACGTGGCGGGAAAAACAGCGCCGGAAGTTCGAGAAGTTGAGACTCAGTCCGCGGACTACGAGAGGTTCCATACAACACCCATATTCTCCCCCATTCACAATGGCCCGGCCTACGCCCAATGGCCTCACCCAGGCCTTCCAGGCTCTGCGGCTACACTCATCAACAACATCCCGCCCGGTAACCCGCTGCCTGGCCCGACAGACCCGGACTTATGCGACCGAAGTAGAAGGCCAGCAACCATCGGCCCTCGCGACACAAGAGCAAGCCCCAGCAGCCCCCGAAATCGACTTTACAAACTTCTCCCGTCGTCCAGCCCGTATTGTCCCCGCCTCTCCCTCCTATTTCTCCGGCAGCCCTCGCTTCATCGACCACGTCCTGAAGCTGGAGTCCCTGCAAGCCAAGTACGCCTCGCTCCCGACCGTCGCTGCCGGCGACGCACCGCGCATGGCCTGGTTCAAGCTGGCCCAGTTCCGTGACTACGTGGGCGAACCGGTGCCGATGAAGAAATACAAGAGTCTGGTCAAGATCCTGCAGCGATTGAACCGTATTCAGCCCGAGATGGTCCCCGGCGACGTCAAGCGCACGCTCGAGTCCTTCCTGCGTCCGGGAAACCCATACGCCGTGCAGCATGTGCAACGGACGGTGGACGAGAATGGCCGCGCACGCGCCAAGGGCAAGCGTAAGGAGTCGACTGCCGTTGTGCAGTTGGTCGAGGGCGAGGGCGAGGTCATCGTCAACGGCAAGTCGCTGGTCGAGGCCTTCCAGCGGGTGCATGATCGGGAGAGTGCATTGTGGGCGCTGCGCTGCACACAGCGGTTGGATAAGTATAATGCGTGGATTACGGTTCGAGGCGGCGGTGTGACTGGCCAGGCCGAGGCTATTACGCTGGCTATTGGACGAGCTTTGTTGATGCACGAGCCTGCCTTGAAGCCTGTTCTGCGAAAGGGTATGTTGATCTTGAAAAAGCTTTTTACATTATGCCATGTTGTGTAGCATATGCTGACAATTACCTTTTTTTCTCTTCTAGCTGGTGTTATTACCGTCGATGCCCGTCGCGTGGAGAGGAAGAAGCCTGGTCACGTCAAGGCCCGCAAGATGCCTACCTGGGTTAAGCGTTAAAAAGGGGAAGAGACGATCTTTTGTCGAGCGATGCTTTTCTACTATTTCTTTTCTTTTATCTATCATGTATTATTCTACCTGCATGGCTGTTCGAGTCCGCCAGTCCTGTTCTATATCCTGTACAATGCATATGGGGCTTTCCATTGAATCAATGTTATCGGCGTCTCACATTTGACCAAAGTACGGTGAAGGACGAGGGCTAATGTAGAGATGTACCTGGCAGAATGATCTGTCGATCTAGCCCTAAGCGCAGGGCTGGGCTATGGTGTTAATAAAGTTTAAGAATTGTCAGCACTGGCAGAGGATGATCCACAAACACAAACCTTCCAAATTCGCATCTAAGATTTGCACTGGCGGTCTACGAGCCTGCGAGTATGATGCTGGATGGTATACCACAAAGATGCTATGCTGTGACATGGTATACAATACTTCTACCCGGCAATTTCTCAGAGATATACAAACCATCTAGCTCCGCAATTCGCTCTATAGCACCTACCTCTTTCCAAGATCAACTCCAATAAAAACCAATAACACAATGACGCAGGTCCATCCCCATCCCCATTCTAGCCTACTCGGATCCGACAAACAAAAGTACTCTGCACAATGCACATCACCAAGACATACCGACATACAGTAAAACACTGAACTCACAAGACGATCCGATCTGACCCAGATCCACAAATACCAACATGATCTCCAATGCAGAAACCCTAATCGACCGTAATCGACCGGATCAGCGTCACGCACCGAACTTGCGCCGGGAACCTACTTCCCCTTCCGATCTTTTTGTTTCCTTTTTCTTGTACTCCGTACTCCGTGCTCGGATGTTAATATTGTGTGTATTTAACTTGGCGGTTTATGAGGTGGCTGTCCTGGTGTGGAAGGTACTTGGAATGGCGGATGCAGAGAGGACAGCAAAGGTACGATATCACGTGGGACTATATGGGATTATTACTCAATAGCTAGATGATTTGGATATAGGGAAAGTACATAGAAACAATACGAAAGTTTCTTGGGTTTATTGCGTTATTGATCGTGACTTTAAAATGATGTGACATCTATGTAGTTAGGTACAGTAACATCGGTGCAAAGGGACGAACAACTAGACTAGGCTAAGCGTAGAGTAGAGTAGACTAGACAAATTAGCCCGACTAGTCCTCCAGTCGCGAGCCAGGTGATGTCCCATAGCCAAGGCACAACTAGCGATAAGCTAGAGTCCAAGCGAGTGCGGCTGGACACGGGAAAGAGACGGGATTCATTTAATGAACGTGTCGATTCAGGGCGGGGTTAGAGGTGATATACCAAAACTCGATTCAACCTGTGTCGATTGGAAGGGAGATGAATCAAAATCAGTCCTCTATGACTATTTCGGATCACGATCATCAAGCACAAAGGGAGGAAATGTACTCTGTTAGAGTACGAATGCTTCCAATTTGTCCACAATCAGACTGGACGTGACCGGTGCCTCTCTCTCCCGACGATCTCGAATATCACATCAGGAAATCCCGATTGGCGCGACGCTAGTAGACAATAGCCTCTCCCGTGGCTGATGACCGTGTCCCATCATGCCCCGCACCCACATCACCGGGTGATCTTCCCCCTGTAAGACCTAAGCCGTGACCACAGCCCCTCGAGTCGCTTGACGATTGATTGATTCGCGCGGAATGTTTCCCAATCGCTCCCGGTGGTGCATGAGGCCCGGTTTCTCGGGAGGAGCCTAAGCAGGAACCCCAACTAGGACCGCGGCTGTGGTTTTGGTGTCTTGGAATGGGATGAGGGTGGGGGGCTTTTGGGCATCGAGTTTGGAAGAGTTGGGAGATTGATTGTTTTCTCCTTGGGTATCCTTCTCTTGGCCTTTGGGGGGCCCTTTTTGATTCAGGTCTCGTGGGTTCGGTTCGTTCATGGTCGTTGTGTTGCAGTCGCAGGCTCGGGGATGGTCTGCATGTGAAGGAGTTCGGGTCTACTCTCTATCAAATCCAAACATTGACCCAGGACTAGTAAAAGTTAGCATGAGAATAGAGTCGGGTAGGGGAAGTATATCGGAAATGATCAAGTGGGGTATAGCAAGCGCAGACACAACCAAGCCCAATAAAACAAGATAATCCACCTACCGGAAAGAATCTCCTCCTCCCAAATTCCCATCTGATAATCAACCAATCCGTGCTGTTCCAGCTCGTCGCAAAGCTGAATCAAGTCCTTGCCCATGGCCTCCATTCGATCCCGGCTCAGTAGACTGGTCTGGGGTGATTGGTGACCTGTCGCCACGACATCCTGGGTCAAATCTTTTTGTTTCTGGCAGACGGCTAGCCAGCAGAGATTGAAGTCATTCCAGAGCTGTAAGCGGTCCGGGTACAGCTGATGCTCGTCGCGCAGAATTCCTACGTATCACAAACGCGATTAGTGTCTTTTTCCCCCGTTTCCCCGCCAAAAAATGTCAGATGATGCATGTCTGTAAGCCAGCGAAAAAGAAAAGAAAGGATCAAGAAAATTTCAAAGGGATAGGGTAGAAAAAGACATGGAAGAGTCCATCGTGTGCCGTGGTGGCTCGTCCGTCCACACCATACCCCAAGTATGTAAGTTGTCGAGCATCTCGTAGATGAAACGAAAAGTCACCAAGGCAAAAACTTAATTTCACCAGCGCAATACCACATGTAAACCAGGGAAAACACCAAGAAAACTTTTAATAAAAAACGAGCCGAACCTACCAAGATCCCGTGCGTTAGTGACAAGCCACTCGGAAATTTCCATCAGCGATTCGCTCGCCTCTACCAATCGTCCGGCACGGGTCTGATCAAAAGTGCTCCGCAAAGCACGCTGGTACTGCGCATACGCTTGGTCAAGACTGGAAGGGTCGGTACCAGACTGCTGAGACGGATCAACCTGATGCTGTGGCTGGTCCACAGACGATCCGGTCCCAATGGACGTGAAATCAGCCATCGTAGTCGGAAAAGGAGGTGCATTGCTAGCTTGTGCCATGGGACCGGGTTGATTATATGGCAGCGTATTCAGATATGGCGAGAGTCCGGGGACCCCTGTCCCCGTGGGTTCCTCTGGAAAATATTGTGGAATGGCCATCTGGTTCGACAGGGCTTCAATCGCTGCAGACTGCCGTGTCGAGTATTGTGGGACAACGTCAAAGGGTCCATGAGCTGAACCCTGCTGACTGAAGCCGTACAGCATAGCAGACTCGTACGGAACCAATGGGGTGGTTTCGGCCGCTGCGCGCCGTCGAGATTGTTGCTGTGCTGCCTCTGGGTTGGATTGATGTTGATGTTGCTGCGCGAGATGCGCTTGCACTGAGGCTTGCGAGGAATGTCCCAGTGATGGATGCGGCGCCTGTCGCGGCCGCAAATAGTCGGCCCCAAAGGCCTGTATGTCGTTTGGCTGCAATGAACCGCCGGGGAAAGTGTTGCCTGTGTATCCATAATCGTAGGACATGGTAGCGCGGTCTGGCGCCTGTGAAATCCCCGTTGGGTCTCCACGTGTATGCATGGCTTGTGAGAAGCGATCGGCTGCACGGCCTCGGCCTCTGCTGGCTGCATTGATGGACCGTGCCATTAACCGCTCATTCTGCTTGATGCCTTGATCTCCATCCATCAGGCTATCCCACACGGGCCTGCGTGGATCAAGATCGGCCCAGTGTTTTGGGGACAGCGGTGGGCTTGCGTAGGAGGCCAGCTTGGGAGAGGGAGATGCGGAGATCCTCGTGGGATGGTTTGAGAAAGAATGCAGTTGTTTTTTTTTTCCTTTTTCCTCTTTTTGCCTCTCTCTCTCTCTCTTTGAGATCAGAGAGAAATTGGACAGGAATTGCTCGCGCTCAGTCTGAGATCAGCAAATGTCCTCCTTCGTTGTTATATACTGGCGACTGGCTGTGCGAAACTGAGCAATTGTGTAGCTGATATATGATCTGACTGTGATGAAGCCAGCTGAACACTTCAAGCAATTGGAATATAGAATGTAAACTTGTACGCCGAAGGAACGGACGAAGCAAGTACATATACAAAGCAGAAAAATAAAGTTCAACCTCGACGATCCGGACAACTCTCAATCCATGAGATGTGCAGACTTTAAAGACTGCCGAATCAACCGAATAAAAAGTATGAACAAATATGATGAATCTAATCGGAGAACAAGGCGAGTCAGTAAATACGGATCAATGGCAGGGCGAGACAAGATGACGCTAGTAGAAGAACGGACCAAGAGGGTCCCAGGGCTGGATGGGGGAAAGTAGAAAGTAGAAAGATGGGTCAAGCCAGACAGAGAGGGGCGTCAACTAGCTGGAAAAAAGGAAAGAAAAGTAGGGGAAGGAGGAGGGAGACTACCGTGTAAGGTACAAAATAAAATGGGGAAATTCTCTCGAAAAATCGAAAACAATAATAATAAAAAAAATCAAAACACATACCAGGATTCAGGAACAAGGCGACAAGCCCAAGGGAGCGGATCAAAAGCACGACCTCTTCGTCGGGCTCGTGGTGGACCAGGTACTTGGGTAGTAAGGAAGAAGGGGAGGATAGGATAGGGTGGAGAATGAATTAGATGGAGTACAGTAGTATTAGAGACTATTAGTCCCGTAGGTCACTTTTTCCGTAGGCCCGTACGAAAGTACAGTACTTCCCAATCCCAAGGCTTGGGGAAGGAAGGGCGCTAGAGCGACGATCACATCGATCTACGCCTAAACTCAGTTCGGGTCTGTACGTTGGTGATCGTCCGGGGACCCGGCGCGATGGTTCCTGATGGGGTTTCCGAAAAACAAAAGAGCTAGGGATGATTTACAGAAGGGGCAATTGCAGTCATGACAGGATGACAGATGAGATCGGTAGAGATATAGAGAAGAGAGTAATAATAGGAGGTAATTGAAAGGGGGAATGGCAATGGATAGTCCAAAAGAACAGAAAATAATCGAAACGGATCAAGATCAGGAAAAGGGGAGAAGAGTAGATCGTATACGGAGTGTATATTATTATCGGGGTCTCAGCTCCGGGGGGTCAGGTGTCGCAAGTAGTGTTTTGTCATTATTAGGATTATTATTATTATTATTATTATTATTATTATTATTATTATTATTATTATTATAATCAAGCCCTCTCTTCGTGGTGATTTGAATTTCCATACTTATTTTATTTTGCGATGTGTAACTCTCATGCTTCAAGCTGACGATCTATGGGTGGCGGTGCCCGTCAAGAAGGAGGGCAAGTCGGGTACCAATAGTATCGGGTGGAGTGGACTGGATTTGAGTTAGACAGGGCTACATACGGTAATAGTTAATTTTTGCAATTATCATTATTTATTTGACTTGCCGTCAATCTTAATCATCATTTCTGGATCCTCCATCTTCTTGGTCTAGTCGCCCTAGTTGGCAGGGCGGGAGATCCCCTTGCGCTTCCCGGAAGGGATCAGCACTACATCAACAAAGGTACAAAGGTACTAAGAAGCAATTATGATCTCCCTCCTGTATGGAGAACGCATGTCAACCTCCAGATCCAACCGGCTGGGAGTGGACGGCAGTTTAAATCTAGAGCCGAATTGTGTGGAATTGCCTTCGGCCTGCAAGATCAGAAAGCAAGAAGAGACACAAAAGTAAAATAGAAGCAATAGAAAAATAAATGCACCTTCCAAAGATGCAAGATCAGAATAATAAAGGGGGTGATTCTTATGAGCTAGGGTTTTTATTACTTTGCTTGGTGGCTGCGTGCTGTGTTTCTTCAAACATTCCGCAGCCAGAATTATTGCCCGGACAGCTGCTGGGCGCGTCTTTCGCGGAAACCCCCTTTTCGCGGATATCTACTTGATGAACCATAATAAACGAGGACATAGCTCGAGTCTTCGAGGGAGTTGCAGAGAAGTATGCATATTGTATACTGTATCTAGACCACAGCACTTTGTGAAATTATCGCCCTACATAGTACACCCCCCAACCATTGGACCTTGAGAAGCTGCAATTGTCACATACATAGTACACTTCATACTGTACCATCCTACATGAATCATCTGCGATAAATAAATCGATCAATAAGAGACCATCCAAAAATGAGGCGAAAGAAAATAGATCAAAAAAAATCAGAGACACCCATTGTCAGGTCTCAATCTGCCCGATTGGATGGCCCGATCTGCACCAGCCCTGGGGCCACTATGAGACTGAGTGGACGTAAAGAACTCTCCACTGGGTCCCTGACCAGAGTGGAACCTCGATGCGCGGCTGTCAAAAAAAAAAGTAATAGCGGCCCCCATCCCATGACACTTCTGGCATTTCTGTCATTCTGCCCCCAACTGGATCGATCAATCGGATCCGGCGCTTTGGTTGGGATGGGGACGTGCCGAGGTTTGGGTTAGTTCGGGTGTTAGGTTGGCGGTTAGGTATCCGACGCTGTACCTATTAGGAATTTAGGTGGGTAGGCTTAATTTTTGAGATCTGTTCGATTATGCATGAGCGTATCAGATGATCATTTTGGCAGGGTGGTTGGGTACTTAGTTCCGTGCCTGGTTACTGGGCGCGATACGCGGTGGCTGGTCTAATTTTTAGTATGGTACTTGGTACCTGCTACGTCGTACTTTATGATTGAGGCGCGTGGGGCTTTAGTTTCACGTTTTTCCTTCATATACATTAGTCCTAGTCATGGCTACATGAGACCACATGACCTTGATGGAATGATGGAAACATGGAATAACGGGAGACTGTTCAGGGGCCGCATCAGATTGAGATTAACGTGGCGTGTCAGGTATTATCCCAGGTCATGGAGGTTGTCACTCGGGTTGTACCCGAGACACGACTAGCCATGGTTAAAACATTAGTGAAGAAGCTCAGTGCCCAAGGAATTGGTATCGTCATCGTGTGGATCTTGCGAGTGCCTAGTTAATACTCGGGCAAACATCTTATCCAGCTCGTATATACTTGGATATAGCATGGTGTGACCTCACAATAGACCGATTAGGACATTCTCACGCATGCTGAATACAAAATTCTCCTCTCTTCCTTTATCGTTCCCCTCTCTTCTACCCTCAACCTACCAAATGATGCAATCTGCACAACTCGGGACCCGGCCTGATATCAATCGTCGCTCCGTGCTTTGTGCCCCCTCGGTATACAGCCCGCAACCAGGAGCCCGGTGGTCGGAATGGTAGTTACACCGCGAGGCTGATGAATCATGGCTGATGCGAGCCATTGCCCACTCCCACTCCAGGCCAGTCTCTGACTCGGCACTTTACTGTAGTTGGTCTATTAGCGCTGTCAAGTAAGATGCTTTCATTCAGCTGCCTAGCTGCTATAATCAAACACGATTCTCGGAATCCACATTCACGAACGAACGAACAATGGAACACGAAATAGAAGGTTACTACTGTAAGTGTTAGGTACACTACCCTGTCAGCCACGGGTTTAGGAAAATCGGTCTTTGTCTTTGTTTTACCTTTGCACGAACTGACCTGCGCCCGACCTGCGTAAAAACTCCTGTCAGCTGACGATGACCGATCAGCGCTGCCAAAGATAGGCATTTTCCAAAGGAGGAACAGAGAAAAGAAAAATATAATCGCGATATGCTTCGTTACTCTTTGGTTTCGGTGGTACTACCCTCCCTTCCCGGGACGGGAGTTCGTCCTCCTGTCAGTGCCGGTGGGAGATGCTAGGCGGGTTACTGAGATGGATTGGGATTTGGATTTGGATTATGACGGGCTCCCCGGGCTCTCTGGGTGAAATTGGCATTGGACCACGAGACGTGCAGTCTCGACGGGAAGAGGTTGGCCCGACCTCGGGAGTGTTTCATGATTGTCAAGGGTTTGGATTATTTTGGAGTGAAATGGATGAGGCTGACCCTTAGGTTTTTTGGAGTTTGGGTATTGTTTGGGTACTACAGTATGTCTTCAAGTAGTTTTAAGTTTGGGTCGTTTTTATGATGGGTATTCCTAGCTAATGAGGTACTGAAAGAAACCCTATCTTCATTCGATGTGGAGTTGTATACCTCATGACGTGCAGTCTAGTGGGAATATATATCTTAGGAGATACCTAGGTAGGTGGACGTGACTACCTAGTTCCTGAAAGCAACCCGAAGTTAGGCGACAATGGACAATCTCCAATAGATAGAGAGCGATGTGTTCTAGGTCGAATGGAAGGCCTAGCCTGTGGGCAGCAACTCTAGGATAGATTAGAGGTAGGTAGGTACCTAATGCTAGGGATTTCAGGGCTCTTCACGAGAGACTCGGCTCTCGAGTCCATCAATAGACCCCCAGGACTAGGCAATGCAATCAAACAGCCACTCGCATCCACACGGGAGAATAATCGAGACCAATTCTCTCTCAGTGGAAGTCCCGATGACAAATTCCTCCGTAAGATGGGGGTCATCAAATGAGGCTTGAGATGGGAAGCGTGCACATCTATTTCTTTTCTTAAAAATAATTTCTTCTATCAAATTCCAGTCATGTAAAACCGGCCAGAAGGGGGTAAGTAGACTACATAAGCACACGTCGCGGGTCATAGAAGGTCATGTCATGTCGCACCAAGGCTGGCAGAAATTCAAGGGTACAGCATCAAGTGGAGAATGTAGTGAGAAAGAGAAGAGAGAGAGACAAGGGCTGATGGAAGTACACGTTGCGAGGTGCGAGAAGGTTGCGAGTTGCGCAGCGTGTGGTGGCGCATCTGTACTATACCCAAGCCCAAGCCCCAAGTCCGATTATATTTGATCTGATATAGGATGTTAGTACCCAATCGGCTCAATAGAAGTACCGAAGAACACGGAACCAAGATTGAAGTACGTACTCAGGGTCATGCTCAGGTTGACATCCGTGCTCTCTACCATGTGAGTGAATTCTTCGAAGCTGATCTTGCCATCGCCGTCCCTGTCGGCCTCCATGATGGTCTTGTCCACGATCTGTTGCAGCTGGATGTCCTTCAAGTTGTTGCCCACCATCATCTTGAGCACGATGAACAGCTCGCCGTTGGAGATATAGCCGTCGCGATCGATATCGTAGACTCGGAATGCGAAGCGCAGCTTCTCTTCCTTGTTGCCCTTGGAGCTAAAGGCTGACAGACCAGTCACGAATTCTTGGAAATCGACGTCGCCGCCACCGTCCTCGTCGAAGATGGCAATCATTCTGTTGGATAACCGATATTAGAGTGATGTCCTCATTATACTTCGTCCCTGCGCGGATCTTTTCTCGAAGCGATGGAACGAACCTGGTGGCCAACGGGTTGGAGGAGATCTGGGGCAGGGAAAGGAACTCTTCGCGATCGATCGTGCCCGAAGCATCCTGTTGGAGACGAGTGTGAGTAGATTGTGAGAGAAAACAAAGTCCACTGTGGCTGAGAAGTATTGCGGTACCTTATCGAGCTTCATGAAACGTTTGCGCAGGCGGTCCACCTCATCGCGGTCGACTATTGCGGGGTGTCAGTTCCAGGTTCGGGGGCGGGCTTCCATCAAGCGGTATCCATTGTCGCGACAAGTGAACATACAGTTGGACGTGGAGACGATATTATCGAACAGCTGGGTAGTGCCGACAGAGCCTCGGCGGCGCTGGACATTATGCATGGCAGCGGTGTTGGGCTCGGCGGGTTGGTGTTGGTCCATTTCGGGGGAGAGAGGGGAATGTGAGATGAGAAAGGTAGGGAGGCAATTCCGGTGAAGAGGAGAAAGAGAGGGGGGGAAAGAGGAGAAATGGTTTACGTGAATTTGTGGAGAAGGCAGAAAAAAAATAAGAGAGATAAGAGAAGACCCCGTAGTATCAGATAAGCGGGGGGGGGAAGGGAGAGGGAAGCAAGAAGAGAGGGAAGGACCCAAAACAAGTCCAGAAGCGGAAAGCGCGAGCGGAGAGCTGAGCACCTGATAGACTGCCTTATACCTCAGGCATCATTCCGGGCAAAGTTCAGGCATCAACATGATTCTGATAATGCCCAGCCCCGCACTAACCCGATCCGGACAGGCAAGCGAGCCCCTGAGGCCGTGCGCGCGGCCAAAACAGGCCATCACCGGGTGACATTGCAACGTCAACCCATCCGCTCGCCGAGAACCCCCCCATCTTCCGTCGTCGATATCTCCCCCCCCTTCCATCCATTTTCATCACAAATTTACGACTACGAGAAAGCGCATGACCAGACCTTTCCAGTGATCCCCATTTTACCCACCCCCGCCCATGGTCGTTGCCCTTTTGCGCGTCCCGTCGCTATGACTCGGTACGGGGGCCTGGGCCGGACGCGCCCGAAAAAGCTCACCTCCAAGGCGTCCATCCCCATCGTCCGCGAGCACGAGATCGATGTCGTAGACGATGAGGTCCAGTCTACCCTACAACAGATCGAGACCGGTGTCGAAAAGGCTGAGGAGTCGGTGAGTGTCCCCCCATGAGCCACTTATTTTTAGCCTCATCCCTGCATGTGATCACGTGATTATATCGCCAAAGCGACACGAAATTTTCACGATGCTAACCTCGAGGCGCGCGCCACTTAGGAATTCCACTTGCAAGCCGCGATCAATGCTGCCGCTCAGGGTAAAGACAAGGATGCGCATATTCCCACTCGTGAGGTCATCGTCAGTGAGATTCAGTATGCCAAACTGTACCCCCCAATCTTCTCGCAACCCGCGACCTACATTCGCTTCTCCTCCACTGTGGAGGATTGTTGCGGATGTCCGTACAATATGAACGAGGAAGATGATGCGTGGCTGAAGAATTACAACTCCAAGCGCGACGCTTCCAGTCAGTGCTCCGAGGATGATTTCGAGGCCACCATGAACTTCTTCGAGGAGACTGCCCAAACAAAACAGCCTTTCGCTGCCGTTGATAGTCCTCCCGTTCTCTCCTTTGCCGACATGGCTGAGTCCATGGATGCTGCCGTAGAAGAAAGTGTAAAGCGCTTCTCCAAGGACATCTATGAGCACTGGAAAGTGCGCCGTCTAGCCACGGAGAACCTCTCGCTGGAGCCAATGTTGAAGGTAAGTTTGACCAGCCCTGGCATTCAAGCCGTGAGCAATCACGAAACGAACAATCGCATATACTGACTTTCTTTCACAGTTTGAAACTGGTCAAGATACAGATGATAGTGATCCCTTCGTCTGTTTCCGCCGTCGTGAAGTGCGCCAGATTCGCAAGACTCGTGGTCGCGATGCGCAAAGCGCGGAGAAGCTTCGTCGCCTTCGTAAGGAGCTGGAAGATGCTCGGCAATTGGTTGCATTGGTGCGCCAGCGCGAGGTCGCTCGTAAAGAGATGCTTGGCATGGACCGCACGATATTCATGCAGCGCAACGAGGTCAAGGAGATGAAGCGTAAACTCAACATCAAGGACGATGACGAGGACCTCATCAACCAGAAGGTGAGCATCACAGACTGCCTTGATTCTCGTACATTCGCATATACTGACCCGTCATCACAGCCCAAGAAGAAGGCGATCGAGATGCCTCCTCGCCAACCCAATGCGCCCCAGCTCCGCATGCCTCTCAAACCTGGTCTCCAAGGTGCAGAGGATTTGCAACTGCTGGAGGACGTACAGTCCGAGAAGGAGAACGAGATTCTTCGCGATATCAAGGCAAATATTGCCAAGCATATCAAGTGGAACGAGGGCTTTGTGGATCATACCCGCGCACCACTTTCCCCATCCCCCGAAAGGACATTCGACGCCGCCGCATTCCGTCCTGCCTTCACGGCACAACTCCCCACTCCCCCATCATCAGAGTCTTCGGGCGATGTGATGGAAACCTCATTAGATGTGACCAGTCCACTCTTCTCCAAGGATAAGCTTGCCTCGCGAGCCCTGGAGCTGCATGATGATTCACACCGTATGCCGTCCTTCCGACGCCGAGTCGGACGAGGTGGTCGATTGTTCATTGACCGTCGAAACCTCGTGTCGCACTGTAGAGTCGAACTGGATCCGTTGCAGGCCGATCGCTTCAAGTATGATCAGGAGGATTCCGATGAGGAACCTACCTATGACACGGATGCATACAGCATCCAGATCATGCAGCACCGCGCCATCACAATGGCAAAGGCTCGCGAACAAGCCGCAGTGGCTGCCCAAGCTCATGCGCAGGCGCAAGCACAAGCAGCTCAGCAACGTCGATTGCAGGCCGACCAAGCCGGGAATCCTCAGGGTGCGAATCCTGTCCCCAACGGTGTGACTGCGTCGTCCGAGACATCATAAGCGGTGTCCCTCGTCTGTTCTCTGCAACCCCTTTTTTTGTTTTGATTATTCCCTCCCCGTTTTTTCAGCATTTGGCGGGCGTTTTTCGCGTGGGTTGCTTGTTTTTTTTCCCTTCGTCGCACCTTTTGTCCTTTTTTCCCCATCCTCCTACCACCCTTGTAGTTTTAGTACCACCACCCCCCTTTATGTTCTGACGACCCGCGACGAAGGGATTCGATGGAGCCCGGCTTTTGCTTTGTGTTTTCGCACACCCACCTGCCACTGTCTCGCTCCTCCCCGCACACCTCTTTCATCACAATATCTCTACCCCCGAGGCAGATACCAATGCCGGAGTGGAACGGCGCGCGCATTGGCTGGCTTTTCGCTTTGTGGCGATGGCCCTTCTTGCAGTGCTGTCTCAACCTCCAGGGTATCCTGCATTGTTAGTGTACATATTATTTTTCTTTTTCTTCACCTTTCCTGTTCTGGGGAGGAGCATGGGGGTCATGGAATGGCTCCTTTTTTGTATGATGGATAACCCGAAGTTATGATGCCAGCGACGATGGGGGAGAAGCGGAGATAGGCAGAAAACAAAGACTTCAAAATCTAACAGAAATATAATCATTCGCGAAAACTTTTGGCCGTTCTGGTTCTTGGTAGAGGGTAATCGGGGTCAATTCGATGGTGGGAAGAGAGACATTTGGTATCGTGGTAGGTTGCTCACACGCGTGCAGCCTTGGAGTGTCTGGTATCGGCATCGCCGTTGGCGCTGCGCTTGAGGGATCCGCCGGAGACGAGGGGTTCGAGCATGGCGAGAATAGCCTGCAGAACTTCCTTCTCGCCGATGCGTACCTGCAGAGCCATCTTGTGGCGACGGGCGGATCCATCCAATGAGGCGGGGGCGTTTGGAGGGAGAATGCTGGTGAGGAGTTGCATGTCCTCGCCGAGAGAGCTGCCGTACTGTGCTTGCTTGGTTTGCAGGATCTTGAAGAGAAGACTGGCCTGGTTGCTCTCCATGGCAGGCTTGGGCGGCCTGTTCTTGGAACGGCGCTGTTCAAACTCTTCTGGTGTCAGGGACAAGGTGGTCAGCAGGATGACCAGCTCGGCGGGGATAATGTCCTGCAGAGAAGCGTTGGGTGCTGGCCGAGGAATCACGTAGCCATCGTCCAGAACGTCGTTTTCCTCGAGGAGTTCAAGCTGATGCGATGTTAGCGTTGAGACTTCGGACCAAAAGTGGGGTAGGCAGCGATGTGAATCGAACAATGCAGGGTTGAATACATACCCTAGGCTGGGACTCCACATCGCTGTTTGAGAGGCCTGCTGCCTGGCAGATATCTCGCAGAGGTAGTTCGATGACATCGTACTGGGAGTAGTTGTCTGTGACATAACCGTACCGACGAAGCAGATCCGCGCGGGGGATTTCACCATAGTCATTGAAGATCTCTTCGCCTTCGTGAATTGGTTTGATAGCTTTCATAACCAAACACTCCTCTTCTTGGAAAAGTCGGGCCTGGATAGCATATATTAGTATGAAAGTGATTGCAAAAAGGGGAACGCGGGTTGGCTCACGTTATTCCGGTCCGCATCGGCATTGAGCAAGTCTGCCAGTGGGACCATACCCTTGGGCAACTGCTCATCCTCGTCATCGGTCATGTAGCTCTCATCATTCTCATCGACATCGTCTTCCTCGGTCTCGGACTTTTCAATGTCAAACGCATACGCCATGATCAGCGAGCCCATAATATGAGCCAGCTCAAGTAGAGCGGCAGCACCGGCATCACCCTCATACGAGGCAACACCATTGACAGGTGGGAATAATCCCGGATGAGCCCGAACAATGGGCAAAATCGTCTGCAAGATTGACTCGTCGGCACCTTGTTTCCCAATCTTGTCCACGATAGCACTAGCCTGCAACTGATGCAACTCTTCCTGCGACCAGAACATCAGAGTATCGAAACGCGTGGGCAAGACTTGGAAATAGGCTGCCCATTTTGAATTCGCGCCTTGCGAGTATTCGTAGAGCATGACCAGCATCAGGGAGAGCCAGGGACCGAGAGAGTCCACATCTTGACCGAGCAGGTTCTTCAATTCCGAGTTTTGGACGGCGAGGATGAGATTCCGCGGAATCGAGAAAAGTTCTTCGCCCTCTGGGATGTTGGTACGGGCCACTAGAGGAGTATCATTGTTAGATGGATGTCATTTTTTATAAATGGAGGGTTTGGTAAACACACAGAAGCACAACCCGTTGGGTGGATTTTGTGTGGTGGGTGGGGGGCAAGAATGAAATGCAGATTGTACTTACCGACTCCACGACCGGCACCTGTAGATCTAAGATCTGCCAGGCAGATCTTGGGATTGACCTTGACACCTGTATTTGCTTCAAGCCAAGCGACGAACTGGTCTGACTGGTGTTGGAAGCTCGAGGGGTCAGGGAAGTGGGCGGATGAGGACATTGTACCAAAGCCCCGAACTTGGGGAGACGAGAGGGGCAGGGGAGTGATGGGAAAACAAGATATACAAGAAGACAGCTGTACAAATCTCAATCAGGCTATAACGAATGGCCTTGAGAAGAAAGGAGGGAAGAAAAACCAGGAGCAGGAGGGAAGTGGAGGAAGAAAAGACGAGAGTATGGGAAGTAGAGTCCGAAGTAAAGAAAGTACTTTTGGTTCGGAGAAACGGGAGTGCCGCTTTGAGTGGGCCGATAGGCTGATAACGCAAAAAACCGCCCAACATTCAGACCGATCATATTCTCTAGGTCTGGTGGCCTACTTGCTTCATATTGATCATATTCTTCTCTTCATTCTAGCCGCCATGATTGCCATTGGTATGGAGGGCTCCGCCAACAAGCTTGGTGTGGGCATCATGCTGCATCCCGAGGATGGCAGCCCGCCGCAAGTCCTCGCCAACATTCGGCACACCTACGTTTCCCCACCAGGCGAGGGCTTCTTGCCCAAGGATACTGCGCGTCATCATCGCGCATGGGTGGTTAATCTGGTGAAGAAGTCTCTCAAGGAGGCTCGTGTTTCGGTGGAAGATGTGGACTGCATCTGCTTCACCAAGGGTCCCGGAATGGGTGCCCCGCTACAGAGCGTGGTGGTGGCCGCGCGAATGCTCAGCTTGCTATGGAACAAGCCATTGGTTGGAGTGAACCATTGTGTTGGGCGTACGTCTTGATCTTACCAGTGGAAAACATTATCCGTGGTCGAGTTTCCCAGACTAATTCAATATCTTCATCTTTCTAGACATCGAAATGGGCCGTCTCATTACCGGCGCTACCAACCCAGTCGTCCTATACGTGTCCGGCGGCAACACACAAGTCATCGCCTACAGTTCGCAAAGATACCGCATCTTCGGAGAAACCCTCGATATCGCAGTCGGCAACTGTCTGGATCGCTTCGCGCGCACACTACACATCTCCAACGACCCGTTCCCGGGATATAATATCGAACAACTAGCCAAGCAAGGCAAGCAGCTCGTCGATCTACCATACGTGGTGAAAGGCATGGACGTATCATTCTCGGGACTATTGGCTGCAATTGATGGCCTGGCTGCGCAATGGGGGTTGGACGGCGAAGAAGCCGCAAAGGAGGACGAGAATAAGCAAGGGTCCCAGACTGGAGAGGAACAGATAGTCCCAGAGACGGATGGCAAGCCTACCAGGGCTGATCTGTGCTTCTCTCTCCAAGAGACGGTCTACGCTATGCTGGTTGAGATTACTGAGCGCGCTATGGCGCATGTGGGCTCTAAGCAAGTGTTGATTGTTGGTGGTGTGGGGTCGAATGAACGACTACAGGAGATGATGGGCATTATGGCGCGGGATCGGGGTGGCAGTGTCTATGCGACGGATGAGCGATTCTGCATTGATAATGGTATTATGATTGCACAGGCTGGTATGATGGCATACAAGACGGGCTTCACGACTCCCTTGAAGGAGTCTACCTGCACTCAGCGATTCCGGACGGATGAGGTGTTTGTCAAATGGCGGGATGATTGAAGGCAAAAAAACTAGAACTAAAAATATCACGCATAATGAATCAAGCATATCCAGGTTGAAGGGCATCCTTCAAGACGTTTCGAAGTCAATTAGGGCCCATGAACCCTTTCATCAAACATCAAGGATAAAGAATAGAGTAAAATAACAAAGTATAGAACAGGAGTAATATTTGAAAATGGAAATAAAATACTTTGTAGTCGCCAAGAAAATCCAAATACGCCTACGCGGCCATAACTATGAACCTCGCTTGCATGATCAAAAAAACTCCAGCTCCCATGTAAACCCTCCCACAGATCAAGTATAACAACGCCGTAAACTTCATGCAATATGTGGTCCAAGCCACCTTTCCATCGCAACTTGCCTCCTCTTCTCTCATCCCTGACGGTCATGGGAGAGGTAATCGGGGCCTCGAGACCAGTGTTGGTCGAGTGGCAAGACAGCTGGACATGATGGGCTCATGCTAGGCTAAGCCCCATGCGATCTATTCGATCATGCATCTTTAGACCCCCGGTGAGATCGCTTTATCCCTCGAAGCAGACTTTCGGTGTGCATGCTTCGGGCAGCGCTCACTCGGTAATGTCGCCGGTCGGTTTGTACAAAATCGATGTAACGTACTGCAACACTGTGAGAAAAGAACGAGCCAGGGGAATAACCATCAAATCCTAAGCATACCTTGCGCTTGTATCTGGTCGTAACACTGGTAGCCAGAACACCATTCTTAATGCTGCTCGTCGCCAAGTGATTCAAAACGGTGTGGTTGGGATAGTTCAGAACACTGCTATCATCCTTGGTAGGCGTGTTACTATTGAGAATCGATTTGCCCAGGAACAGCGGCAGACTGGGCGGAGTGGGTGTGTCACTAATGACATTCGCCGCCTGGAGATAAGCAGCACTATCCTCGTCCTTGTCCAAATCAGCGAGGAATTGAGGGATGGCCCGGCCGAAATCGCCAGGAGGCACTTCCTCCTCCGCCTCTTCCTTGTTCGGCTGGTCGTCCGTCGCGTCATCGGCGTGGCCGTCCTTGGAGCTGTCTGGTAGAGTGTGCGAGGGATGAATGCCTGCCGGGATGCTGTCGTGTTCATCGGCGCTGATTTCGATATAGTTGACCAGGTGGTTGGTGAAATCGACTGCAGTAGGGAGAGTATCGGAAGCTCGCATTTCTCCATCAACGATGAACTTGAGGTGGTGTGTACCGGGTCGGAGGTTCAGCGTTGTCGACATGACCGCGCCTTCACCTTCACTGTTCTGATATTAGCTCGTCTACTCCCACAAGTAATCAGAATGCAATTCCCGCTATACAAGCACTCCCATACCTTCTGTGCAGCTTGAACTTCTTCTCCCAATTGACAAAAGTACCAGTGACATAGATCTTCTGACCCGGTCCAGACCACTCAATATAAGTAGGCACCGCCTTCCCAACTCCACTAGTAGCATACGGCTGCAGCTCATCCACAATCTCCTCGCCGTCCAAAGTCGCACTGCTCAAATTGGACGCTCCAGGGTCCATCTGCCCATCCAGAAGCCGATCCGCCGGAAGCGACTGAATATGCGAATCTTCGGGTCCACTGATAGGCGAGCCAGGGGTGGTCGTGGCATCGCCAATGGGCAATGGCATACGCGGGGGCCGTTGCAGATGTGTCGACGCGGTATAGTACGAGCTCAACGGCGGACCCGAAGGTGCCACAGGATCGCGCCCCGCGGCCGGGCGCGCGGTGGGCACCTGCATCGGGTTCGAGTGGTCTTTCGGAGGGGCACTCCGGCCTTGCGCATACTCGGGTCTCCTTCCATCGAGCTTGGGGGTTCTGCTGGCGGCTTTGGTTGGAGAATCGGCTGGGGTTCGTGATTGTAGTCGTTGCTGTACGGAGCCCTGGTAAGCGGCGGAGTGTCCGGCGGCTGTCTCCCTGGAGGCAGAGGGGTCGGCTGCGGTCGCTTTGGGATTCGCGATGGCATTCAACGAGGTGCGACGTACCACCTTGCGCTCGCCGGCGGCATGAGAGATATGGCCGGGTCCATCGCCGGATGGACCTTTGGAAGGGTTGTTGCCCATCGAAGGCGGGGTAGCAGTGGGAGGATTGGGGGGTAGTAGTAGGAGAAAGGGCGTTTGAAGGAGGGAGGGATCAGCCGAAGAGGAGATTGGCGTGAGTGTCGATCAGGCTGACTGCATGAAGGCCGTAGGTCAATAAAAGGAGAGTGAGTTCCCTTTTGCACGAGAAGTTGAGGGTCGAGATGATGACGCCGGACGATCCAATCGGGCTAGGGCTTAGGGTACGGGCGGTGATAACTCGGCTTCCCCGGATTCTGCCCCTTTCCAAGTTGAGCTCAGAGAGCTTGAGAGCTCTAGAGTAAACAAGGCAAGATCTGACTTCCTGATGGATGAAAGTCCTGCCGTGACGGGCTTTCTGTCTTTTTTGAGTGCCCTCTTTGGGGTACTGACCGTGTTGTTTTCATATACCTGGTCTTTCCTCTACTCTCTCCTTTATTTGCTGGCGTCGCCCCTGGTTTACCTCGGCCATGTCCTGCTCTCCATCGCCCTATTCCCTTTACAGATTCTGCTGAAATTTGAAGTAAGTTATTAGCCCAGAGAACTTGATAAGCCCTTTATAGTTATATGTATTACCATACTTACTGAATACTAGGCATTCCTGACATTCGTGACGGGCGCAATCATCACCGGAGCCACTGTAGGCCTCTGCCTATATTTCGCTGGAGACTCATTGTCCCAACTTCTCCGTCTACAACCATCAAATGAAAAAGCAATTTCAACTGAATTGACAGAGCCCAAAAACTCACAGTTTGACTGGGAGTCTAAAATTTTCATGTCGTCGACAATCTTAGAGGAGGAGGAGAACAGCCATGACAGTCAGGACTCTAGGTAATGAATACAGAATTATGATCATCAATATGACCCACGAACACCGAAGTAACTTTCATCATTTTCTCAATCCCTCGAGTATAACTGTTGCTCGCTCTTCTCGGACTTGAATAGCAAGAAAAGGAAGATGCATTCATAAATTGTGATGTCCTATATTAAACAAAGCTATGAGAACAAATGGCTACAGTCTCTGCTGCTGAAAAGAAAAAAACCGAAAGCCCAGCCATCACCTATTACCCTAAGCACTAAGAGTCAACCCATTCGTAATATTCCCAAATGTCGCAAACCACAAATCAGAAAAGTAATTCGTCCGGCCCATCCACGGTCGCAAAGACGCAGCTCTAGGCACACTTTGAGCATGCTTGATATAATTCGAGGTGAGATCCAGCAATGGACGTGGTTCCAAATTTGACGAGTCTTTGAGAGTGGGACAAGCCACTGTATAGCCCTTGCGTTCCATGAGTTTAAGCAGTCGGCAGATGGAGGACATGCTCGCATCAGCGCCTAGCGTCCAAGATGCGTTGGTGTATCCAAGCATGATAGCCGCATTAGGCATGTCCTGTAGCATGAAGCCGTTCCACATATGTTTCTCGGAAGGATCTATCTTTTCTCCATTCACGATGATGGGGATGCCTCCCACGAATTGTATCTTGAGTCCGGTTGCAGTGACGATGGTGTCGGCGGACAATTTCTTGCCTGATTTCAATTGGATACCATCCGAGTCCACGGTTTCAATATACCCAGTCTCAACGTGGGCCTTTCCAGATCGTAAAGCTGCGAAGAAGTCGCCATTCGGGGATACGCAAAGTCGCTGTTCCCACGGGTTGTAGCGAGGCTTGAAATTTGGACTCAATGGGTATCCAGGCGGAAGGTGCTTCAGAAGCCCTTTTTGGAACATATTCCTCGCTGCGTTGGGATATGTTTTACAGAAAGCGAAGAGCACCCGATCAAAAACGAGATTTTTCAGTCGATTGATGTAGTAGTAGATCATGGTTGGTAGTATCCGGCTCAACCAACCTCCGTTGTATCGATTCATGACTACTGCAAGGTAGGAAGGACTTCGCTGGAGCATCGTCACGCTATCAGCCTTCTCTGCGAGTTTGGGGACGAGTGTCACGGCAGTAGCGCCGCTGCCGATGACGACAATGTTTTTGTCCGTGTAGTCAAAGTCTTCGGGCCAGAACTGAGGATGAATCACGTTTCCTTTGAAATTCTCAATTCCGGGAATCTCTGCGGCCAGCGGCTCGTTATAGTCGTAGTAACCCGTTCCAAAGATGAGGAATTTCGCAGTGTATTGGAACTGGGAGCCATCGTGTTGAATGTTGACCGTCCAGCTGCGTTGATCCCATTCGACGGAGAGAACTCGATGTTGAAACAGAACGTGAGGACTGATACTGTGTGTTGTCATGGCATCTTGGAGATATGCCAGGATGTCCTTTCCCTCGCCAATGGGGTTTGATCGATTCCAGGGATACCATGAAAAGCCAAAGGTGTAGAGGTCCGAGTCGGATCGGATCCCTGGGTAGCGGAATAGATCCCAGGTGCCGCCAATACGGTCGCGTGCTTCCAAGATCGCATATCGATACTGGGGAAATGACTGTCGTAAGCGATATGCGGCGTTGATTCCGGATATACCGGCGCCAATGATCAAGACGTCGAAGGATGTCTCGTCACTGGTAACGAGTGTGCCGGCCATTGTTGGTTGCTCTGTTGCATGGGACGGATTGTTCTTTATTAATATTTCCAAGCCAAGTTGTCAAAAGTTGGATAGCAAGGTAAGCAAGTGCAAAGTTGGTGGGTATAAAAGCTGACGGTGGCCAGATCTGGGAATGAGCGCGAGAGTGGAGAGATACTTGTAAGGGGGCTGGCTGAGGCAACAGTCAGACGGCGGGTTCGGTACGGTCGTATTAATGATGCGAATGCCCTCTGCTGAGTATCGATTGTATATAGACGTATTTAAGTTGAATTTTGGGCTCTGCAGATATCCGAACCCCGCGAAAGCAGTTGGATTAATTGATGCCTCGGCTGGTGGTTGATGTATCTTTGTTCGAAATCCAACGACGCAAGGCGTCTCTTCGCGGTGGATTTTACCCGAAGGAGCATCAATTCCCCGCACAGACCGATGGACGCGTCAAAGAGTGAGACCCTGTCGCATTTGGAATAATAATATAGTTAATCAATAAGAAAGTCATGTAAGCCGAGGTGGTTACCCGGTTAAGAAAAGAGGGGAAACTGACCATTGAGCTGGTTGGTGGCTTTTCCAAACATCCCCTATTCCCCATCCTCCCAGCGTCTGGTATTAAGGCCACCATGTTTCAACAAAGCCGGCTGATCTGACTTGCTCTTCTAGCTCCTTGAGTATCTACTGGTCAAGGCGCTCTCATCTTACTCCTCGAGTGATTTATCTGTAATCTCTTGAGATTTCTTTTCGTCGCTATTGGTGATCAAAACGTACCCCATTCAAGCTAGATCACTACAAAATGTCTTTGAGCAAGGTTGTCTCGGAAGTATTCCAGGCCCTTTTCGATAAGTTGCCTCCGCAGGTACAGCGAGTTATACTTCTTCCATCTGTCAGAAAGGGCCTGGCATTTTTGGCCGCATGGAAAACTCTCGGCGTCATCAATAGCTACATTTCCTACCAAGCGCAGAACAACTGGATTCGACTGGGTCCTTGGGATCCTAGCAAAGAGATCGTGGTTCTCACCGGTGGTTGCAGTGGGATCGGAAAGCAGATTCTGGAAGATTTGACAAAGTTGAAAGTGAAAGTCATCATCTTAGACGTGCAAGATCCAACTTTTGAACTGCGTATGTCGACCCATCATACTTCTACGAATGGGACAGCGACTGACCCTCGATCACAGCGTCAAATACCTTCTTCTATCGCGCTGATATCACATCTTCTTCCGTTGTAAAGGAAGTTGGAGATCAAATTCGCAAAGAACATGGCAACCCTACCATTCTGATTAACAACGCAGGTGTTGGGTCTGGAGACACCATTCTGGATATGCCCGAAGAACGTATCCGCCTTACTATGGAGGTCAATACTCTTTCTCACTATTGGACGGTGAAAGAGTTCCTTCCATCTATGGTCCAGAACAATCACGGCCACATCATCACCGTGGCAAGCATCGCAAGCTTCGTTGCTATTGGAGAGTTGGGTGCCTATGCCGGTTCAAAGGCAGCCGCTCTTGCTTTCCACGAGACTCTCACTCAGGAACTGCGGCATTGGTACAAGGCAGAGAAGGTCCGAACAAGGTTTGTTTTCAAATCTCTGGGATTTTGCTAGAGAAACCATACTAATCATGGTGAAATAGTGTTATTCATCCCTTCTGGGTGCGGACACCCTTGATTGACGGTCTCATCAAGGCAGGCAAGCACTTCAAGGCCCCTATTATGAGCCCGAAGGACGTTTCGTCTGCTATCGTCAAGCAGATTGTCACCCAAAGTGGCGGTCAAGTCATCATCCCGAAAGGCCATAGCTCGGCATCATTGCTTCGTGGTCTTCCCAGCTGGATGCAAGAGCGAGTGAGAAACAAGGGCTCCTCGCAGCTCGTGAAGCTCCGCGAATTGCAGGCGGCTTTTGCTGCTGAAAAAGCCACTGTGGCATAGGCAATCAGCCTCTGTACTTAGTTTGAAGGGTGGATTATGTAAGAGCTTTGTTTTGCGCTGGGTTGGGGCAGGTGAGAACTACTAATATCATCAATATAAGATACATCTATTTTGAGCTTGAAACATGTAAGATCTGCTTCTCTTAGGATCTGGAAAAGCTGATAATACAACTGAACTTGAAATATTACCCAAACTATGAAAGCGTGTTTAAAGCAACAGGAAAGGTAGTGGGGTTCACCATTACTCAACCATAACGGACGATTAATCGCAAGACATGCCTAGAGAGGCTGTGGAGAGCCATTCCGAAACTCAGGCCTACATCGCAATTCCGAGGTTCAACCGTATGTATAAGTTCTACCGAGATGCCGAATAGGTATACCTTTAGATCGCCCCAGAGTTAACCAAAATAACCAAAATTTGGGGATGCGGGGAAGTTAGTTGGAGCCCCAGGCCATATTTTACCCAATTAGGAAATAAGCCTCCGACTAGGCTTAGCTAAGCCGATCATTGTGGACTGCTTGGGTATACTGATTTCCCCTTTCTTTTGATTTCAGCCTTCAGTCGGCTTTGTAATGATTGTGCGACACAAAGCAGGAATACCATCAAGCTGGTCAAGAACACTGACAGTCCAGAATTCCTCGCGAAATCCGAACTCAACATCTCAACCAGCTCGGCCTCGGCTGTGACACAAAGTACACCGATTCGACACTGCTCTACGCATCCAATAGAAGCTTGAAAAAAGCTCCGACATGAAATATGCCGACCTCTCGATCGTGTGACCAATGTTATGCGCAGAAGAAGAAATGTCAACGAGAGAAAGACCTAGCCAAGTGCATCCGATGTGCCCACCTTGCTCTGGACTGCTCGACGGCTCGATATTCCCGTCCTCCAGGCCGGCCCGCGCGATCTAAACTTCTTGGTCCTGCTGCAGAGATCCAAGTGTGGGCCTCACAGGAACGGTCGTCTTCGAAAACATCTAGTTCACCAAATACGGATGTTCAGGGCGTGTCTCCACATTCGCAGAGTGCTTCGACCGATACCACTTCAGAACAAGAGCCTTTGGTGATTGATCATATCAACAGCTCAGTCGGCCATGGCGTTCAATCGAAACTACCCGATATTCTCCAAGAACTTGGAAGAAATCAAGAACCAAGCACGCCAGCGCCAGAACCCACGGATGAGGAGTTTTACGAGTTGAACGACATCTTCATGATCGGCCCAAGCTTCACCAAAACCTTTCGCCAAGCTTTGAATTATTCCTACCTGAAAGCCCCTCATATCCTAAGAGATATGTTCTCCGTGATGATCAGATATATGACAAACACTATGAAGCCGAATACTACTGCGCCGGCCCATGCAGAGATCGCCGAGGCTGCACATCTTCTGCGGAAATATCAGGTCACAGAGATATCCAATGATAACGACGCCTTGGCTGTACTTGTACTCGGTCAGAGCCTAGCTGCATTGGACACATTCATGGTCTCTACAGGATCAATGCTCATCCTGCGGCATTCACTATATCTGGTCAAACCGTGGTATCCGCAGCTGGCTCAGGTGGAATTCCTAGACTCGGTCACTGTGACTCCGATATTTTGGGAGATACTCGAATGTCTGATCAAGCGGGAGAGGCCAATAATTCGACCAAGAATTCATCGACCTCACGTTGTTGATCGGCTGTTCGGATTATGTGTGTCCCTGATGCCAATACTTTACGATCTGTGCGAAGTGAGCCACGAAATGAAGGTCCAATCTCAACCGCAAAGCCAGAAACTAGATATCATCGAGCAACAAGTCCTTTCATGGACTCCCGCTGAACCACCTCTCCAGTTCTCAAGATTCACCGACACCGAGATCATGCTACTGCGAGTTCAAGCTTCCATCTACCGATCTGCCACCCTACTACTCATACATCGCGTCAAGTACCCACTATCCTGTCAAGATGGGATTGCCGTGTCGTATGCAAACGATATCATGGAAGAAAAGGATAAGATTCTTCTGCACGGTGGGCCCGATCTGAAGCTTCAATTTGGATGTTTCCCTCTGTACTTGGCCCTACTTGAGATTCCGTTGCGGCCAGAGAGTCTTTGGAAGAGTCTGACGAAGCTTTCTTACCGTCCAGCGTGTGCCGAACAGTTCTTTGCCTTTCACCGATATTTCTGGCAGCGAAGGTGGGACGGTTTCAAGGGTTCTCTATTTGATCTTATTGATAACGGACCCACGTTCATGGCTGTGCCGTGAGTCTACACGAATTTCAATGACTTATGAGGACTTGTATACACTCTTCTCCGCGAATATCATTGCAAAGGCCCCGTCCTGGGGCTGACTGACAAGATATGGCTTTCTATTAATCAAGTTTCCATCCTCCAAGGATCTGCCGAACCTTTGAGCAATTGCCATGATAAGCAAATGCGCTGTAGTTCGCTGTTAACTCACCAAAGCTGATCATACATTCAGATTGGTAGAAGGCAATCCTTTGGTACCTGTAATTATCTTCAACTACCTACGGTCACATCTCTCAAACCTAGCCCCCAAATAACCCCTTAAAGATGCGACATCAAAGTCAACCTTTGCAGCCTGACTCCAGCAGGACTTTTCCCCTAGGCCCGATCAATGTCCTGTGATAACTCGAGGGTAACCTTCCGGTTAAGTCGGAGGCGTATCTGCAGTCTGTAGGCACAAGCCACGCGCCTCAGGGGTATCTTCACGGTTCCTTCCCAGATATCGGGGTAATCTGTAGTTCGTTTCAACCCAAATCATGCACGCGTGATCATACTTGCCGCCCGCACTTTACTATCATGAGCGCGCTCGTAATGCCACAGTACCACCACTTATGCAAGCCAGGTAGCCATGAATGTCACCCCGCGGAGTTCGGGACCATGGACTTGGAGTGTATGGGAGATTAGCGTTTCCGCGACCAAGTGCTAATTCCTAAATGGGAAACCCCTTCAAGGTTATAATGTACGTGATGGGCAGGCCTTGTCCGAGGTGGGGTTCCAACCAGTCCAGTAGATGTATGAGCTAATGGGTGATTAAATTATTCAAAGGCTCATAGGTCGTTTCGGTCATTCTCTGGGGATAAGCAATCTCGCTGGATCTGGCGAATAGAACAGATCTTCTTATGTTTCATGGCACACACTAGCCTCGGATCTACTTAGGTTGAGCGGGGTGGCCTTACCAAAGAGGCATAGCGGGAGTTCTTGTCGGATGCCTCCGACGATTTTCTGTAAGGGTTCCATGACAATTCTTGAGCTTTGTTCCTAATACTTTTGGAAGTACTGTTAGATTCCAACTTTTACTATGGCAGCAATATTCAGATGATATGGAACTAGGCTTAGGGGTTTTGTCACAATCGTTCTGTTGGGAGGATGAATTTTGGCGTATCTATCCGTCGTTTTGAGAACTAACTACAGCCAAGAAGATATCCATAGAGATTAATGCAATGGATTATTCCTACCTCTTCACCGAGTGGTACTGCAAGGCTATACGAAAACGCCATCGGTCTCTGCAACCTTAAATCCCTGCAGAGTTTCAGGTTAATAGTATCCGAATTGCATGCGCGGCTAGGCATTATGTGCATACTAGCAGGTTCGGGACTTGATTACCAGCACAAGCCTTGGTTAGGCTATGTGGCTGATTTGAGGCCCGACTCAAGGTGTTTAACTCTATAGCATGAAGTGAAGATTTCAGCAATGTAGGCCCAAGGTCGAATAAAGACGAATATTTCTATCAAGACAAGGGTTCAAACACTTCTCTCCTTCTTCATAGAATCTAAATAGATACACCTAGTCTTTCAGAACCTCACTTTTTGAGTAGAATTGCATCAAGAGCGTGTCGAGGGTTGCACCTTCGGGAGATCATACCTTCTAGATACACTAACCACGTTCTGGGCGCGTGGCTCCGTGCCATGTTCCAATCAACTTGTGGTTCCTACATTCTCACAGCTATCCTGGGTAAATGGCTCTTGACAGGGGTCGTAGTTTAGAACAGGTCTTTGGTTATCTGTCTTGTTCGGAAACGAGGGCATTCACACCCTGCAAGGCAATCTTGACCCATGATTCCGTGCCGGTGATTCTACTTTATCAAATAGCATTGTCACCCTCATCGGACGTTGTATTTGTCTTCGTCATGAGAAGCCTTTCCCGCCAAACGCATAGGACTTAGCGACGTTGCATGAATTCAAAAAGCCACCCGATATTGTGACCCACACTATGCAGCGCCTTTCCATCGTCGTCTTCTTCGATGTGCAGCGCATTTCCAATCTACCATGATGAAACGTATCGAAGTAGAATATCTCAAGTATAAGTAAGGCGGAATCCTTCGCTTCTTAGGCTTTCTTTCTATTCCTATTCATGGGCTCCAACTCAGCTTCAATCCTTTGAATCCTTGAAGGATCTTTCCATTCATTGCTCACATTCACATTCCTTCCAATTACAATTCTATTCACTCATTGAAAGTCACACACCCCAAGATCTATACAAATTTACCAACATGTACTTTTCTACCATTTTTACTGGTGTGAGCGTCTTAGCTACCGCTGTGTCGGCTGTGCCTCACAGACTCCACACTCGAGCCTCCGGTGGCCAGAATGTTGTGTACTGGGGCCAAGACAATAACGTCCAACCTTTGTCCAACTACTGCACTTCTTCTTCTGGAATTGACATTATCGTTCTTTCATTCTTGTATGAATACGGAAATGGCAACACTATTGCATCGGGTACCATCGGAAACCAATGCTATATCTCGCCTGCCGGTGTTCCCCAGAACTGTGACGGCCTGGCAACTGATATCGAGACTTGCAAGTCCAACGGAATCAAAGTTATACTATCCCTCGGGGGTGCAGCTGGCGCCTACTCCCTTTCCTCCCAGGCCGAGGCTGAGACTATTGGTCAAAATCTATGGGACGCATACGGCAACACCGCTGGCAACTCCAACGTTCCTCGGCCATTTGGCAAAACTTTTGTCAACGGCTGGGACATGGATATCGAAGCATATAGTGGAAATCAATACTATCAGTATCTCTTGTCCACCTTGCGATCTAACTTTGCATCTGACTCCTCGAACACCTACTACATCACGGGAGCACCACAATGTCCCATCCCGGAACCCAACATGCAAGTGATCGTCACTAACGCCAAATTTGACTACCTGTGGGTCCAATTTTACAACAACCCTGGGTGCTCAGTAAACGGGGACATCAATTTCAATGATTGGGTATCGAATGTGGCCAATACTGCCTCGGCCGGTGCAAAGATATTCATCGGCGTTCCTGCATCCCCTCTTGCTGCTACGGGCACATCGAGCGGTTCGCAATACTACCTCGACCCTAACTCGCTGGCAACACTCGTTAATCAGTATAAGAGTAACTCTGCTTTTGGTGGTGTGATGATGTGGTCCGCTGGTTATTCGGACTCGAATGTTAACAATGGCTGCACTTATGCCCAGGAGGCTAAGAGTATCCTTACCAACGGCTCCGCCTGTTGAGCCATCACCTCATACAACTGTGACCTGCGAGAGAACATATCTTGAACATTCATTCTTCAATTCACAGTATCTATTGAAATTTTTATCTTTTGACTCAATCTTGTCGGTCATTACAAGCCTTGGATGAGTTTTGAGTCTATCATTCGTTGTTTACTTCTATTTTGCGGAAGGAAAGATGATAGCTGGATCTATCGCTTTTCTTTCGATTTGTCAGACAATTTAACCACTCGTTTCTTGCATTCAAAATATCCGGTTGATTCTTTATCTCTATCGGTCGCTACATGTTTAAGGTGAAGCCCAGGTCTGTCTTTACTCTTCGCTGTTTTCCTTGCTTCCGGGGGAATATGATGGCTGGATCTATCATTTTCCCTCAAATATGTCAGCAATACTACTCTTCGTTACTATCCTGCATAGAAATTTTCTACGTAGGCTACATTAGCCAGGGTAGAAAAAACGCTATGGCCTAGTAGTGTTGTCCCCTGACTTCATAGTCCCGCTGACCATAACCTCCGCAGGCAGTGGTGTCATAGTCAATACTACTCAAATAATACAGCCCGATGATGACCATATGACCGTCACCTCAGACTAAAGTTACGAGTTCTACATTTCTCTTCGACTCGAAATTTACAACTAACAGCCCTTTGTTCCATCCAATCTTTCTAGAATGATTACAAAATTGGATAATTGAAGAATTCTAATCGCATGATTACTGCGCCAATATTCATAAACTCGCATTTCTTCACCTTCCTTACCTCAGATTATCTCGGCTCAAACAGTCTGAGCAAATAATCAGTCTTCTAGATACAATCCTCTCGAAAAACAATCATCTCGACGTCAGGCTGACTAGCACCTAACCAATCCTAAAGAGATGTGAATATTTCCGAACTTCCGGTAGTGTACGAGGCAGGTGGTACAAGCTCGCACCTCGACAATGTCTACCGTAGATTGTTTATCTCTCATAAAGACCGCCCATTCTATGAAAATATCACGAGGTTACTCGGACATCCGATCTTCGTTTTCCTTCTATTTTCAAGTTTTACGATGTTGAAGCTTTCTACCATCGGAGCTTGGATTGGAGTGACTATCACCGCCCTCGCTGGAGCAGACAAGTATTTGCCTCCATACTTTGAAGACTTAACATGGGAAGCACCGAGATCTCTCTCAAACTGGTCTAATTTGACGGTCGAAACCCGGACTGGGACGTTTATCGGTATTCTCAATGATACGTATCCCGACGTACGCCAATTTTTGCGCGTTCCTTTCGCACAAGTAAGTATTCACCCCAGACATTTCTGAAAATTTATCTTACAGGTTTGATCCGTGCAAGCCACCTGTCGGTGATCTCCGTTGGATGCCCCCGCAAAAGCTTCCCACTTCGCGCAGAAAATTTGATGCCACATTTTATGGTCCCGGTATGATGCACATAAACGCTTCGCATGAGCCTTGGCTTATAATTTCGCGTTTCTTCTCAGCTTGCCCGCAATACGTCCAGCGAGAAGACTCGTTCTGGAAGGACTACGAGCCAGGAAGTTTCGTGGTCAACCTCGGGGAGAACCTAACGCAGGGCTCAGTGGCCTGGTCTTCGGCCGAAGACTGCTTGTCTATCGCGATATGGACCCCTGCTTCGGCCAAAAACACGTCCAAAATTCCGGTGACATTATTCGCGACGGGTGGTGCTGGAGTTGAAGGGGGAATTAGGATCCCTGCTCATCTACCAACGCAGTGGGTGTCTCGTTCTCAGGAACATATCGCGATTACTATGAACTACAGAGTGAATATCTTTGGAAGTAAGTGTATTTTACAAGGTGATTTATAATATCAGTGATTCTGATGTCGTCTGTAGACCCCAAATCTAGGGCTCTTAAAGAGACCTCCCTCAGCTTGTTGGATATGAGGGCCGCGGTTGAGTGGATTCACGAGAATATTGAGGCCTTTGGCGGAGATCCTGACAATATCTTCGTAAGTCTGGATATCAAATTATATTGCTGATATATTAGTCTCTAGCAAATACTAATAAGATCGCACAGCTTTGGGGTCAATCGCAAGGAGGTGCCTTAACCCACCTTTACACTCTTGCATTCCCAGATGACCCCCTCGTGGCAAGTTATGGTATCATCTCACAAGAACCTGGAACAACTCTTGATCTCTCTACCACAGATGATCCATATCTGGACTTTGACATCGTTGCTAAGGCTCTTGGCTGCAACTACGGCGATGATGCCGAAGCAGAGCTCAATTGCATGCGCATGCTTTCTTGGGTGCAGATTGAGGAGTATATCAATCGCTATCAAGGCACGACACCAATATCGTTTATGCAGTATATTCGTGAGTTCAGTTGATTTGAGATATTAGGATTAGACATTGTTGACCAGTATCAAAACAGCGGATGAAAGATACATCTTCTCCAATGAGACTTTGCGTTATCTGGAAGGCAAGGTAGCCAAAGGTCCCGCTATCCGCTCTTTTGCTGCTCGTGAGATTGCAGCAGGCAACAATATCACATCCTCGCAAGAGAACGCACGCCAGTGGGTCTGTCTCGCGGCTTCGGACACTGCTCTGCGCTTTTCCCAGGGCCTCGATACATATCGATACTTCTGGGCGGGTAAGCTATCGCCAAGTAACCCAATTGATTAACTAAAGGATATCCTAACGATACTGTAGGCAATTTCACAAACATCAGCCCGGTCCCTTGGCTGGGAGCCTTTCACTACTCTGATCTACTCATGATCTTCGGCACCTACATGAAGAATGTCGGGAAAATTTCCCAACTCGAGATAGACACTTCCAACGCCATGCAAGACTACCTTCTTGCTTTTATCAAGGACCCTTCCACAGTCTCGCAGATGGTTGACTGGCCGTTGTTCGACCCTACAGCGTCAGATGGGGGTCTCATTATCGAGTTTGGCAAGGATGTTCCTGCGAAGAATATCACTGGGCTCTACTTGGATGGGGGCTGTTACAATCCTTCTATTCCATTCCGAGTGGATGGATAAGCGTAAAAGGACAAGACGGTTTGAAGAGGTCTCTTATGGGTTCCTACGGATTGTTTCGTGCCAGGTGTCCGCTTCTAAGGAATTATAAAGCAAGGTTTTTAGCTGATCTGGTACGAGCTCCAAAGTGGAAGAACGGATATCGGTATTACATTGGAGTCAAGTGAGGAGATGGAAATTCGTGAGAAATTCAGAAACGTAACGTACATCTAGATTGATGAAACCTAGCGCCAATAGTCTGGTACAACTTGGAATGCATACAGCATCAATTCGTCTAACGAGTCTCTCCAGGGGATACCAAACCCTCGCATCAAAGGAAATCGACAGTTCATAATACAAAAAAGTGTAAATGGCAGGCCGGGGACATGATAGAACGGCACAACGCCCAGACGCCTTGCGAATTGGAAAAAGAGGAAAGAAAATGAAACACGTAATAGATCCTTTTTATTGTCTTTTTTTTTCGTCATTCTTCAAATTTCCGCTTAACACCATTCCCATTAGCAGGAGGTGGCGGACCGCGGGGCTTCCCTTCGGAACCCATTGCTTGACGCTTTTTCCACGCGGCCTTGATGGCAGGCGCAAGACGAATGAGATCGTCCTCGGTGACACGATCCTCGATACTCTCGAGAACCTTTTCCACCGTTGAGATGTGGTTCGCGTCTGCCTTATCGTCACGGACACGGTAGAATCGCCAGCGCTGCTGCGGATCTTTGTAGCATTCAACAATTGAATCATCCAGCGGGACGCGCATGGCTTTCAAATCGTCCCATTCTGTGGGAGTAACGTACATCTCGCCGAAATGGCGATACTCGTTACTGTTGAGCATTGTGAAAAGGTGACAGATCGGGATGGCGTCATAATCTGGGTATGGTTCGGTGACGCCGTCGGCTTCGTCGTCGCTATCTGGTTCCAGGACTGGGAATTCCAGGCGCATGCGGAAGTCGATCGTGTTCTCCGCGGGTGGTTTCCATTTAAGGATGTGTTCGTCCGTGCCAATGCGGTAGGGTGTGCTGCGACAGGTGAAAATGAGACCGTCGTTTCCGTGAATGCGCTTGACTTTAGGGATGATATCGCGGAACATCATCTCGATGCCGTAGCTGAACTGTGTAGACTTGTCTTCGACGGCGAAGGCGCGATGTTGTTTCTCTTCCGGGAACTTGCGGTACATCGCATTGTATGGCCTAAGTACCTTCTCCTTGAAGTATGCGAGCCGCTTGTCGAGGGTACGATGCATGAGGCTCTGTCCATCTAGCACCAAGCAGTCGAAGACGAGGTACTTGAGCTGCTGTGTGCCGTCCTCGTAGGTGTCATTGACCAATTCGCCATCCACCAGCGTGTCAACATGATAAGATTGGAAGGTTTCGTCATCCGGTAGCGGGAAGTGTAGGCCAGGAACGAAACGATAGTCGTTCTTGCGGTCGATCAGGTAATGGATCTCGGGTGAGTCGGAGTCGGGATCACCGCGCGCAAAGTACATCAAGCAGCGGATTCCGTCCGTCTTTTCGCAGACAAAATAGTCTTCTTTCTGCAGCTCCGTCAGGTGTTTTGCCGAGAAGCTGACAGGTTGCGCACCGGGGAAGTTGAGATTATTTCGGCCGAGGAGGTTCGCGACTTCGCGACGGAACGAGTCTGCGAGATCGGGCTCAGCCTTGATTCCGATCGCGTCGAGGTCGGGGACCGCGTGGCTCATGGTGGGTGTCGCGGAGGTGAAGGAGAAGGAAGAGATGTAAGGGGATCAAGTCGATTTGCGAGGTATTTAAGGTCGAGGAGGGTGATTCGAGGAGGGTGAGTTGTGCTTGCAGAGCTCGATGCGAGATGAAATCAGAACCGGAAACCTCCAGCAACACAAATGAGAAGGGGAGAGCGAGCTTTTGAGGAGATGAAACGGTATGTCAGCTCTATCGAGCTTCAATATCAGGCTGTCTTCATGTTTGATGGGCTCAAAGACGATCGGCGGAGCTCGAAGCAGCGAGGACCCTATGCCTGAGGCATGGCAGCCTCATGTAATCGGGGGCATCGTATCTGGCACGTGACGATAAGCCAAATTTCCATTTCTGGACTTTCTCCACCAAATTTCCACCGAATTTTTGGAATTCTGAATGTCCCGCAGCTGTTTTAGCGAGGCTTGGTCATTCTGAATTGCCAATTGTAATCCCTGAATACTAAATAGGTACAGAATACCTGGTTTTGGAGTTATCATTCAACTAAGCTTTTGTTTTGCTTCATAATGTCAAATTCTCTGAATTATTATATCAACCAGCTCGCTTAACTCAGTTGGTAGAGTGCGTGACTAGTAATCACGAAGTCGCTAGTTCAAATCTGGCAGTGAGCATTTTTTGGCTTTTTTGTCTACTCCGGAGTAGACACGGTCGAATTGAGTCTTTGCAAAATCGACCTGACCTCTGCTCTTAATGTTGGCACTCTCGTGTGTCCGCTGGGAGTCTAGCAGCGTATTTTTGGATGGGTAAGAGCCGATAGCTAGTTATAAACATATGAAATTGTGACTAATTGCATGGATTAGAAGATTTTCTAAGCCAGTATTCGGCGAGCTTTGAGGTGGTCTTACAGCTTGGATCTCCTTTCCATATTCAATCTACCTCTATTTCTGAGGCGAATAAGTTCGGCCCGGCTTATCGCCCTAGGGAGGATAAAAACCAATCTGGTGGTCCCGTTGTTATCTAGCTAAGTTCTCTAAATAAGGTCGGATTAAATGTCATGCTCGGCACATTTTATGGCAAAAAGCAAGTGCTGGAACGGTATACGGATACAGACACGTAGAACCTTTCCGGGGTTAAGATTGGAGTCTACGTGGAAGAGATACAGATCCATAAATGTGAAGCGGTGCTCCATACCAGGTGTAAATTGTATTATTTATAAAATAATCTGAAGACCCCCTGGGATTGCTTATTTTCTGAACCCTAGGTCGATCTATTGCTTAGGCCTCCAAGTTCCTTGTCTATCTAAATCTTAATTGCCTACTCTCATGTCTACACTCTCTAACCAAAGGATCGCCAATCTTCCAAGGATGCATTCGCGCTGCATAGTTGAAATTTTGGAAAAATTCACCGTATTTAACAGGGAGGTTACTATGCATCATATTGAGGTAGTATTGATATGGTAACTGAGATACATATGGATTTATTGATCGCCAAGTGGGGATATTGGCGATCTCTTGGCTGGATCTCCTGTGATGCGCAGCAATTAATGGGATAGACGATTCAGATGACAACCCGTTCGATAGAATGCAAACATATTACATGTCATAAGGTTTGTGGGCTCGTTGGCGTTGCTCAGGCCCAAAAGCCCTCCGCTCTTTGAGATTGACTGACTGCTAGCGTGTCCCTATTCAGCTAAAAGCCTAAAACTAGGTATGAAAAAGGCAAATACAAGAATATGTAGGGCACGCAGGTGTTGGCCTCCTCGAACTGGAAGGATAGGTCTACGTATTTACTAAATGTGTTGAATATCATAAACTCGGAAGCAAAGGTTACGCAGGATCATGATATTTGTGGACTTATCCAGTGATTACGTTGGAATTTATAGGCTGGTACAGTATTGACTAAAAAGGGATAATGAAAGGGGCGGGTGTACCTCCATAGATCATCAAAGTGACCTATGTTCTAATCCAGGTGAGTAACAATATATATCCCAACATCCGCCCCGGCACCCGACACAAAACCCAAACCTTCCACTGTAGCTCTAGCCACTATCGCCCCAACAAGAAGTGAAGAAATAGACATCAAATTTCGACGTCCAAGAATAAAGGCCAGCTACTATTTCGTACATCAATCCCTCTACAGAATAACATATCATACTCAACACCAAGCCGAGGTTGACCAGCTCAACATGACCATAAACCTGGCCAGGGGAATCCTACAGACCAAATCAATACCAACTACCTAATTATCTAACAAGGACCGGTAGATAGAAAAAAAAGAGAAAGACATTCTCAAAATTAAAACTAAAACATGAAGAAGAAACAATGCTCTATCATCAAGTTCCTGCAACAAAATAAGAAAAGACAAAAAATGCTCACTGCCAGATTTGAACTAGCGACTTCGTGATTACTAGTCACGCACTCTACCAACTGAGTTAAGCGAGCTGGTTGATATAGTAATCTTCAGAATTTGACAATATGAAGGAGTACAATAGTATCTGACTTATTTAATAGGCATCGTCGCCCGAGGACAACTGGGAAGATCTTATCTCGGTGTAGCACAAGACAACAGCCATATTCATTCCGAACAAGAAATTCCCGGCTCATGACGTACTTGAAGATCTACGCTAGATTAGCTCGATTCGAGTTATTATTGAAAATTGCATTTGCATTCATTCCACTAAGCACTATGTCCAGTGCATCAACTACCGGGGGTATCATATCATCACCTAACCAAATGAAACCAGCCTGTTCCCACCGTGAGCCCGAAAAGCATATCCAAGGCATATCCAACCCGCACGAACAAGAAAGTAGGAAGGAATGAAGAGAGATGCTGTATGCATAGCACCACACAGCCTTAACGCCAGCATCGCAGTGGGAACAAGGCCGAAGAGAAACCAAAAGCAGAAACGCCAAAGATAGTCATAACGTCGTCAACCCGCATAAAGCCCAGTAATTTCACAGTCGAACGGGGTATTCAAGGATTCCCCTCGCTAGGCAGCCGCAACAGGTGTCTTGCGAGTCCCCTGTACAGGCGTCTGCCTAGACGCATCACCCGCGGAAACATCTCCCGCTTCACCGGACGGAAGCACAGGTGAAGAAGACGTGTTCAAGTCCGTATCAAAGGGTTGAAACATACTCCCACCGAATAAAGGTTGATTCTCGTCCGTGGAGAATAATCCGGCACCGCCACGGCCGCCGATAGCGTGCAGCATTTGTTCTTTGATGCGGACGATGCGGTATTTGGATTTTGTGCTGATGAGGGTGTGATCTGAGAGGGCTTTTGGTGTTGAGCGGGCGATTGCTGCCATGACGGTATCTCGTTCTTCGTCCGAGTCGATGGGTCCGTTGGTGTCGATGTCTTCGGGAAGAGGGGCGTTGGCGTCGATTGCGGCTCCTACGAAAGGTGTTTGTTAGATCGGCTGCGAAAAGATGTGCGGGCGGATAGAATAAAACACTCACTTTGCTGCTTGGCCTGGTTCTTCTTCTGATACTGCTGCAGCAACATATCATATGGCAGCGACCGACCAGGCACAGCACGTTTCGCACCCATGGAATGACTCTTGCATGTCAACGAGCGCGCACACTGCGCTCCATTAGGAAGAGTCACGCCGCACTGCTTCTCAACGTCAACTGGACCCTTGGGCTTCGCAGCCTTAGCCTTGGGCTCATCCTTCTTCTTCTTTTTCTTAGGCTCCTTGTTATCGTCCTCATCGGCCTTGCGCTTCTTGCCCTTCTTCGTGGCATCGTCGGTAGTCCCCTTCACCGCACTCTTCTTGGCACTCTTCTGGCCCTTCATTGCGTCGTCGCCGTCTAGTTTATCGCGTAGGTCATCGTCGTCTTTGCCGTCGGTGTTTTTGGCGCGGTTGGCTGCGTCGCGTGCTTCTTTCTTCTTGCGCGCTTTCTCTTGTTTAGCCTTGAGGCAGCCGCGAATGTGTTCTGGGGCGGTGGATTTGAGGATAGGGCGCTTGCAGTGCTTGCAAATGACTGTTTCGAGGAGGTCTTCCTCGCGAGGTTTGCCCGTTGGGAATGAGGCTGCGACTTTGTCGTCTAGTTTAGGGAGAGGGGAGGAAGTTGGCGAAGAGTCGATAGGGCCATCTTTGGAATCTAGATTCAATCAGTCCGAGTTTCGAAGAACATATCTGATGTATTCGGAGACAGTACCGTCTGCTTTCTTCTTTGTGGATGCTTTGGAGGTCTTCTTAACCTTCATCTTGCCCGGCTTGGTATCCTTCTCCGTGAATTTGTAGCCCGATGCATCGACCAAGCTACCGGATGCTATATAAGATGAAATATCATTAGCAGTCTGTAACATCGCAAGCTCAAGACCCTCGGCGCAGATGACACGCTCGCTGGTCCCCGGTCGCGGGTTCCTGGCAACTGTATTAAGTGGCAAGCTTACCTCGACCAGCATCACCGTTTGTCGCCATGATGGGCGGAGATCTGGGTTATCCCTGACACAGTTGCACACTCTCTGGCACGCTCGTCGAAAATCGGATCAGGCCAGAGGAGATGTGTTGAGTTCGTGGTGCCTTTCGTCTCCGGAATCAAAAGGTCGGGGGCTCCGCATCGGGGTCGGGTCACGTGCCAGGGTTGGGCGAAGACAGAAGTACGTTGACGAAGAGGGTCGGATATCGGTCTTTCAAAAGACTGAATAGTAAGTATGGATTGAAATGAGTTGTTTATTTGTTCATCTGACAATACCGCAACAGTTTCACAGAATAAGGTATACAAGTTGTATGGGTGTAAATAGGCTACAAGAACAACGCTAAAATACAATAATAGTACAAGACTCTCCAACGACTCTCAATGTTTCAGCCTAGTGAAACAAAGACTACTATTCGTCCCTCCAAAGCCAAAACTATTCGTCAAGGCAACATCAATCGTTCGAGACTGCGGCTCATTCGGTGCATAGTTGCAGTCGAATCCATCCGCCAGCCGGTCCAAATTGATAGTAGGCGGCATAATATTCTGGACCTCGTCAGCAGATACTCACTAGAGATCTCTAGGATATAAAAGAGACCGGGGTCTCAGTATGACTCACATTATGAATAGCCATCACACTAAACACAGCCTCCACCGCTCCAGCACCACCAAGCAAATGTCCCACGGCACCCTTAGTGCTACTGACATTCACATCTGCGGCTTTCTGCCTACCTTCCGGTCCAAGAAGGAGAGCCTTAATTGCTGCATTCTCGGCAGCATCACCGATGATAGTCGAGGTTGCGTGTGCATTGACATAGTCGACCGCGCTGGGTGGTATTTGGGCTTGCTTGAGGGCCTTTTTCATAGCCATGTATGCACCCTCACCGTTTTCCTTGGGGGCGGTCATGTGGTGGGAATCTGCTGAGCAGCCGTAGCCGCTTAGTTCAGCATAGATATGGGCGCCTCGGGCGCGAGCGTGTTCGAGTTCCTGTAGACGTATGAGAATTGGAACAGAACAAAAAGGAGGAAGATCATCTATCAATCCCCGTGGGTACGTACCTCTAGAACCAGCATACCTGCACCCTCGCCAACAACGAAACCCTTTCGGTCTGCATCAAACGGCCTTGACGCTTTCTCGGGGTTATCGTTGAAATCCGTGGCAAGACTGCGGGCACGAGCGAACCCGCCAATAGCTAGAGGGTGAATACAAGACTCGCCGCCGCCGGCAACCATGACATCGGCATCGCCGCAGGCAATGAATCGTGATGCGTCGCCGATGGAATGGGCACCCGTCGTGCAAGCCGTTGTTGCGGCGTGATTAGGGCCCTGGAGGAGTTAACGTGGAACACTTGGATTGAATAGGGCTGCGCTGCTGGGGTGAACATACCATGAATCCATATCTCATGGAGATATGCCCAGCACCAAGATTGATTAATAGCCTTGGGACGAATAGAGGATTGACTTTTTTGTAGCCCTATATTCGATTAGCCATGAATCGTCTTGTCGGATGAGAATGAAACTCACCCCTTGTTCATACGCAACGACAGTGTCGTATATCTCGTCGAAATTGCCAATGCCCGAGCCAAGACAGACACCCTGTGATAGAAGAGGTCAACAACGATTCCCACCGAAGCACACTCATTCCTCAATACTCTCATACCGTAGCCTCTTTCTGCTCAGGTGTAATCGCCTTCCAACCGGCATCTTCAAGAGCCTCTTCCGCAGCAGCCATAGCATACTGTGCGAACTTGGCCATTACACGTTCATCCTAGACAAAGCAGCGTTAGCATATATACCACAATACTCAACTTGCAATCCCAACTTGAAATCTCAAGTTGGAAAATCTCAGCTTAAGATAATCAACATACCCTACGATCCATCCACTCCGACGCCGTCCACGCCCCATCTTCCTTCTTTCCCTGAGGCACGACAGCAGCAATCTGCGAGGGAATCTCTCGAAAGCGCTCATCGCGCGAAACCACATTGACGATACCGCAATGTCCTTCTAGGAGACGTTTCCATGTTCGCCGTACACCTATCGGGAAGATGTATTAGCATAGACATTATATCGCATAGTCCCTAACGAATCCATTCGTAAGGGCATCCCCCTTGCCAGATTTCCAATCTTGCAGATTGAATTCTTGTAGATTGTTGTACCCCCGCGGACCCCGAGACGGAGCCCCATCTCCAAAATGCCGTCATTGGCTGTCAAGACCTTCCCCTTCCGGCGTGGCAGGTGGAGACCCGCACCGTTCTTTTGTGTGAGGAGAAAAGGAACTGGGTCTGGGTAGGTTGTCCGGGGGGTAGTTTGGGTGATTTAGAACTTGGGATTGTTCGGAGAGGAGCGGAAGCTCCGATGACAAGTACAGTTCTGTACGTAGTAGGGTACAGTGGATTGAGGTGTATGGAAGAGTGTGGTTGTGAGTAACTTACCCACGCCGAGGGGAGTAACCGCGCCCAGACCGGTCACGACGACGCGACGCATGGCATTGAGGGGTGGTGAATGACTGGAGGATAATTGGATGGATCGGGTATGATGCTTGAGATGGAGTACAGTAGTAGTATGTACCCAGAGATAGAGTACAGAGCTCTGTACTGCTCAGAGTCGAAAAGGAAGGCAAAAGCGGAGAGTCGCCAAGAAGGGAAAGTCTGCACGATTTTCGAGGGCGGGGCGACTCCAGCAGAATTACTATGGACAGTACAGTACTGTGGTTATCTGCTGGTCTTTCCCTTTAGATACAGAGGAACAGAAGACAAAAATGTCCACTGCCAATAAGATGATCACTCTCTCGATCCAATCATCCAGTTCTTCTCCAAACCAGTGCTGATTAGGAAGTTCGGCGGAGAAGCCAAGCTCTTTTCTTCTCCATACTTCTATACCCTTACTACAGACTACTCTGCCGAGTACTGTAGTTTGGAACTATTTAACTACTTCTCCCCTCTACTTCCGTTCCTTTCCTTTCCTTTCTTTCTTCTCCAGTCTCTCCTCCACAATTCATCCAGCCATGCCCGCCTGGAAGTCTCTACTGAGCGTCCTGGCTCTGGCCGGCACCGCAGTATCCTGCGCCCACCACGGCGACGCCGAAGTCGTCCCCGAACATGAGCGCGAAGAGCTTCTTAAGAAGTGGGATCAAGAGGTGAATACCCCCTTCCTAACACTCAATCCCATTCCTCCATCTTATCGCATATCTAATTTCTAAACCACCATGGCTTCGTAGTGGTCCTTCTCCGGAATATCAACCTTCGCCCACCTTCGCCCCGTAAAATGTCTCATCGAACCCACCGAAAACTACGACATCGCCATCATCGGCGCCCCCTTCGACACAGCCGTCTCCTACCGACCAGGCGCCCGCTTCGGGCCCCGCGCCATCCGCGCCGCCAGCGCCCGCCAAATGTCGGGAACCAGCTACAACACGCGCGCGGGGATAAACCCGTACAAATCCTGGGCCAAGATCACCGACTGCGGCGACATCCCAATCACCCCCTTCGACAACGGGCTGGCCGAGAGACAGATGTACGAGGCGTTTCTGGAACTGGGCTCGCGCAAGATTGTCAACGCGCCGGGTGGCATTGCGGGTGCGGGCGTGGGCGCGCGCCATCCCAAGCTTGTTACGCTGGGCGGGGATCATAGTGTTGCGTTGCCGGCGCTGAGGGCGTTGTATCAGATTTATCGGAAGCCGATTACGGTGCTGCATTTCGATGCGCATCTTGATACGTGGAATCCTGTGCGGTACTCGGCTTATTGGCAGAGTGAGCAGACCCAGTTTAATCATGGGAGTTTCTTCCATAAGGCGAGTCGCGAGGGGTTGATTTGTAATTCGACCTCTGCGCATGCTGGATTGCGCACGCGTTTGACTGGTGTGGATGATGGGGATTATACCACTGCTGGACCCGAGCAGGGCTTTATTCGGATTCATGCGGATGATATTGATGAGTTGGGTCCGATGGGTGTGGTGGATGCGATTATGCAGCGTATTGGCATGGATCCTGAGCAGCCGGTTTATTTGTCTGTGGATATTGATGTGTTGGATCCTTCGACTGCCCCCGGAACTGGTACTCCCGAGCCTGGTGGTTGGACCACTCGTGAGTTTATTCGCATTCTGCGTGGACTGGAGAAGTTGAATCTCGTTGGTGCCGATATTGTCGAGGTTTCGCCTGCCTATGATAACAAGGGCGAGACTACTGCGTTGGCTGCGGCCCAGGTCGCCTTTGAGATTATTACCAGCATGGTCAAGTCTGGTGTTGATGAGGAGCTGGGCGGCTGGTATGGACGTCGTGAGGATGGTTCGGGTGGTGTTGGTGTTGTTGAGGTGGAGACTGCTGCCAAGGATGAGCTGTAAATGGGATAAAGGGCATTGTATATACGAGACTCATGACTGTAGATTGAAGAGAATGATGATATGAATGATACGAAGCCAGTGCATTGCCTTGTATGATCTAAAGGTTGTATGTGGCAGTCCAAGCAGAGCTTTGTCTGTATAGATCGACAAAGGCAGTTGTCCGTCTACAGCCATGACTAGCCGAGAGCAGCCGCTCCATCTAGCCACTACGAGCATCCGACTTCATGGTATTACGACAAAGAACCATAATAAAACCTATCCATTGGTCGACAGTCCTGTCTGCAGCGTTCTAAAATCTCAAAGGATTGCCTTGTCACCAAGCAAGAAACACGCGAGCACAATCTCGACGCAGATAACAACCCTTCCAGGACAAAGCACGATGATGCTGTATTGAATGGGACACGGAGCGAGTACTCGCCAAGGCATAGAGATCACATTCGAGTCCGGCAGTAGAATCAGAAAACGCCACTGAAAAGAAGAGAGCAGGAACAAGACCAAAAAAGGGCAAGCACTAGACAATTTTTGAAGATCCACCAGGTCCATCCACGACGGAGCAGAATCAAAGAAAAAGAAAGCACACGCAAATCGGAAGAAAGAGTAGTAGATTGATGATAAGAATAAAGCAAGGTAATAAAGGACGGGAAATCATCGGCCAGCCAAAAACACGACGCCCTGACGTCCAACGCCGAGAGAGACGATGAAAGAGGTGAACAGCATTGTGGGTGCGGGGAAGATGCGGGGAACAACGAGGGGGAATCGATGTGCGAAAGAAGTCGGACGTGATCTGGGGGAAGAAGGACACGAGAAAGGAGGAGGATGGATAAACTCGCGGTCGCTTTATCGATTCGAAGGAGTGGATGGAATTGCGCGGAGATGCTTGGGGAAGGGTGGAGGAAGCACGTCGCCGGAGAAAGTAGGATATTGAGTTCGAGATTTGTTAATCCGCGTATCGAAGGATAGGCGATTGACACGAAGTCAAGGAGAGAAGATGGAAGAAAGGGGGGATAGAAGGAAGGCAAGCCGGAAGAACGAGGAGGAACTGGGAGAGATCTGGTCGAAGGGGAAAGAGAGAAATTCCCGAGGGCCAAAAAATGGAGCTATCGAGGATGAGCAGAGCAGGAAGCAAAGCTGAGAGAAATACCATAGAAATCATGGCGTGGAACTCGAATCCAGATTCGGATCGAGACGCTTCAGATAGCAAACGCTAGCTCATAACAAAGAAGTTCCCCCCCTTTTTTTTTCTTCTTTCTCCCGGATATCCCAGTAAACATAGTCCAGCCAAGTAATTTGCCTCCCAAAATAAAGTGAGAAAATAAAGAAAACAAAACAAAAATTCATTCCGTCGTATCTGGATTTTGCGACGAAGCGCGAACGGTCAACGAGCTGGTTTCTAGCTAGCAGCTTCATGGCCAGCCACCGGAGATCGGACCAACCTGTGAAAAATGTACGGGGGAGTGGATCACAGCAGGCGACAGCCCCTTGACTTCTTCTTGGGCGCGGGCTCGAGGGCAGCCACGATAGCCTAAAGTGGAGAGAAAGACGAGTTAGCGGTGAGCAGCAAAACCAAGTGGAGGAGATCCCGCGACCACGGGGATGAGAGCGGTGATGGTTCAACCGGCAGCTTTTGTCTTTGTGCAAAGATTGAAGAGTAGGGCGAATTGACATACCTCGTCAAAGACATCCTTCAGCTTGTACTGCGTCAGAGCAGAGCACTCCACATATTTAACCGCACCGAGGTCCTTGGCCATCCGGTCACCGTCCTCCTTTCGAATCGGCTGCATCTTCTGGCGAGCGAGCTTCTCCCGAACACCGGGGTCATCGCGCAAATCGGTCTGAGTGCCGACGATCAAGCAGGGCACACCGGGGCAGTGGTGGTGCACCTCGGGGAACCACTTTTCCCGTACGTTCTCAAAGGAGGCCGGGGAAGTGACGGAGAAGCAGACCAAAAAGACATCAGTCTGAGGGTAGGACAACGGGCGCAGGCGATCGTAATCCTCCTGACCGGCAGTATCGAAGAGACCGAGAGTGTAGGGCTCATCGCCGATCCTATTTTTTCCCCCCAAAGCGGACAAAGGTCAGGACGCGATATTCTTCGATGGGGTATCTCGGGCGGTAGTTTTTCTCTCTCTTTCTCTTCCTGGTAGGGAACCCGGTGGAACACGACTTACATCACGGTCACGGCGTAGTTGTCAAAGACGGTGGGGACATATTCGGAGGGGAACTTGTTGGTTGTGTAGGAGATGAGCAAGCAAGTCTTACCCACGGCACCGTCACCGACCACGACACACCTAGAAGAAGGGATTGGTGGTTAGCTTTAGCTGGGAGAAGCAGGGGGGAGGAAGATCGCGGTTGGATGCTTTTGAGGTGGTCATCATGTTGCGACCTCGGGGTCAGGAGGGGGGTAAAAAGGGCGATCAGGTAACGGGAGCAAAAAGAGGGGGGGGGAGGAGAGGGGAGGAGAGGACGATACTTGATGGTAGCGACAACCATTTTTTGGTCTTTGGAGGTAGAATGAACCGGATGTAATGAGGAGGAGAGTGGGGGAGAGAGAGAGAGAAAGGAGGAGGAGAGTCAAGGTGGTGGAAGAAAGGTCCCAAGGTTAGAAGGTTGGAGGTGCAGCGGCAGCGGCAGAGCGGCAGCGGTGGAGGAAAAAGGTGGGCCAGACAGACGCAGAGACCAGCAGAAGAGAAGAAAGAGGGAGAAAGTGGATTGGACTGGAGAAGATTGTGACTGGCCAGTGGACAAAGTCCCAAAGAGGAGAGGTGGGAAGCCCCCGTCGGGTTCAACTGGTTCAAATAACTGGGGCTGGTCTAGACAAATTTCAGGTTTGAGATGAGTATAGTCATGCTCGATAGTTAGTTATACATAGCAATGGCAATACTAGTAGGATTAGAATTGTTATCTTATTATACTGTACTCTACAATACATTCCTTATTATCCTCCCTACTATAAGTACACCAAGAATGCTACTTTATTATAAGTAGTGCAACATCCCCGGATCCTGCCAAGATCCGGTATTAACGTATTAACGTATTAACTATAAATATTCTCCAGCATAGCTTCATCCTGGTTCATAATTGCAGGATCAAAAATGGAGCTCCTCCCCCATCTCCCTCGATGTGATGGCCGCCTGCCGTCGGCTAAGCGCTGTGATCCACAAAGAACCGAATAAGATGGATCATTGGGGGATGATTACAAGTACTTTTTTGCATCCTCGTATACTCTACTCCTATCAATCCCGAATCTCGTGGTAAAGTTCTAACAAGGAAAAAGCAAATCAGTTGATTACATAGTTAACTAGAATTGCGTCTTCTCTTTCGAAATGAAATGAAAAAGACCGCAATTGTATTCATAATTACCCAGCTATACTCGATTCGTTCTCGGAGTATTTAATCTGATGGAAATGCTCCCGCCCGTTGAGAGCTTAGCTATACCAACGTATATAACTAACTAACACTGCTTATTATAATACTACAACTCTCTATTTCACATGTTCTACAACACAAATTACTCTCTACTCCATACAAACTTCAAAGCTCTCCCCACAAACCCAAATCAAATTAAATCTCCCTCGATCCTCCAAAGTTCAAACTCCGCCCAAGCCCCTGAATGACGAAACCCCCTATTCACTTCTTCCAGAAGCCCGCCCCCAAGGACTCTAATCAAGCCACCACCACTACCTGTGGCACCCGTGAAACGGGAAATACACGATCTTGTCACGGGCCGGTTGAGAGGTGCTAGCGCGCTAATTCCCGTTTTCCCCGTTTAACCCCTGACTTGGAGATAGGAGGACGGATGTACATGTATGAATCGTAGTTGGGGGAAGTAGCTTGTGCTGAGGGTTTTCGTAATTGAGCGACTTTTCGTAAGGTGTGGCTCTGTTAGAGAAAATGTGAAACTGACAAGTATACCTGTTGTGGCTAAGATATCGTCGTTCATCTCGTAGACATAGCTAGCGGAGTGTACCTTATCTTGTACCTTCACCTCGTACTTAATACCCCGAAGCTTATACTTTGTACCTGTACCTCCCTATCATCTCAAAACTAGCAGATGCAACGCTACTCTATTTACTCTTATCTACACCTATCTCGACTTGTACCCCTCAGAATACTAAGTACCTCCTTTGTACTGTATACATCTGTACAACATCGCCCCTAGAAGCCTCGGATAGTCAAGTATATACGAGTTAGGTACTTTCCACATTCCAGTACCCATAATCAGGTACACTCCCACCTACACCCCCGTCTCCTTGGCAGGGCCCTTGACCACCCACACGCCCTAGAAATTAGAACCAAATGCAGGCCTTGCCCCACGACTTCGTTGACGGGGTCGGGCCTTCACCGTCCGGCCTTGCATGCAGATGGATGCAGGTACATGCATCTGGAAGCTGACTTGGTTCCCCGATTTAGTTTTAGTTTTAGTTCTAGACTTAGACTTAGGCTTGCGGTTGGCATAGGGTTGGGCTTGTAGGTAGGTGTGTATTGTTGGAGACGGTAATTTGAAAATCTTGGTAGAGAGTGTATTGTCGTTCAATTACGTGGTGAGTTCTGATCGCGTAGGGCGGGTACGATATATTCAGACTGTTTAGTCTGAGGAATATGTCTGACCTCTAGTTGGATGAGTCTAGGTGGAAATTGGGTAGTCTTGCAGGTATGACATATGACAGCTGGACGGTGTTGATAACTTAGTCCAGACCAGAATAGGCCGGACCTCACTTGATTCGAGGCAATCGAGTATACATGTGAGCCCAGCGGGTAAAGAAGTGTACTTTGCGAAGCATTACACGTTTTAATAACACTTCCTTGGTAACAAAGATCTAGAAGATGATAGCTCAAATTGACCAGATGGATATAATGCCCTGCCTTGTTGTCAACCCCGCAAGGTAAATAACACTTCTGCATATAATCCTGGCATGACCGCCTTAATTGGAATATCGACACTCTCGGCTCTCGGCGCGGCCAAAATCGCAATTCTATTTTTCGAAGGGCGTCTAGAACATCTTTCCCGTCTGACTGCATTCTACATGCAGATAATAACCTGCCCGGGCTCTCCATGGAAATCAGGAACGGATACGTGCAGAGAGAAGGGAGTTGGAATGTTCTAGGTACTGCCTATACCCGGCTGTCATCTGTATGGAAAGGAAAGGATTGAACACGGGGTTTATGATCTTGTCATGTCTCGTTTCACTCTGTAGTCCAGCCAAGCAGGAAAATCTATAAAACCAACTGTAAAAGATGAAGAGAGCTAAAACTACCGGACCTCCTTATCACAATCTCGGGTACATGCGTCTACAAATCAAGAATGAAAATGCTGGATGCAGGGGGTAATAGATGAAAGAGCAAAGGTACAGAAAATGCAGACTCGAGGGCCCGTTGAAACAAGAACAAGTAAATCGGTAGATCGAATCGAATCGTGTCGGCTCGAAGATCAGAAGAAATCAATGCTGACAAAATCAAAATATATACGGAGAAGACTCGCATAAAAATGGTAGAAATCAAACGCCAAATTGCTGTGTTATCGAAATGCAATATGCAATGAAACATGTCACGCAAAAGATGTTGATAGATCGAAGAAAATGAAACGTATAAATGCAGGTCGTAATATCGTGGCACTCATATCTGGCGGCTGTAGAAATCCATAAAGGGTGGTGGATGTCTAGGTCCGCTTGTGGTGTGTGTCATCAGAGTCTGATTCCCCCTCGGCGGGGAGTGGGATGTTGGAATCGTGGTCGGCATTGCTCTTCGGGCTCATCTGTGACGGTTAGTATCGTCCCCACACTCTTATATCACTTGCGGACTGGAAGTGTCAATAACTCACGTTGTCCAGTTTATAATTCTCCATAATCAAACTGAGCGGGATGAGTGGTAGCGTCACGAGAAGAGCTAGTATCAGGAGCCGGTTCATGGTCTCCTGGTAAGAACGATTGATTGCATCGCGTGTCGGCGATCCCGGTGGGTACGATAGCGCCTTGGTCAACTTGCCAAAGATCTCGCCTGCCTCGGACTTGGTTTCGTCTGGTAGGTACTGCATTAGTTTCTTTGGGATAAAGGTTGACCAGATCGCGCCCGAGATGGCGGCTCCCACGGCGCCGCCCATCTCCATCGAGGTGAGGAACATTGCAGTCGCGGCTGCGACTTCTTGGTGGCTTGCGGATGCTTGCACACCCAGTTGAACGGGTACGTTGAGTAGGCCACCGCCGCAGCCGACCATGATCTGTGCGCCGAGGACTTGAGCGTGGGAGGCACCTTCGCCTCGGCAGAGGAGCATAAATGCCAGGCCCATCATGTAAATCACGCAGCCGATGGTGACGAAGACGCGGTATCGTCGGGTATATTTAATGAGGAGAGAGACGGTGAATGCAGCGATGGTCGAGGTGAAAGCGAAGGTTTGGGTGACGCGGCCAGCGGTGGCGACGTCGTATCCTTGGACAACCTGGAGATAAGAGTAGAGGTATGGTTGGACGGAGAAGTAGAAAGCCACTGCGAAGGAGGTTAGCAAACCTTTTTGAGCATCGTATGAAAACATCACGACTACACTTACTAAAGTACCAGAACGCCAACGCGCAGCCCGCGAGAGCAGTTCGTTGACGCAAAAGGTGCAAAGAAAGCAAAGGCTTCGGTGCCATTCTCTTCGAGCCCTCCCAGAAGGGCAGGATAAACAAGCAGACCACACCGAAAACCATCATGCCAATGATACTGGGACTTCCCCATCCATTCTTCGAATGGGCCGCCAGAGTCAGCGGCACCAGAATCAAGGTGACCGCGGCAGACAGCAAGGTCAGCCCACCAACATCCAAATCATACCAGGTTCGTTTCGCGATGCCGAGGAAGCTCTGCTTCCGCTTGTTCCGAGACGACTTGATCAGATTCAAACGTCGAGCCTTGCGCTGGTTCAACAACAGCGACATCGCGAGCGGCAGGAAAGCTGCAGGCAGAATGATCGCCCACATGCCGTAACCCCATCGCCACGAGGATGATCGCAGCACCGCATCGGCAATGGTCGGACCGAGCCAGACAGTCACCAAAAAGGGGAACTCTGGCAGCAAAGCCAAAAAGGCACGATTAAGCAAGTCACTGCTATCGGCGATGAATACTTGCTGGAGAATCTGCAAGCCCGTGGAACCGGCAGAGTAGAAGATCTGGGCCGACGCGTAGGTTTGAACGTTTGTCGATGCGGCCATCTGTATATAACCCAGGATGTAAATCAAGATACTGACACAAAAGGCTTCGAAGCGACCGAATACATCGGCAACTTTGGCCATGGGTGGCTTAATAACGGCTGATTTCATCAAGTTAGTGGGCTGTTTTTGTGGTGGTGGTGGACTCGGGGGACTCTGTGCGTGTGCGACCCCGCAGTGAAACTCACCATTGACGACATTCTGGACGACGAGGACTGTCGAGATTAATGAATGTTTGCTGAATGCACTTGTAGCGTATGCCGATAATGACATGACTGTCTGACCCTCTAATGACGTGCAAAAGGCCATGAGGAATATACTTGATGCAAGTCAGTTTTGTGAAGAATAGGTAAAGCGCCGCTGCAAGCCACACTTACCTGACATAGGCGATAATCAAGGAACGCGTCGTCCATGTCATATTAATCGCCTCGATTTTCAAAACACCTGCTTGTGCCTCATCGGGGGTCTCGAGACTGCTGAGATCGCCCTCAGTCTCATACCCATTCTGGAGTAATTGATCCCGTTCTTCGTCCATGTTGCTATTGTCATCCCGTTGTTCTATAGCACCGTAGGAAGGACCGGAGCGAGGATCGAGAAGGGGCATCTCCACAGCCTGGAGGGGCGCGCACGCACACAGTAATGTCTGGCGGGGGAAAAAAGAGCGATCACAGAGCGTAAGAATGAACAGGCGAGTCCATATGTCCAAAAGGAAAGGAGGGAAATCAAGAGACAAGTCGAATCCTCGAATGCGAAAAGTTGGACCAGTGAGATAGTAGGGACAGTAGAATGGTGATCTCGATCAGTAAGGAAGAACCGATATCCGGACCATCAAAAATAGTTCATGCAACATGGGTGTGACGGGCGGCGGGCATATCACCATAAAAAAGGGGAGCAAAGTCCTGTTGTTTGACTAACCACCGCTTGGGCACCGTCTACTCCCAGTAGGATTTTGGGGGGATTTTCTTTGGGGGCGGCCTGAACCGGTCAGATCCACCTCGAGAGAGGGAGAGAGCTGAAGAAGAGAAGGGAAAAAAAAGAAAAACACAAAATACGGCCGCCAACAAATCAGCGGGGCCGATCAGGAGAATAATAAGCAAATGAACGCATGAAACATCGGCGAAAAGGGAGACGGATGAGGCACAGTGCAGCAGTGATGCTGTCGAAAAGGGATCGGGGCAAGCGCGGTAGTCGAGAAACCCATGAAAAGGTATGCTTTGAACAAGCCGGTTTTCTCGGCAGCGGGGTGGGCGGATGGGTAGATCCGTGTCTTTGCGAATCGCGATCAAAAGGAATGACCTCGGGGCTTGGCCGGGGTGGAGAGAAGCAACACGAGATGAGCGCCCAACTGCAGTTGTCTGCAAGGGGAGATGGACTGGATCGGGGGCGCGCGCCCAGTCGGGTGGTGATAGAAGAAGGAAATCTTCAAGCTGGAATGAATTTGGAAGGGAGGGCCGAAGACAGGAATGAGACGGAGCACGATCGTCGGTCGCACTTATGCACGTCGACGGGGATTGCAGGCGAAGAAGCGAGTTGTAAGGCGCGGTCCGAACTCAGTGTCCGCATTTCCGGGAGGATGGTGTAGCACGATCGGATTCACAATGAGTCAGACGGGCGATCATAAAATGACGCAGATGCTGTGTGGTTGGTGGTTGGTGGTTGGTAGTTGGTGCTTGTTGCCGAGTGGCCGTTGAAGGTATCGCAGTTGAACGAGAGAGTTGAGAAATTTGTTGAAGATGAGAAAGCGACCGGTTTCTTCAAATTCGCCAGAGAAGTGCCTGACTGGTGGAGCATCAACAGGTGTGGCGAGGTGTCAGGTCAGGCTTCGGACAGACACGGGGGTCACTGGTCAAAGGTCAATGGTTAATGGCCCAAAGGACGAGCCACGAGTCCACCGGGCGGAGACTCGGAAGGGACTCCGAAGTGGGCGAGAGGCTGAGAGGGAGAATTTAGTGCCGGTCGGTTGAAATGAAGGAGCTCACATCATATAGCAGATGACAGGGAAATGAAGAAGCCAAGCCTAGGCAGCATCAGATATGATTGATCGATAAGATGTTGGCAAGGACGTTGGTTCGTCGGGTTGGGACGGTCCTGGGCTTTTTGTGGGAGTGGGTCTTAACCAGGGGGTGTTATGACGGGGGATGGAAGACTCTTGGTCCAAGAGTTAGTCCGAGAATAGATCCACAGTCAGATTGAGGTAAACTTGTAAAGTGATACCGTGCCTTTCGATGTCCACGCGACCTGCAGGTGGTGTGACTCTGGCCTCCCGTGATCCGGGGCACGTGGCCACAAGTCGTACGACTGAGTCTAGACTCGATAGAGTATGGTGAACATAAACTATAGTACACTATGGAATTAAAGGTTGCAAGTATCGGATCGCTTATCAGTAGGACAATGTTGCAGTAGCCAAACTCAATCTTGTCAGACCATAGATGATGTAGCATAAACTATATAGTTAGTTATGGAAGATTATGTCCACAGTCAGTTGATCGGGCGGCTGATCGTCCTTGTGTATCCCACGGTGATCGTTTGCTAGTCGATGATCTAGACCGATGCATCTACTACACAATGGACCATTCGAGTTTCCTGCGTTGTCATGATGGTCTCTCGAACAATATCAACTATTGGCGAACGTAGTAGGGAACACTCTCTAGGGCAATGGCCTTTGCATAGCTTGATAGATAGTACATCCAGATAGAAGGTATAACTATACCTCTGTAGGTTCTACCAACTCCTATTATTTGCTCTGCGTACAGCTAGGTACAAGATAGTTTCGGATATCAAAAGCCATACGATACGAACCACTATATTCCAGTAACCAGGATCATCTCCATATTGATTCTATCCCCTCGCACTGCATGTGCTCAACATCTCCTTAAATGGCTAATCCTATACAAATCTATACCTCTCTCAAACCGTATCAACAATCAAATGTCCAAACTTAACCGACAACTCACCCCCTTCACTCCCAGGCCTCGCCACATAAACCCCAACCCACACCTCCTCCACGCCCTCCTCCTGAAACACCCACGTCACCTCTCGAATCGGCGACTTCTGCACCCCCTCAACCAAATAAATCCACAAACTCTCATCCGCCTCCCGAACCATCTCAATCGTCGCTGCCCCACCCCCAGACGGCACGGGCAACAGACTCCAATCCGCCCACCGGTCCTTCGCCACCACCCCGAGATGCGGCTTGCCGTGCGTGAGCTCGATGCCCGATTTCACCCACTTCTGGGACCCGTCGGTCTTGCGGAGGACTAGGATGAGGCCGCCTTGGTCGTAGAGGTGTTGCCACTGCGCGTTTATGGCGACGCGTACCCGTTTGAAGGAGGTTAGTGGCATGGATTGGTAGAGGATTGGTGCGGAGAAGCGGGTTGTTGAGGGGGGTTTGGACCAAATGTCTGTCGAGGAGGGGGTGGTGATGGTGAATTCGGGGGGTGGAGGGCCGCCGTTGCCTGGGACTGGGGCGGTGGAGTTGACGAATTTGAATTGAGACATGGTGGTGGTTATTCTGGTGGTGGTGATGTTGTTGAGAGTGATGTTGGTGATGGTCGGAGATTTACGAGGCGGAGGCGGGGCCGATGCGGGGAATGTGGTAAGACGATTATTTGAGCGGGGTCGATCAAATTGACCACGACAGTGGTGGAGGAGGATGAGGATGCTGTAGGAAGATGAATTGATGGGTTTGGCAATGGGTGAGATTTGTAGTTGGAGAGAATGGAAGAGGGGAGACGGCAAAAGGACAGCGGTCCAGTTGCTACTAAGTAGTTCTCCAACCTGGCTACGTCACCAACTCCCCACCAGACCAACGGGGCAATGACATGTACCAAATGCATTTGCTCTGGATCTAGAAGACAACCAGTATCTCCAACCGCTTGCCTGGAAAACATTTCTTTGACAATATCAAAATTGTTTAAGTTTTGTCTACTTTGTGGTGCTATTTCGAATGATCTTGTAGGCTACCAAAGTAGGCGACGGGATGGTCATGACCTCATTGGTAATGCCCCCACGACAGTATTCTCGGGACTTATCTTTCTTGGTTTAGATATGCGATAAGAGAAATTGATGACTTGGCAAAAGATTAGATTACTGAATTACGGTGCTGAATACTCCACAGCGACTCGTAGTCTGGCTTTCAACTTTATGTACCAATCAGACTGCGCGTTTGCAGTCAAATATCTAGCCAAAATACTTTAAAGCAGCCACTAACCAGAGCTTGTTTCCTGACCAGTTGGTGTAGGTATAATTAGCTCAACGGCCCATTCTTCGGAACTTCCCCCAACCTCAATCTAGATAATGCGCAACACTATGAATCCTTTGGCTTAAGATATACTGTCGAAGCATACCCTGCAGACCTTTTTTCCATTGGATTCCGTACTTACAAAATTCTTTGAGTTGACTGGCTAGTTGCATCCACACTTGCTATACATTTGCGCTGATAGATACTCTACATCCTCACCCGTGGATTCTCTCTACCTTTCGTCCGAGCATATTAGAGATTTGGTAATAATAGGATATCAATCTCAAGCTAGATCTATATCAATTTCAATACTCCATTCTCTACCACGCTACTTAAAAGACGGCTAACCTAGGAATTCCACAAAGCCCCGACTGCAAGAGTTTTTGGAACTCCATCCAATACCGTGAAAATAATGTACTATCTTGATGCGGTTTTTACGGATGCTGATGCGCGTCCATGCCGATTATTCCTGGCCCTCCCCGTATGTACATCTATTGATTATCTCTCTTCACCAGAACGCTCTACTTGTCTAACAGGATCTTCGCTTTGTCAACTGCCTTTCTCTCAATCTCAGCAGTAGGCAACGCCACATAATTGAAGACACCGCGGAACGAGAACTTCCGTGGCAGCAATCTATTCGTTTCTTCCACATCAATTGCATGTTATTTGACTCTGAGGTAGACCTCGCGTTATGCTAATCCCTAGCAATTCCTGATATCAATTCAATACACACCGCCGCCTGCCGGGTACTGACAGTTCTGGCAAAACGTAGTAACACAGAGGCAACGATGTAGACAGCGACCCCATGGTCAAATCACCAGCAATATTAGAGAGCAATCGTGGCAGGCACCGACCTTTTGAGACTCGCGATGAGTCGTCAACTTCCGTATGATTCCGCCAGAAAAGTATCCCATGTGATCGCTGCCTGCTTGACTCGTTCTCAATCGCACTTTTCTCAGACCCATCCTCATCCTCTTTCTCTTTTTACTCTCTCTCTTCACCTCTCTCCCCCACCCTTCTCTTGCAGTCTCTGCATCAACCCCCTCCTTCACTCTCTGTTCCAACAACGTTCCCACTTCACAGTCTTCATAAATCACATACCACACGTCTCAATCGCACAGCCAAGATGGTTTTCATCGTTGGTCACTCCCTGCCGATTCGGCCTCTCACCGAGCAGGAGAGACTTGATCGTTTTGAGGACCAAAAGGCGCTCTACGATGGTGTTTCCCTCTTCCTCGAGAAGCGTGGCCCCAAGCCTCTGGAGACCAGCATGTACGCTCCTGGTAACTACGTCCCTGTCAAGCACGCTACTGGCCTCTCCGCTGCTCGCCGCTTTGGCCGTTTCCTGAAGAACAAGGTATGTTTTGATTGTTTTTTTATTTTTTATATACTTCGGGTTACACGTGACCTGCTCATCATTGGGCAACTGTTGACGTCACCGCGGTGGTGGTTGCGGGTCGCGATTACCTCAAAAAGACTGGGCACGTGCTGACAACATCTGAATCCATCGCAGCATCTCCAGCACCTCAAGAAGAATGGCCAGCACTACGTCAACATTGCCAAGGACTTCACTGGCAAGGACATCGCTATCAAGGACATCGCTATCAAGGACATCGCTATCAAGGACACTGCTACCGAGAGCAACATCGCAAACAAGGATGAGGCTAGTGTTCCTTTCGTCGCAACTGTATGTATTCAACCGCACCTTCCTTTATAAGTTCCCCTCGAGAAGCCCGCCAACTGGTCTACGAGAAGACAAGTCTAGTCTCTTGTGGAATCTCCCTCGGCTATGGCTACTCTTCATCCTTTGATTATACTACTATCCCCTCAATATGATAACCATGACTGACCCAATCTGATGAATGACAGGTCCAGGACCTTACCAAGTCGGCCGCCACCACTCCCAAGGGCCCCTCTCGCATCAACCCCGAGGCCAAGGAGTTCGTTCCTCGCTCCGTTTCCGCTGGCTCTGACAACGCCAACCATGGCCTGACTAGCAATGACGACTTCATGGAGCATGTTCGCAGCTACATGGCCAAGGGCACCTTCACCGAAAAGCACGGTGGTCCCGCTACCAAGAACCGTCGTCCCATCAAGCCCCGCGACCTTCCTGCCCGTGTCCTGCTTTTCAAGAACGTTCCGGACTGGCTCAACATCTCCGACATCTTCGGTCTCGTCTATGGCGGTGCCGTCGAGCACATCTTCCGTTCCCACATGGCTGAGATCACCGTGATCTTCTGCGAGGAGGCTACCTGCGCCACTTACCTGGCCGTCCACGCCAATGGCATCCGCATCAAGAAGCCTGGCAGCATTGACGAGCATGTCATCATGGATGTTGAGAAGGCTCCCCGTGGTGAGGAGATCACTTCGGCTATGCAGAAGAAACTTGCCACTGGTGCCTCCCGCCTGGTCCGGGTTGATGGAGTCTTCCACGCCGAGAAGTACCAGGCACTGTCCACCCTGGCCATGCGCTATGAACTGGATCACATCCAGTTCCACTGTGAGAAGGACAAGGTACGTTCTGTTTTGATAGATGGCTGAGAGAGATATCATTCACTGACCGTTGGATATCAGGCTGTTCCTGCCTTCTTCTTCTTCTGCGGCATTGCAGACGCTTGGGCTTTCGAGCACAAGCTGAAGGACAGCGAGGAGTGGGAAAACCACACCACCGAGTTCGTGGCTGACCCGTAAGTCAATCTTCGATGAGTTGTGAAAGCATGGAAAGTTGAGTGTATGCTAACCATATTGCGTGTATCAACAGTTGCAAGGCAGCCACTGGATTCCACGGCAATGCCGTTCCCAACGAGATGGTTGCCGCTGTGGTCGCCGCCGCCGCCTCCTAATCGCATTCAGGTTCCCCGAGCATGACCTATCCCGACAAGCCCACATGATCTAGATAGAGCGTGGTACGTACGACTCGTCGATCATCAAGGGATGGTCCCATTTCTGGCGTTTGGGGAATCGTCATTGCGATAGCGGCTTGTTCGATTCTTTTTTCGATGCGCACTTTTCGGCTCCCCGAAAGGGAATGCCACACAGATGCGCATCGAAACATACGCAGATACGGAGATTCAGAGATCTGTTCACTAGGAACAGATCTGCAAATATGAAGATACTCTGGGAAATTGCAACTTCACCCGTAGCTTACTTGGTACTGCCCGCTCGATTTACAAAAGTACCACCCTCCGTAGAAGATTCTCCTTTTTCACTCTGAACCTCAAAGGAATTGACCAGCAACAAAGTCCCGCCAAGTAACTCGAGTGACTCGAGTCATGTCCATCACACAATAATGCCATACACCTGCACAGTCAAACAGGTGATCATACTACGATGCGGTCATCCCTTCGATATTATTCGTGGGTCTAGTCTCTAGCGCCGATACCCCGTTCCCCTTGAACCGTCATCAGCGCTAGCCCTGAGCCCAGTGAGCCACGAATCTATGTAGTAGGAGGGGGCCGCGATGGCTGACTCGTAGATACTTGATTTGTTCGGATTTCCGTCCGCGCGACCCGCCAGCCATGGCATCGGGTAAACTAGCACGATCGCGATGAACACGATGAACGCTTGGTGTTTGAGCTTGAAGTGGTGGATGAACTTGAAGGCACAAGGCTGTGTCTGGAGTTTTCTGAGGAATTTGTGTTCCTTTTTTTTTGCTTCTTATGTCTTTTGAAGGCCGCAGGTACAGTACAGTTAGTTCTGTTACATAGTGGGGGTTGAATAATTTCCAGGGCTTGCGGCGCCAAATGCGTTCTGCGATGCTTCGAGTATTAACTTTTGAGGATTGAGTATTACCCAACATCTGTCAACGTGTCTGCATTAGCCCCTCGAGGTAAAAGGGTTCGATTCTATCAGTCATTGGAGATCCCTCTTAACCGCTCATGCACGCCCGCTAAAAGGCCCAAGCACAGAAGCACTCGCATTGCTGTGCTCCAACCATTTTCAGGAGTAGCAATGCCTGTTCTAGCGTTGGATGCCCTGTCCTCGTTACATTGCTCTAGTGTCGACTGCGTTAGGGTGCTACTACAGTTTCCTGTACAGACAAGGGAATATGGAAGCTAAGGGACATCGGCCCATCGTCGAGCTCCGGCGTCCAGCTCCACCGGGCGTGTATTCGTAATCGCGTCCCCACATCCCTGAACAGCCGAACGCTTGAACTGAAGTACTGGAGATGGAGTCGCGGTACTGTCTGTATTTGACCGGGTTATTGAATTACGCGAGTCTTTATTGGTTTAAATGCTCGTAGCTTGTTTAACTAGTCGCTAACGTGAATAGTTTCTCCGTATATACTCCGTGGTCCGCGCTCCGCGTCCTCCGGTTCTGGATCGCCTTGTTAGTGTAGTTGGTTGATTAACTGTGTTAGTTAATTAATTGACTAGTACTTTCAATAAATTCGGCACTCGTCCTATTTAGGAAAATACTGCAATGCCGTACACTTGCATCTTTTGTAACGGCCCCCAAACGCACGAGCCAAGTCCACTTTCGAGCTAATGAGCTAAACGAACCGTACCCGAAGATGGAGCTGGAGCTGAGAAGAGAATTAATCAGGACACCGTATCTTTATACCCTGTACGGATGAGGTATTTGTATCCCCGAGAATTACGGCTTTTTTTTTGTACTGTATTATTGAGCTGGCCAGACTCTCTATTTACCCTGCCCGTCCTAGCCTTGAACTAGTCCGTCTTGCTTGCCCTGCGACTGTCGCCGTGCTTTCGCGCGTGGCCGTGCCGCACTAGCATGTGTTAGTTGCGTCCTGTGAGGCTGAGACATGACTTGGGCGAGGATAATTGGATCGGGGATCAATCTGCGTCCAGGCGTGACGTGACAGGCATGGCATGGCACTGGGAAGATTCTACAGGACACTGTACTTCCTTAGTTAGGAGTAGTACTCCGTATAGTAGTTGCACCCTGCCACCCTCGGTATGTAGGTAATGTTTTTCGCTTAATTAATTTATCCTGCAGGGAGAAACTTGCTGTCAATTGTACGAAGTACTGCGCGAGGCTGGTAGATAACCTGCGACGCTAGGGTAGTCACTACTTTGGCGTGAACTCTGCCTTGCGGCTCTGTGGATGCCGACCGGCCGAGTACGGAGTACTACTGTAGATACCGGTTATATCGTATGTTGGAGACGTTCGCCCTCGTAATAGTAATCCTTCGAACCAGTTCATCTCGAGTGCAATTCCTAATTTCCGTCTCTTTTGGTAAAATGTTGCGAGTCGTGGGGATCAACTCGTTCAAAACCGAATCACTTCCTTTTTTGAGACGGGAACTCTGCTAAGCCCGGGGCTGGATCCTCAGGGAGCCCGATCGTCGATCGACGCCCCCACTGGGAATCGTCATCCTCTATTTCGAGAATGAACTGTTCCTCGGATGCGAGCCGTGAAGCTGTGTCAGCGGGATTTCCGTGATCTGCTTATAATTTGTTAATGTTTACGAGCGTAGTGCATACCGTGGTCAGCCCTGGATTCTACCAAAATAATATCCGTGTACCCATACGTACTTACATATTTGTATTAACCAGTTGATCAGCATAATTCGAATGTATATCATTACGGCACAACACTACACACCGATCCTCAGCCCCAGGCCAACGCATCAACCCCAAGAAAGGAAATAGGAACGAACTGCGACACTCCCCGCCCCCGTAGAAAAGTGCCAGAAAAGGGGGCTGTTTCAATGCAGAAACCCCTAGGAATGCATGACACGCGCGGGCGGCTCTGTAACTCCATTTCCTCCGTCTGGGGCACTCGCGTTCACTAGTAGAACGCGGTAGAGGACCGTGACCCCGCTGAAGGATTAGCATGTCGCAGTCGACGGGGTCGGGTTTCCAAGGTTTTGCACGTACACAGCCCGAAACTAGGATCTGACATGACTCGGGTGGCCGAAGATTGGGTGTTGGCTGGGGACTGCAGGATCTGGGATCCGTTACTGGCCAGAGCTGAGGAGGGGAATGATTCCTTTTCGGTTCTATTTATTCTTTTCGTGTTGGGCTGCCTGCATATTCAGGTGCTGTACAGATGACAGGGCGTGCTGGCTTCTATTGTCCCATGGGTCACCGTATGATTTTGAGGGCCTGAGGTTGGAGGTCCGGGCGAGGAAGGTCAGCGTTGATGGGTTTGTATTGGTAGGTGCTGGGCGGCAAGGCGGGCAAGGCGGACTGTAGACTTCATCTTGCATGATTGATCGGGCTATCATTGACTTGGATTGCATTAGCTGGATGGGCGTTGCCACTTTGATGGCGTGTTGAGTTGGGGAGGGTGTTGGTAAACATCCGAGTAGAGGGTATTATGCGGTGTGGCAGGAAGACGCGTCTGACGAACGATCTGATCACTCTATGATCGTGAAATTGAGGTGTTGACTATAGTAGTAATAGATATCGTAGTAAATGGTGATAGGTATAGTAGAAAGACATGAAGTAGAAAGGCAGGAAGCGCGAGTCAAATGCCTGCAGATATTCCTCCCAACGTAACGCATCCAAGAGAGGTAGAATGAAGCCCCCAAAACAATAAACAGACGAGAACCTCCCAAGACCCAAGATTTCCAAATGAAAAAAGAGAAAGAATATTCCCGCCAAAAATCCAAGACTGCTGAAAAGTAAAGTCAAAAAACTCCCACCAAGGTATCATGGAACAAAAAAGGCGCAGAAAAAAAAAGACAAATAGCCTCCAGTTGTCCCATCATTCCCTTGATATTGAACAGAAAAAAACAAACAAAAAAAGACAGGACTGAAAGAATAGAGTCATGAGTCGTAGGTGCCATGTTTCATCACGTCGACATACGCGACTGACTCTGGCCCATCTCTGTATCCTCGCGCATCCAAGGATACCACACATTGGCCCATTCCCTCACACCAAATCGTGGAGCCCCCGAATCAGCCCCCATCGAAGCACCCTCCCGAAGGAACTCGCCATCTCGCATCCGTCGTTGCTCCCGAAGCGTCGGGCACTTCTTCTCCTTGATGAATCGGTAGAATTTGCACTGGATGCCCTGGAACCCGCGCCGCTGTCGACTGGGGAATTGACGGTTGAAACTCTCGCGTACTTCCTTCCACTCCTGACACAGGTCGACGCGGTGGTACCAGATGAAGTACATCTCTTCTTCTTCGTACTTGGGGCGTGGCGGCCGTCGCCGGTCGCCGTTGTTGCTGGAGCTGGAGGAGACGGAGTCATACCGCTCGCGTGGGTGGTACGGGTCCGGCGATGAGTGGGTAGACCCGTTCGTGGGTCGGTAGGACAGGAACATGTGGTGATGGTGGTGCTGTCCACTTGATGAATGCTGACTCTGATGATGTCCTTGACCCTGGTGCTGGTGATGATGAGCATGATGTTGATGGTGTGAGCTACCGCTGCCACTGCTAACGTGCGTCGTGGCGGTTGATGCTGCGCCCGGGCTGTTGTCGTGGTAGCCTTGACGTCCATACCAATACTGGTTCGGGGATGGTGGGTAGCCCGGTGAATGTGCGTAGCCGTTGCTGTGCGACGAGGATGACATTGTCGCGTGCTGGCTGTATGGCGACCCCGTCGTGCTGCTGTGCTCGTCCAGCCCGCCGTCAGCAGAAGGGTTTAGCAGCGAGTCAATCTTCATTCGGCCTTGCCGTGCCGAGGGTAGTTGGTGGCGTGTGTATGTTTCCGTTCGGGTCTCCATGGTGGTAAGTAGTATTGAGTCTTGATAGTCGTGTGGGTGATTTGTGCTTCTTCCTTATGGGGGGAGTATCTTCCTGTCTCGTTGCTTTCCTCTGGAATGTGACCGGGAGAGAGAGGATCTGGTGTAATCGATGATGTGATCGTCTGCCTTGTCCTTTTTTGGGACTTGATGGTATAGATCCTTTGCAAGTCTTTCAGACCAAAGTAGTTGCCGTGATCGTATTCTTCCGTGATGTGCAGGTGAGCGAACCAAGGAAAAGAAATAGAACGATCTGCATATATGGTTGATAGTCTTTACTATCGTTCTTTTTGAATAAGAATTATAGAGTAATGATGATGATGATGATGAGGGGGACGCAGTTGTATATTAGGGCGAGGTTGAAGAATGAAGATCCCCCAGGCTGAAGAGTGCCGATGTGTTAGGTTGACAGGTGGAGGAGAAAGGGAAGTATAAGATCTAACCTCTAGGGTCGGAAGTAAGAAAGTAAGAAGGGGAAGCAAGGTTTGTCGATCGAAAAGAATTCTAGTTACGGTCGATCACCTGGAGACACGGGCTTAAATGAGGAAAAGAGAGAGCACCTTCGATTAAATGCAATTAAATTGGAGTAAAATAAATCCAGAAAATCGAAAATAGTCCCAAGCTAACAGGACTGTTGGGTGTACTCTACCATTTGTCCGGGTCAGGCTGGGCTGTCCTTTGGCCCCCTGTTATATTCGTTGTACCGCGGATACAGGACCAGGCTGCTTGGGGCTAACAGGGGCGAGGACAGAGGTAACTATGGGTATGGTGTATGGGTATGGATAATGTGGGTGGGGGATCTCTCAAGAGGAGGGGGGGGCAAGCATTAACCAGATTCACCAAGCAGCAAGTAGGAGTTCCTTGAAGGGTAACCAGCTCGAGCGTTCTCCACCCCCAGAGAAGTAGAAGAAGGGTTGGAGACCGGTGAACCGGACTAGGAGCTCCGTGTCCGGTGCTTTTTAGATATTGATATGATTTTTTTTATTATTTTATTTTCATGGTTTATAGCATTGAACTTTTGTACATCTAGACTAGAAAAATCTGGACTCTAGTCTAGTCGTGGTTAAATTCCTATCGCCACTTGTTGAGATTGATATCTGGAAATTCCGTGAAGATTTGGAAAGCAGAGAAATCTTACACTGGTGGCGATCCGCCCAGGGCGTTCCACTCGGTCTTTCCGTGTGAAAGGAAAAAAAAAGCATATACTCCATTTTATTCAGAGAGCGAGCCTTCTCTTTGGATCGGGTATAATTCCTGGTTCCTCGTCGATGATATTCGGTCACCGATGATTATTCTGCCTTGACGATTTAGGTTCTCATCATTTGACGGGTTTTATCATTTAATGATTTCATATTTTTAGGGGGCCAAAAAGGGCTTCTTTCTCTTTGTCTTGAAGAGGCGGCAATTTCGACCGCAGCGTGTTGGTGGAACAGCTTGTCTCCATCGCCGTGATGAACATCTTTTCGACAGGGTCGATCCCTCTTTTGCTTTTGAAAATTATTGATTTTTTTATTTTCTTTTTAGGAATCGTTTTATACAAGTTTCGGTCAAATACGAAGCTGGGCAATGATGAGCGCACGCGGGGGAATCCACACCGATGCAAATGCCAGCAAAAATTACAGGCGCGTTACCGACCTTTAGCCTTTTACACTCCTAGCGCGGGTTTCTCAAATTCACGAATTATTCAATGACAAATGACAAATTGTGGGGACGCGCCTGTGGTGTACTCCGTACTGTACCGAAGTACAGAATTGATGGTCTACGGCCGTATCGCGGTAATCTTTTAATTACCGAGCTGATGTATTATATACTGTCGAGTCTACAGTAAGCTACTCTGTACGTGCATATTAGCTATCTGCCAGATTCCTCGAGCTAAAAAAAAAAGTAACTATCTTCAGTGCAGGGTATGCTGTAAGAATAATGCATGTATATTAAGGCTAAGTACAGAATATACTGCAAAAAAAAAAAAAAAAAAAAAAGAGAAAAGCCAAATGAAAAAGCAACGAGCACGCAGAAAAACGCTGCTGCGCAATCGTCTTTTTTCTCTCAATCCGCTCGTCGCCCCTGGCTGATAGGCCAGCCTCCCCCAAACACTCGCGATGGAGTCGAGGAGCGATGTAGCAGGGATCAGATTGGGCAGGGGGCCATGCGAGCCAATCCCAGCACGGGCCTTGGAAGATAATCATGCAGAGATTAGAGCCACTGCGGACTCGCGTGCATTTTCTGTTTTAGATCGATGTTTCAATTCACCCACTCCTAGTCTCCTATAGTAGACCACTACTACCACCACCCTTAGCGACTAGGGGAATCAGGACAAGGACAAGGACCAGGACTAGGGGGATGTACTAGGATAGACGCCGGTCTCCCCATGTTAGCTTCCGCGGAAGCACCTCATCGTTCAACGTAAATCCGTGGTTGATGTGCGAGTGGGCTCGGGGGAAGACACTCTGACCCCAAACGTTAGAAAGGAAAAGGAAAAGCCCCCGCCGGAAATCATCCGGATCTCGGGAGGGTCCTATTCGACCCTTCTTTACTCAGCAATTATGGACGAGTTAGTTATTCAAAATATCTTCAACTCAAGTCGTACACCGTTTGGATCGAAGGCAGGGAGGGAAAAAAAGACATGCCGCCAAAAAAGTTAAAAAACCAACACAAACGCGCGGCGTCTATTGGACTACAAACCGTCACCTGTTGCGACGCCTGCCGTGGCCTTGGGACATGGGGAGCGAATGGGAGAGAAGAGCTAATGCGGACTCAATTTGGCCTCAGATGCAGAGGGTGGAGACATTTGCGTCTGCCAGCACATCTGCCTTTTTTTTAGTTATTTTATTTCTTGAGCATCAACGTATGGAGGACGGAGAACGAAAAGGAAGGCGTTTCTAGGTAATGATGTGACGAGATGACAACATGACTACCTATGGTGAATGAATTGCCTCAAAAATCCGGTTCTCAATGATTCATTCCATCCATCATTCGCCTATTGTCTCCGTGTCCATAAAGTCCAATTCAAGGAACCAACGGCCAGGTGTCACATTTAGGCAGGAAGAGCGAGTCAGATAATCCATAGTTAGTCCATAGTGTGAATCGTTTATAGTCCATCATACTTCATAGCCACTTGCTCGTATCTTGTCCTGTCAGAACGGACCTAAGTGGATGCTCTTCACCTCCGAGCTCGAGCGAACCATGGTTAACGCGCAGGATGAATTCTTGCATCCAAAAACTGACGACGCGGGGGATGATGCACATTGGGGGAAAAACCGAGAAGAAGAAGTAAAAAAGGCCGTATCTAGTGGGGTGGTCTCGAGATGGCTGAGGGTCCTGGAGGTCTGAAGGTGTGCCTCAATCTGTGACTCCATAGTCTATACTAAACTTATCGGCAACACCCGGGAGCACAGTCAAAAATTCCAAAACATGGTTTCCACCACGGGCATCGTGCAGGACACAAATATCCCGCTCGGCTGTCTTTTTTGCTAGCGATCCAGCCGAGTTGCTTTTCGTTGCGACCCCCCCTCATTTCTAATCTCCACACCACCCTTGAAGAAAAAAAGAAAATTAAAGAAAATAATACCCCGAAGATCAGAGATTAATGGAGGGAGGTCGACTAGAGTCGAGAGTCGGGGGTTGGTACTCCACTAGACTCGGATGTCGCGTTGGATCGGCCAGGTAGTTCGGAAATGCCCTGGTTGATGCAGACTGTACTTTGGAGATACTGTACATACTGTAAATGAATATTGCTTGACTACCACTAATGACGACTGTATCTATACTTTAGGTTATATTTCATACCTCCTGTCATGTCTTCAACAAGTTAAAAACTACTGTAGCTAGCCAACGGCGACGATGAATGTCCCGCGTGATGTCGGGCATCAGGCTTCTCCTTTCTTTTTTTAGTTTCTTTTCTTTTTTTCGCTTTTCTTTACGCAGTCTGATCAGCGGCTGGTAGATCGTCGGTCATCTGCAGCCTAATTGCGGGCAACGGTTGATGGTCTGACCTCTGACCTGAGCTAAAGGCATTTTTAGTTTATGATTGTTTTATTGAATTTTTATTTTCTTGTATAAGCAATACATAATATCTTACCGGTTAATGGTTTTGGATACCATTTAGATTGCACTTTGTTCTCCTTGCCCTGAACGCCCAGACGATTTTCTTCAGGTAACCAAACGGCGTTACCATCGGCCGATCGTTTCGGCCGTTCGTGAGAATGGATCCTAGACCCGCGTCTCATTTAAATTCTTTACCATACTGTACTGAGTTGTCTGTATGTATCAGAACAAAATGCAAAACTTTAGACTGGAAGGTCCAAGCTCGTACCTCCAAGCTCCTTGCTGACACTCGATAATCGCCGCGCCTCGTGTTCTAGAAAGAATAGAAAAACCGCAAAAATGAGGAGTTCATCGGGCACAATAGACACAAATGTACATGGTAAGCGAGGATATGGAGTAGACAAGACTCTACATACGCAAGCTTCTCAACACTAAGCTTAGTAGTCCGTGGCAAGTTGGAAACTAGAGCTGCCCTGTGTCAAAAAATTCAATGATTTTTTTCCCCATTTCTTTTTGTTTCTGCTATCGTCCCTCTCTATTTCTTCTTTTCCTACTTGCTACTTTCGAGGTATGGACATACTCTCCGTATTATTGCTTCAAGTCCACCGGAGATCGTTGATCCGTTAGCGCTGTTGGTTTCGTTATTATCTCTTTCTTCTTCTTCTTCTTCTTCTCCTCCTCCTTCTTGTTTACCCCCCGTCTTCATGCATACAGTAGTATACATACCTCCATAGAATCTCCCATACAGGAGTAGCCTCGATGGGCGGGCGAGAGCTCCCGGTTCCGTGCAGATCAGATCAACATGGGCCCCGGGGCTAAAAGCCAGACTTACGACCCCCGCCCGGTTGTTTTCTTTGTTCGAGGGGAAATTGGTTCCACCTTTCATCTATTTGATTCTCCATACTCCAATCATCAAGCAGCGAGCCACGGCGTTAGTC